CAGATGACTTTGAAAAACAATGCACTTCAGCAAACTTAACATTGGGCCCAGTCTATTAAGTAGACGTAGCATAATAAGGAAGTAAGTTTTACTACCTTCCATAGCATCTCACATTATTAAGATCTCAGCATATAACATGACAGCAATAGGTATTAGATTTGGGATATCATTTAAAAAAGAAGAATCTCCAGGGGTTGGGGCTGGGGCTCAGTTATGGAATTTGTGTTTAGCATGTGCAAAGCTCTGGGTTTAATCCCCACCACTCTCCACTGTCCAAAAAAAATGTTTACAGATTCTTAAACTATCATAGTAAAATCTAAATAGTGAAACTATTGCTGATACTTTGATACATAGAATTGGGGAAGGCAGGAGTTATAACAAAAGTATCTATACTGAAACATTCTTACTTAAAATAACAAGTATGAACAGTTTAATCTTGTTTTTATTGTTTCAAAGTTTACAACTAAGATAATTTCTCTAGAAAATTTGGAAGATATATTATGCTATTCCATGATTTGCTACAGAGTTCAGTTAATATGTTTCATGTTATACTACTTTTCTAATCCCTTGGCCACATTTTAGAAATGTCACTAATTTTATTTTCAAGCCAGTCAAAGGAATAATTCATCATAGGTTCTCCCAGGGGTGGAACCTGTTATCAGAATTTCTCCTGTGTCCTAGTCTCTACTGAGTCTTGATTCTAAATGCAATCTTTCCAAAGCCAGGGTTATTTTCTTCTCCTCTTCCCTGGACATATATAACACTTAACTGGAAAAGAAGTATTTCACATTTTGCCACTATGTGCTCCTCATTAGTTTAAGGTATAGAACAATATAAAAATTCTTCCAGTTTAAAGCTGCAACTACAACTACTTTCATTCTCGAAATCTGTAGGGCTGGGGTTGTTTTTGGTAAGAGTGAGTGCCTAGCATGCACAAGGTCCTGGGTTCAATCCCTAGCAACAGTATATAAACATCACATATTAACCATCACCGTGTTGATGTTTGTAAGTTTTCTGATTTTAAGAATACTTATTCCAAGATTGTTTACCACATATATCTCAGTTGTTTTTAACTTTTTGGCAAACATTTTTATATTTCTCAACTATAACAGCACTATTCCTTCTTTCAGCATCTTCTATGTGTCAAGCACCATTACAAAGTGCTGGGGAATCAATAATGAACAAAACAGACAAATGGGCTAGGAGTATAACTCAGTGATAGAGCACTTGACTAGCATGTGCAAAGCCCTGGGTTTGAACCCCAGTATTGCAAAATGAAAAACAAAAACAGACAATCATCCTTATCCTCAAGAGGTTATACTACAGAGAAACAATTAATAGAGATAAACATGTAAAATAAATAGAATGTTAGGTGGAAGTAAGTTCCAGGAGAAAAAATACAGCAGGAAAAGGAAAGAGCAGGAAGTACAGAAAGTACTTTGCAATTTTATATATTTTATAAATTTCTTTGACAACACCATAAGGACATATTTATTTTGATTTTCATTTCTTTAAAAAAAAATCTGATACCTAAACAGATGGCAGGATGGACCACAAGTTCCTCTTTACATTTGTGAATATCTATTTTAACAGGTACTGATTATCATCTTATAGACTAGAGGTATGGTGAAACACATGCGTGAGGCACTGGGTTCAGTCCCCAGCACCACATAAAATAAATAAATAAAATAAAGATATTGTATCCACCTAGAACTAAAAAGAAATTTAAAAAATTACTGAAGTACTCTGATGATATTGAATTGCAGCCACATTGCTGCTTTGGTAATTTTCACAGGACTTAGATGTAATTTATCCATTTGGTAAGAGGATATTTCAAAATAATTTGCTGAAACCATTGTGTGATATTTCCTTCCATTTGTTCAAAGGGAAACTGTATTTATATGCTATCTGTCTAATGCATATGGGGAAATCTGACCATCACACTAATTTTAATGTCTTTTTAAAATTTACAATTGCATTCTGATAAGTTGACATATATTAAAAGAATATACATCCCTTCCAAAAGAATCCCAATATCATCCTATTCCCAAACTTCTTCAAATACATTTAAACCAGCATAATACACTTAAATGTAGTTATCAGACTCTTATCAAAATGTACATAACTGCTTTTAATTATGACTATCAAAAACCTAAATAATGTTGTTAAGTAAAACCTATGCTATGTAGTAATCTAAACCTCCTTTCTGGCTAATCTTTTAACTATAAAAGAAAAAAAAACAGACAATCATCTTTATCCTCAAAGGTTATACTATAGAGAGACAATTAATAGAGATCAACATGTAAACATAAATAAACATAACATAGAAAATACCCTAATTTGTTTGTATTTTAACCTAGTCAACAATCCTTGGAAGATAAATAAGAACATGGGGGAAAACACTGGTGAGAAGGAAGTTAAACTGGAGGGTGAGCATACAATACGAATGCCCTAACTAGGACAGCTCAAGCTTGCTGAACAATACTACCAATGAAACTGGCATTGATTCTTGCTAAAAGATTCACCTCAGTGATCATACCCTGATAAACACTGGTAGCTCATTATAAAGCTTTGAAGGTCAAAATGTCATGTGATCATTTTTCACATCCAACATTAACTTTCTTAGTTTTGCTGACAGGCATACTTCCTAACCCAATAAATCACTGATGAAAAAAGTTTTGGAAAAGAGAAAGACTAACAACAGCAGAAAAAAGGCCAGTGATAGCAACAAAAAAGAAAGAGAGCAGATACTGGAAAGGAAATATTCAGTAGTAACAGCACTGTAAAGAGTATAAATAAAATTAATTAATTTATTTATTTATTTATTTATTTATTTTGCAGTACTGAAATTAAACCCAGGGTTTTGGCATGTTATTATTGTAAGAGCTGTGCCATGGAGCACCATTCCAGTCTAATAAAATACATTAAAATGTGTAATTCTTAGATTGTCTTGAATTTTTGTGGAGATAAAGACATTCTTATAGCTGGATGCAATGGTAGACTCCTATGATCACAGTGATTTGGGAGGCTGAGGAAAGAGGATCACAAGTTCGAGGCTAGCCTCAGCAGCTTAGCAAGACCTCAGCAACTTAGTGTGACTTTGTCTCAAAAAATAAATAAATAAATAGGACTAGGGATGTAGCTTAGTGGTAAGGCAACCCCAGATTCAATCCCCAGTGCCAAAAGAAAAAAAAAAAATGTTTACAGTTATAGGTAAAATTAGGAGAGGTGTCCAATCATTATGATATCCTTAGAAGCAAAGAATCCCCTTTTTTTTTCCCCTCATGCTGGAACTTCCTCTTCTTCAGGAACTAGACCTGAGAGAGAAGTGCACACGTTGTCGCTGGGTTTGTGCCATACACCTTTTAATCTGAGGAGACCTGAAATTCAATTCTACCTAAAATCCAGAGAGTTACAGCATGGTCCAGTCCCAGGGAATTGCCTCTAAATTTTTTCAGTCCAGAGTGGAATGGATTTTTCTAGTTGCCTTTTAAAAAATTCTCACAAAGGCAAAAGTGTCCCTGAATGCCACACATTAAAGTCTGACACTATTGGTGTCACTATAATTGCCATCACATATGTCGTCTGTTCTCAGTTCCCTTTTCTTTTCGTATATTTTTCTGTTTTCCTCTACCTGTGCTCTTGACTGTGTAAATTGTATTTGGCTCCTGGCACTCAGGGCTGTAATTTGCTAACCCCAATTAATGACAATGGCAGTATAAATGTAAATATATACAGCTTACGGGTAGGTGTCAGGTACTTTGCCAAGTGTTTTACAAATATGATTTTATTTAATTCTCATAAAACTACGTTATATAGAAGTATTAACTTTATTTTACAAATACAGAAACAGGCCTTACAAGGTTAAATATGTCACCCAGCGTCAGACAACAAACAAACCTCATGCATAGACTTGAAACCTGAATATCTGTCTTATCCCAGACTATAATGTTCTTTTACACTGTCATAAAGCTTGAGCCCTAAAATCTTACAGATCTGAATTCTAATCCTAATGCTATCACTTACCACTTGTGTGATTTCATAAATTATTCAATCCGTTTCCTGGAGTATGAAAAAGAATAACAATACCACTTAAGTTTGTGGTTGTGAGCATTAAATGAGGTAACATAAATTTTGCTTAGAAAGTTGAAGGGCACTGCAATCAATAATAGCGATATTTAACCCCACTCTTCCCTCTATTTGATTATCCATTACAAAGGCAGTCACGAAAAGATGATAATAAGGAGAACCAAAAGTTGCAGATAATCACCAATTGCACCAAGTGTTACATGAATGGTCAATTCCTTCGGTCAAGTTTCTGGCACTGCAAAATAAGTGCAATTGCAGTTCCTCCACGCCCCTTGTACAGTGAACCCAAAGTAATGAAAGAATTTTGGTAGTGGAACAGGAACACGATCTGCTAAGAATATTCCTCATGTTGTTCTTGCTTTATACTCTACTAAAATCAGTAGTCACCTTTCCCACTTCACCTGGTAGCTTCTACTCAGTTACTCTGAAGCGATGTTTCACCACAAGTGTAGTTTGGTGAACCCATCCCTCTTCCCTGGGGGCGGTGCGTTGGATTTCGGGGCATGTCACCCTAATCTGGGCTACAGGCCCAACTCTCCCTTCTCCTGGGAGGTTGGCGAATCCTGGGCATCCCCCGCCCAGGTGCTGGAGCTCCAGGCCCAGGCAGCGCCTCGCGGCCCAGAGCTCAACCTGGAGCCCAGGCTCCTCCGGGAGACGCTGGCCAGCCCCTGGTGGCAAAACGCCGCCACACTCGCCTGCAGTAGAACGGAAGCCCTCAGCGCACCCTGCATTATCTCTGACCCCGGGAAGCCCAGGGTGAACTTCCAGAGAGAGGGCCGAGCGGGCCCAGCAGCGCGGAGCCTACGCGCCCAGATTCTCTGGTCCAAGTGCAGGTCTATCCTCCCCCGAAAAGCTGGTGGTTTGCGGGGGCCGGCCGTGCGGCCCCGAAGCAGCAAAAGGCCCGCACTCACATTCTGGGTCTTGGGGATGAAAGTCAGGCGACAGTGGAAACCAAGCTGATAGGTCCGGGAGGGTGCAGAAGCGCCCGGGATTTACAGGAACCTGGGGCTGCTCTGGCGGCGGGGCGGGGCGGGGCGGAGCCGGGGTTGGGGTGCTCCGAGGGTGCCTACAGCACGCCGCGCCCACTCAAGACCACACGAGGCTCCACCCACCACCCGCCAGGCTGGCCTTTTTACTCTGCAGATCTGTTAACTGCCTATAGGCTGGAGTTTCAAGGCGGCTTAGGGTGTCCCTTGTTTACCAAAAATCCAAAGTTGGCGTTAGGCCTTAAAATAAGTTGCTGCACCAAAATAAACTCCTAAAGGATAAAAGAATTACAGTATTTGAGAAAATGTATACCATATATGAATCAAGAAAAACAACATGAAAATAGTGAAATTCTAGCTCTTAAGCATACTTGGGAGTTTTTTCAATGGGTGCAGTACCAGGATCATTTTACATCCTTAATTTCACTTAATTCTTGAATTTTTTGTGAGGCATTTAGCACCATTATCCCCATACCATAAATAAGAAAGCTACGATGGAGTAACATGAGATTTCGTAGCTAACTGGTCTAGTTGCCAAAAGTCAGAGTCTACTAAGTGAACTAACCCCGCTAGTCGATGCTGCCACTCAACTGAGCATTAACCACTGTGGAAGATTCTGCTACATTTGCTTAAGATTTTAGGACCTCTGCGGGAGGAAACAGGGACAAAGTCAATAGACAAACCCACTAGAAATAATATTTGCCACAAACCTGACAAACAAAGGTGTCGCAAGTTCACTTAAATTGACAAAGGGGTAGTAGGGAAAACTCAATAGAAAAATGGGCAAAGGATAATTTTTTTAATTATAGAAGAAATGGAAAATGAAACAAATAAAGAAATACAGACATTCCTAAGTAAAAACTTAACTCAATCCAAAAAATGTAAACTAAACATTTTTAAAAATCATATAAGTGCCATTTATTTATTCAACAAACATGTCCTGTGTGCCTACTGTGTCAAATATTGTTCTAGACTTATGATAAATCTGTGAGCAAGAAAGGCTCTTCTATCCTAGATGAGGGACAAATAATAATAATTAAAAACAAAAGATATCTCAATAATAAGTGTTATGAATGAAAGTTATACAGGCTGTTGTGAAAGATGTAAGGATAATAATGGGAACTTACTTAGACCGGAGATCAGGGAAGCCCTCTCTAAGATGGTGTTATTTGATTAGAGACTTGAAAAATAGAAAGGCTGGCATAATGGCCTAGTCTGAAAGTTGAGGCAGGAGGATGCCAAATTCAAGGTCAGAATGAGGAATTTAGTGAGATATTGTCTCAAAATAAAAATTAATTAATTAAAAGGGCTGGGGTATAGCTCAATGGTAGAATGCTTGCCTACCACGCACATGGCCTGGGATTATATCCTTAGTACAATGAGAAAGAGATAAGGGGAATTAAGGGAGGGAAGAGAAGGGAAGGGAAAGGAAGCCATGAGGGGAGGGGGGGTACAGGGGAGGGGAGAAGGAGGAAGAAAGAAAGAGAGGAAGAATGAAAGAGGGAGGGTGGAAAAGAAAGAGAGGAAGGAAGGAATGAGAATAGGAAAGAAAAGGAGAAATGGAGGGAAGAAGAAAAGAAGGAACCAATCATGCAAAGATCTGTGGATAGAAGAATATTAGGACAAAGACAGGAACAAACTTAGCAAATTTCAAGCATAGAAACAACTTCTTTGTGGCTAGAGTGGAGAGGTAGGAGGAGATAAGTGGGTTTTTTGTTTGTTTGGTGGTGGTTATAACTAAAGGTATCTGGTTTTATTTTCTTATCCTGTTTCTCTGTTTAATTGAAGGTCCCCAGACACAAATTGGAAATTTCTATATTTCTCAGAATACATAGTATCCACACATAACCTTCCCAAATTTTGTCTTCACTAAAGTGGAGACAGAGTAGAGACAAGGAGATGGTATTGAACTTTTAGTATCCAAAAAAGGAATCTATCATTTGACCACACAGTGCCATAGTATTCAGTGTACTTATTCATTCTTTTCAGTGTCTAAATTCCTTTCCATATTTGTTCTCACTCATTAATTTGTCCTTACCTATTAATTCATGCATACTAAGCATACACTCTACCATTGAACTCTTGCAATTACCTCTGAGGTCCTACATTACTTGGCCCCCATCTCATCTCTGACCTTACTCTTACTCTTCCTCTCCTTGCTCACTTTACTCCATCTATGCAGGATTTACTTTCATGGAAAATGAAAGGACAGACCTTTGCACTTTCCTTTTCCTCTACATGCAAAGCTCTTTCCCTAAATATCTTCATGGCTTAATTCTTCTTTGAGTTTTTATTCAAAGTTCTCCTTTGTGAGATCTTCTTTGGCCATCACCTTAATCCAAATTGCAATGCCTGGGCTGGGGGATGTAGCTCAATGGTACAGCATACGTGAGGCCCTGAGTTCAATCCCCAACACTGAGAAAAAGAAAAGTAAAATAAAATTCCACTACCTACATGGGAATATACTTTATACCCCTTCTACTTTATTTTTCTCATTAGCATTTATTGCCATCTAACATATTACATTTTTTATTATTTATTTTATTTACTGACTGTGTTTCCCCAACTAGAATGTATTCTCCATTAGGAATTATTCTGTTTGTTACATCTTAAAGACTAAGAGGGATATCACAGCTACATGATGAATATTTGTTGAACAAATGGAGGAATTGTGACAGGAACTGTTAAGAACAACAACAAAAAAATCAGGCATGGTCATCAAGTTTACAGTGTAGTGAAAGTGCACATTACCTCCAAATTTATACTTCAGATTAACGAATATTCACAAAGATAAAAGTGAAATTATAAAATGTACTTAAGGCCATAAAGGAAATGAGAGTATATTAAGAGAAATCAAGAGAAGTTTCTCTGAGCAAGTGACATTTAAGGTGACAGCTAAAGGACAAATACAGATTAGATAAATATGGCATAGATGGGGGAGGGAGAAGTTATCAGGTAGTGGAATGGGTAGGATTTCTGGCAGAAAGAATATCATGTAGGAGGCCTGAGGCCTGGATGAAAGAAAAGGGCAGAGATTGAAGGCTAAACAAACAAGAGCAAGATAGCAGATAGCATAGATTTTGTAAGCTAGGAAAACAGCAGCCAAAGACTTAAAGCAGGAAAACAAAATGCTTTACTTAAACTATTTTTTGTTTGTTTTGTCAATGCTGGGAATTGAAGCCAGGGTATTGCACATGCTATGCAGAACTATACCACTGAGCTATACTTCCAGTTCTTCTGTTGTACCTTTTAATAAGATCCCATTTCAGGCTGGGAGGATGAGGATATTTAGGGATAGACATTTGCATGTAGAGGAAAAGGAAAGTGCAAAGGTCTGTCCTTTCATTTTCTATGAAATAAAATCCTGCATAGATGGAGTGAAGTGAGCAAGGAGAGGAATAGTAAAAGTAAGGTCAGAGATGAGATGGAGACCAAGTAATGTAGGACCTCAGAGGCAATTGCAAAAGTTCAATGATAGAGTGCATGCTTAGTATTCATGAGACCCTGGGTTCAATCCCCAGCACAAAAATAATGGGGGAAAATCCCATTTGCCAATAATAGGGCAAAATCACATCCAAAACTTCATTATGTAATGCCATGGAGAGGATATACCACTTAATGTTCCTACAAAAAGTGCACGACCTAAATTGAATCATGAGAATCATTAGGAAGTAATCAACCAAGCCCAGATTTAAGCACATGCTAAATACCAATGATTCTCAATAATGGCAAATGGAGTAGGGTTGCCAGACAAAACATAGAATGCCCAGCTAAATCTAAATTTCAGATAGACCACAAATAATTTTTCAGTATAAGTATGTCCTATATTATACTAAAAATTATTTGTGAGGGCTGGGGATATAGCTTAATGGTAAAGCTCTTGCCTAGCATATTTAATATCCTGGGTTTGATCTCCAATACTGAAAAAATAAAAAAAAAGGTCGTTGTTTATCTGAAATTAAAAATGTATACAATGTCTTGTATTTTTTTTTTTAAATCTGGTAACTCTACCTGCAGGAACATTTTGCTCTTTTGGGAGATAGTTTTCATAGTCAAACTAGGAGAAGATGCAACTGGTAGAAGATGGATTGTTATTAAACACCTTACAGTGCACAGGAAAGCCTCCACAACAACAAAAATTATCCCCAAAATGTCAATATTGCCAAGGTTGAGCAATTCTGCTATGAAACAATGGGACTATACATTTTGAAAATACTTAAGTCGTGAAAATAAAGGCTGAGGAAATACTACACATTTAATGAAACTAAAAAAATTAAAATTAAATACAATTCATAATCCAGGTTTGATCTCCAATTGAGGAAAAAGAGTTCAAACAACATTGGGACACCAGTAAAACTTGTTTGTATAATAATAATATTCTGTCAATTTCAATTTCTTGAATTTGATAATTATACTGAGAATGTCTGTTTCCAAGAGTCAAGAATCATGATACATGCATTCTATACTCAAAAGGTTTAACAGAATATAATCATGCACTCTACACTTAAAAGGTTTAACAGAATATAATAGGAACATAATATGCATATTACATGGAATATATCTCAAGAAAGAGCAAATGTGAGAGAATCAACAATGGCTGAATATAAGTGAAGAGTATATGTGAGTTCCTGCAACTTTCCTAAGGATTTAATTATTTTCTAAGTGAAAATTGTAATTAAAAAATTACTACCATGTGTGAGGCCCTGGATTTCATCCTCAGCATCACACACTCACAAATCATTGCAGCAGAGATACCAGAAAATGAATTTCAGGTTTATCATGGGATCCAATAGTGTAAACATGTTGTTTAACAATATCGAGGTTGTCATTGGTAGAAAATCTAAAATACAATAAAACTCGTTCCCTTCTGGTAAAAAGACTAGATTCCAGAAGTTGGGAAGATGTACATATTTTTAAAAATATACTTCAGAAGCAAAGAAAATAGGGATATCACTGATGAAATCCTCAATACCCACGAGGCAGTGAAGGCAGCAATCATACACTGGGAAGAGCACTGTAAGGTTGGAGATGTAGCTCACAGCTCAATGGCAGAGTGCCAGCCTAAGTAGTATGTGTAATACGTGCACCTTGGTCTGGATCCTCCGCATTTAAAAAAAAAAAAAAGTGTATCCTTGATTTCGTTAATAAAATGTTTAAGCCATTTTTTTTTTCTCATTTGGCAACCTGGGATGCCCATTATTTCACAATTGGGAAGATCAAAGGAAATGTGTCTTAATTTACTGTGTAGTATGAAAAGTACCATATAAATACAAGCTACTCTTTTAAAACTATGACTACCTTCTCTTATTGACGATTTTCTCAAGTACTCCATAAAGTAGGTACTCCATTTGCAGCCTGTGTTTTTCACCCACAAGGGCCTTGAAGTTGGGCTCAAAAATCTCCTTATTCCCTCTGTAAGAATTCTACTCTGGTGAGAAACATTGACCTAGTGAAGATTTTGAGGAGAGACCAGGTTTTATGCTACATATCCCATACCATACAGCAGTGCTGATTTTATTTTTTGACCGAATTGGGAGTCTCTCCCCCATTCTAGGTAAGCGCTCTCGCACTGAACTTCCCCCAGTCCAGCACCAGCATCTTGTTTAGAGTCCTCTTCTTCATAGTCCAGCTAATGCTTTACGGGTTTCATTTCTTTCCTTTGGCTTCTCACTTCCCCTCTTGAGTCTTTCCCTCCAGTTTCTCATTCTTTTCCTTTCACTTTCTTATGTGGGCGGATTAATTCCACGCATTTATTTCCAAAAAGAACCTCTTAATGCCAGGCGTCACCTACTTTTGATTTTTTTTTTTTTTTCTTTTCTTCCACACACCTATTCTCGGGTCTATTTCAAAGCCTTCAGTTCTGTTCTGGTGATCTATCCTTTTACCAAAACCAAGAAAGAGAGCGGAGCGGAAAGCACTCAGGAACCAGCGGAGGGTTCGCTCACTAGCTCGCCCCAAGGCTCGCGCTCGCGCGCTGTCACTCACTGCCCAAGCCCACTGGGCACAGGCGCAGCAGGCCCACGAAGTCCCACCCACTCGGGATCTCTCCCGCCCCCGGAAGTCGTGGATCGGAAGCGGTGAGAACTGAGAGGCACTGGCCAGGAAGCGGGGATGGGGGCAGTTCTCTGTGCGTAGACTGAAGTATTCCTTGCTCCGTCCTACGCGGGTCCGTGGCGGCCTGACATCAAGGGCCGGGAACGTGTAGGTCATGGCGCTGGCCTCGCGAGTGTGGCGCTTTCTCCCTTTGGCACGTGGAGCTGTTCCGGGTACTCGGTTTCCGACGAGGACTTGGGGCAGCCGTGAGCAGTGCTGCCCCGGGCGATTCCGCGGCCCTGAGGTAACCTCGCCTCCCTGGCTCCCTGTCTCTCCCTACCGTGTGGGTTCGGACTCCCGCCAGCTCTCGGCTGGGAGGCTCCGCACCACCTATGGGAAAGAGAACCGTGGAGGAAACTCAGGGGCAAGTGTGCCTGGACCGCGCCCCTTGACCGCTACGGACTGGTCCTTGCCCTTCCGCAAGCCTCCTCTCCTTAGAAAACTGGGCTTAGGTCAGAGAAGTAGTGAGTACGTCTCACGGAGAAGTTGCCCGCTGGCTGACCACCTTGTGTGAAAACATGGAGAACAGGATGGAGAAGGAACTTTGGCCGCTCTGAAAAAATTTTCACTTTTAGCAATTCCAGCTGTTAACCGAGTCTGCTAGATAGACTTTTAAACGACTGTGTTGTGACCGAAAGCTTCCTACGCAGAAACATATATATACATACATATATATACATTGTTTTATATATATATATATATATATATATATATATTAAAATATATATACACATACATATACATATGTATGTATATATATATATAGTAAAATATATATACACATACATATACATATGTATGTGTATATATATTTTAAAATTTGGGTTTGGGGCTTTAAGAAATTATTTCTGAGGGTTTTTTTAATATACATAGTGTTAAGAAAGGATGTCGGGATATTGTAGTCGCAGTTCTGTCATTTCTATTAGACTGCTTGTGGGACTCAGTTTATTTTTTATTTTTTGGTACCTGGGGGTTGAACCCAGGGGCGTTTAGTCACTGAGCCACATTCCCAGCTCTTTTTAATATTTTATTTAGGAGACAGGGTCTCATTAAATTGCTTAGGGCCTAACTAAGTTGCTGAGACTGATTTTGAACTTGTGCTTCTCCTTCCTGGGCTTCCTGAGCCTTTGGGATTACAGGCAGGCACCAACTCGCCAGGCTCTCAGTTTAATCTTGAAAGTAAGTTGGGCATTGGATGTGACATTCTTGTGGTGCCTATGAGCTATTTCACTTGGACTAAGTGTTTCATTATTTTAAACTGTAATACATTTTTAGCAGATTGCTTAGAACAACAGAGGTTTATTATCCCTGGATTCTGTTGGTTGGGTATTCAGGTGCAGCTTAGCTACCTACCTCAGGCAGAAGGTCTCTCCTGAGGTTCAGTCACACTTGTCAGCTGCTGAGGTCTGGGGTAAAGGGGAAGTTCTGCTTCCAAGTTCAATGCGATTGCATGGCTGTAGGCACACTTTCTCTTCTGCCTGCTGCTGCCAGCAATTCAAAGTCACTGGCTTACCCCCTGGGCAGGCAAGTGATCAAAGAGAACAAATGAGATCATGTGTCAATGATTTTTTAAAATAATAACTTAATCTTGGAAATGATATCAGCTCTGTTGTATTCTATTTCTTGGAAAGGAGGCAATAAACTCAGCATACATACAAGAGTGTGACTATGAGAAGGCAGGATTATTGGGGAGATTTTAGAGGCTGCCTACCACAACCAGATTCTAAAAACCTTATAAACCATGGTAAGTATTTCTGATTCTAGTCTAAATTGTTAAGTGTTTTACTTCTTCTTCTTCTTCTTTTTTTTTTTTGGTATTGGGAATTTAATAGGGGTGCTTTACCATTAGATACATTCCCTGCCCTCCCCTTTTTATTTTTTGAGACAAGGTCTCACTAAGTTTCTGAGAGCCTTGCTAAATTGTTGACTCTGGTCTTGAACTTGTCATTCTCCTGTCTCAGCCTCCCAAGTAGCTGGGATTATAGGCATGTGCCATTGGGCCCAGACTGTTAAACATTTTGAATGAGGAAGTCATTTGATCATACTTGATTAAAAAATTAGTCTTAGGCTACAGTGAATGCTGGAGACCAAATAAAAGATCATTGCTGTAGGACAGGTAAATGTGGTAGTTTGAACTTTAGTGGAAATTGAGATAAGTGGATTCATTCAAAGAATATCAAGAATGTAGAATTATTGGACCTAAAAGATAGGTGCAGTGTGGGGGTTGAAAGGAAAGTCAATGAAGAATCTATGGTTTCTGGTAGTGTTATTTATTGGGGTAGGACCTCAGAAAGACTTGAGGGGTAAGGGGGAAATAAGTTGGGTTTTAGACTAATTAAGATGAGTGTGGTAATATAAACAGATTGACATTGATGGGTAGTAGTTTGTTAGGTCTGCTGATTACCTTCTGAGGTCTGGGCTACAAATACAGATTCTGGAGCATCTACCCTATGATTGTAAATTATGCCATAGTAGAGATTGAGAGTATTTAATAGACCAAAAGAAGGCCTAATACTAATCAGAGAAATTCTGATATTAAAAAGGAGAAGAAACTGGCAAGAATTTATAAGAGAAAAAGCAGGAGATAGTGGTGACACATTTCTTTTCATCTACTGATGGGTTTAATTTTGTTTTTTGTGGTACTGGGTATTGAATCCAGGGGTGCTCTACTACTGAGCTACACTCCCTGTCCATTTTAAAAAATGTTTGAGTCTAGGTCTTATTAAATTGCTGAGGCTGATTTCAAACTTTTTGATTCTCCTGCCTCAGCCTCCCCAGTTGCTAAGATCACAGTCTTGTACCACCAGACCTGACTTGAGCTTATATTTTTAATTCTGCCTGGAACAAAGTTGTTACACTCAGTGTTGAAAAAAAAAAAAAAAAAAAAAAAGACTGTCTGAAACAGCCTACTTCTTTTGTTCAGCAAATACTTTTTGAATATTTTGAAATTTTTTGAAAATAATGCACTGCAACTTCAAAGTACATAGTGAAATAATGTGTTCCAACTGTCTCAGATATTTTTATAAGTTATCAGTATCTTGGAGGTGTCACTGAGGTGTGGGTCTTTCTTTTTTTTCTTCAAGTTCAGAAACATGATTTTCATTTACTTTCCCATAGATGAGCAAAGAGCTGCTTTATATTAATCAAACTGACAAGAGCTCAGCTGAATAACTGGCACTTCATAAATTTATAATAAGAAATATAAATAGCATTTTCTCCCTTCTAAGAAAGCCAGGATATTCTTTGTTGTGCCTTGTTTCAGCACAGAAAATTGACACTCTAAATGTCAAATTTCCTTAGGCTATAGTGGACTACACATGCATTCTACTATGTGATATACTCTATCCCTAAAAGCAATAGGAAACTAAGACACTTAAAAATAAACCAACCCTCCCTTCCTCCCTCCCTCCCTTCCTTCCTTCCTTCCTTCCTTCCTCCCTCCTTTCCATCCTTCCTCCCTCCCTCCCAGGGATTGAACTCAAGGGCTCTCAATCCAGACACATCCCCAGCTCTATTTTGTATTTAGAGACAGGATCTCACTGGGTTGCTTAGCGCCTCACTTTTGCTGAGGCTAACTTTGAACTTGTTATCCTAGTACCTCAGCCTCCTGAGCTGCTGGAATTATAGGCTTGCACCACTGGCCTGGCCTGATAAACTAGTCTTTTCCTCTTTTTTTCCAGGCAACACCACTACACATGTATATACCTTTTTCCCTTACTCCATCTCTTTTTGATAATTAAGCATTAACTCAAAAAATTAAATGCTGAAGATGTGACCATAACAAATTTAGTTTTACTACTTTACAGTGGATTTTTTTTTTTTTTTAAATCCAGTTGCGTGCAATGCCTTGAGTATTCATGCTGGACCAAGGAAACAGCATTTGGCAAATTTGGAATATGGTGGATTCCCCATTCCTACTCTAGATGCTTATCAGAAGTGCAAATGTGGATCAGATGTGGGTTGGAGGAGTCCAGAATGACTTCAGGGTTTTTTGTTGATTTTTCTTTTTTAAACTGAACAAGTAGAAGAGAGTTGCCATTTACCATGATAGAGAAAAATACCAGAGGAGTGAATTTGGTAGAAAGAACAGTTGTTTTGAGATGCCTAATAGAGTTTTTCAGAGACAATTTTTGAATAGGCAGTAGATAAATGATTCTGAAATTAGGGGTGACATTTAGCTAGAGATAAGAGTGTTTTGGGCTTATTAATGATATGAGACAAAGTTAGATCATGAATAGAGAAAAGAAGAAGACTTAGCTCAGGACATGAGCAAGGTGATATTGGAGATGAACTAACAAAAGAGAAGTCACTAAGACATAAGGAAATCCAAGAGAGTAGTATTTCAGAAGCAGAGTGTTTCAGGGTAGCAATGAAGTGCTGGGAAGGGCATTGTGAAGAGAAAATTTGTAGCATTGTTCATTATCTTGATTGTGGTGATGATAATGGTTTTCCAGGTTTATATATATGTCTTAAATTGTACATTTTATGTAGTTATTGTATGTAAATCATGTCTCAATAAAGCTGTTTTTAAAAATTAAACATACATTCATGATTTTTTTTTTAGAGGAAGTGATCAGCAGTCAAATGCTGTTAAATAGATCAAGTAAGGTGACAATTCAGAATTGACCACAGAAAATACAGGATGAATATCCTGAGTCTGATCCTAAATACTTCAAAATCTGAAACTTTTTTAGTGCTGTAAGTGGAAAATTTTATATTTGCTTTCATGTGATGGGTCACAGTCAAAACATAGACACTAAAAGTATTCTATAAAATTGCCTTCAGGCTGTGCAATAAGGTGAATATGAAACATAAATCATCCACAAGATAATCTTATAAGGTTGATGCAAATATTCCAAAATCTGGAAAAAAAAATCCAACATCTGAAACCCTTCTGATCCCCAAGCATTTTGAATAAGGGATATTCAATATGTAGCAGCATCTTTGGCATCATTAACTAGAATACCATCAGTGGAGTTGTGGGGATTCTTTTTTTTTTTTGGTACTGGAGATTGAACCTAGGAATTGAACTCAGGGGTCCTTTACCACTGAACTACATCCATAGCCCTTTATATTTTTTGAGACAGGGTCTTACTAAGTTACTTAGGGCTGCCCAAGTTGCCAAAACTGGTTTTGAACTCACAATCCTCATGCCTGAGCCTCCCAAATTGTGGAATTACAGGCTTGCAGTACTGTGCCTGGCTTATTTGTGAGAGTTAAAGAGAGAATGGGAAGGGAGATAGGAAGTGAAGGGGAAAGGGTTTTTTTGTTGTTGTTTTGTGATTTTTGTTTTGTTTTTTTTATACAAGTAAGAAGCTAACTTTTTATACTGATGGGAATAAATTTAAAGGGAAAAATTCAGGAAAAGGAAGAAATTGCTAGAATGATATTCATTCCTCTTTGTCATTGGTCTCAAGAATATGGTTATAATAGCGGGCATGGTGGGGCATACATATAATTCTAGCTACTCAATAGGCTGAGGTAGAAGGATTGCAAGTGTGAGACCAACCCAGGGAACTCATTGATCCTGCCTTAAAAAAATGGAAAGGACTGAAGATATAGCTCAAAGGTAAGTTGCCCCTGGGTTCAGTCTCCAGTACTGGGTGGAAAAAGAAAAAGGAAAAAAATCTGGCCATGATTATGAAAATTAATTTCTAAATCTGTTTGAATATGATTTTGTTTTATTCACCATGTATTTAAAACCTCCGGGTTTCATGGGTGATTTCAAACATGTTTTCACTTAAAGCTGTGTACGTTTTTTATGTGTTGCAGTTACTGTATTTGATACTCTTCATCTTGTTTACTAACAAAAGTCGATATTTGTCATGTGTTGATGTCTCATATTTTGTTTCATACAATTTATAATATCTAGGCCTCCACATAAAAATTTGGGTCTTTAAATCCAGCATTTACCATCACAACTGTGATTTTTAATAATTTGTTTATTTTTGCAGTGTTGGGGAGCTAACCCAGGGCCTTGAATATGGAGTCAAGTGCTTTACCACTGAGCTATATCCTTAGCCCATGACTGAGTTTTAGATGAGCTACCACTTCTAGATAGTCTTTTTCTTAATAAAATACACTATCCCTGTAAGGTTTAAAATAGATTTCCTGGAGAATTTGAAGAATTCATTTTTGAGCATCCCGTATTTTTATGATTAATTGCTTTGGAGGTGAGAGAAAATTGATGTAAAATTTTGCTTGGGGTAGCAGTTTCTCCAAATTTTCTAAGTTGGATAACTCTGCCATATTGTTTTTCCATAGGTGATAGGTAACGCAGGAACTTTGAAAAGAGGCCTTTTATTCTCAGCCTTGTCTTATTTGGGTTGTGAAACTTATCAAGTCATTTCGCAGGCTGCTGTTGTTCATGCCACAGCCAAAGGTAAGCATAAACTAAATATCTGGGAGACTTAGAGTTATTTTTGTTTGATATTTTGTTATTAACAGTTGTTTTTGAATAGATAATGAAACTAATATTGTTATAGTCCAGGTTATTTTTTGCTCTTATTCTGTACATGTATTAATTTTTTTTTAGCAAACTAAAATTTCTTCAGTAACAAATACTTTGTTAATACTTAATATTTTTGTAATTGGTTGAAAAGTGAAAAAAATATTATAATTCTTATTTGGTATAATATAGACTAGCAAATTTTTAAAACAGATTTAGTTAAATCAGTTTTCTGAGGGAAAAGAGCTAAAATTTTGGTATATTAGAGAAATATGATTTTAATTTCTTGGACTAATACTTTTTGGTTTATAGTCCTCATTTTTAAATCATAAAAGATGACTGGGAAAAGAAACATTTGATTTGGGGTAGTTTTTTTGATGGGGAGTTGTACAAGGTATTGAACCCAGGGGCACTCTATCCCTGAGTTGGATTCCTAGCCCTTCTTTTTTTTAGTTTTGAGACAGGATCTTGCTAAGTTGCCCAGGCTGACCTCGAACTTTGGATCCTTCTACCTCAGCTTCTCTGAGTTGCTGGGACTATAGGCACATGCCCATCATTCCTGGCTGATGAATATCTTTTAAAGTTCTAATAGAATAATAATTTGAAACTGCTGTCAAAAATGATTAATTGCCTAGTCATTTATCCATGACTGTTTGTTTTTATTTGCTACTGGAAATTGAACCTAGGAGCATTTTACCAGTTCCTTCTTTTTAAAAATATACGTTTTAAGATAGGGTGTCCTTTGGGGCTGAGGATGTGGCTCAAGTGGTAGCGCGCTTGCCTGGCGTGCGTGCGGCCCGGGTTCGATCCTCAGCACCACATACCAACAAAGATATTGTGTCTGCCGAGAACTGAAAAATAAATATTAAAAAAAAAAAAAAAGATAGGGTGTCCTTAAATTTCTGAGGGTCTTGCAGAGTTGATGAGGGTGGCCTTGAACTTGGGATCCTCCTGCCAGAGTCTCTGGGATTACAGGAATGTGCCACTGCACCTGGCTAAAACAGATAACTGAGAACTGCTATACTTTCTTTTTATTATTACTTTTTTAATGTATCATTTTATAAAGAAAGGCAAAGCAGAGGATTTCTATTTGTCACTGGCTCATTGACAATATTTGATAAATACAAAAAGCGTCTGTTTAAAGCTCCCTAGACTTTTCACAGTAACTTTAATTTTATAATTTTTTTTTAAGAGTCAAAGTGGCAGAGATTAGAACCTATATTTTTATTTTTCTGTCTTAGTTTCATTATGTGTTAGTATTGTTGCAGAACTGATTTAGTGCTTCCGTAGGCAATAAAATATGACACTTTGAAAGGCAAAGCCAAAATTGTTTTTAGCCTTAGTGATCACAGAACACTTTTTTCAGAAGTGTCTTTATGACATAAAAAAATCACTGAATATATGTTCATACGAAAACATTTTAAGATGATTTGCCTTCTTGAGTCATGTACTAGCTGGATGCAGCTGCAATAGCAAAATTGAGGAGACATCAAACAGTGGTTCTTTTCACACCTCAGCAAGTTTTTAAGCTACTTCTTTTTTGAAAAATATTTATTTCTTAGTTTTTTTTTTTTTTAGGTGGACACAATATCTTTACATTTATATGGTGCTGAGAATCTAACACAGTGCCCCACGCATGCTAGACGGGCCTGCTACCACTTGAGCCACATCCCCAGCCCCTTTAAGCTACTTCTTGCCATTTTCTTCCTCCATCTTTTGAGAGAGCAACCTTGAGCTAGACTGAGGGAGTCCTGCAGACCAACCAGAGAATAGATGCTATAGGAGCAAATTTATCTTACCAGTGGATGGCTGTGTGTTCCCATGAGGCAGCATGCTTCCCACTCAGGGCAGCTGACCCTTCACCCCTGTTTTCAAGATGGTGACTGTTGAGAGCAAACTTATTAAAAATTTCACTTCAGAGGAATTTATTAATCACAGTAAAATAGTAAAGATTTCTATAAGTGAATTGGAATGGTTGGCCTGCCTGTGCTATAGGCATCTTATTAAAAGGCTTGAGTAACGAACTTGCCTCCCTAGGTGTTAATGAAGGCAAATTTAAGGGTTTGACAGTAGATCTTCAGCGTGGTATTTCTTTCTTTCTTTCTTTTTGGTACTGGGGGTTAAACCGAAAGTCACTTTACCACTTAGCTACATCCCCAGCACTTTTTATTTTTTATTTTGACACAGGGCCTCACTAAGTTACTTATATTCTTGCTAACTTACTGAGGCTGGCTTTGAACTTGTGTTTCTCTTACCTCAATCTCCTGAGTCGCTGGGATTACAGGCATATAGCACCATACCCAGCAGCATGGTGTTTCTTTCATGACAGTGCCAAATATAGTTTGCAGCAAAAGATTACTTCATCATTGCAAACTCCAGCCTACTGATTATCACAGCATGTGAATGTCCAGGAAAAAGGAGAAACATGCCTTAATGTAGTCCACTGAAATGTGTCCATCTTTAAATTCATGATTTCCAGTGTTACCCAATATAATTGCCACTGCAAACTAAATAGTAGTTTTCAGTTTAGTAAGTATCTTATGTATTTTGGAAGTTGAGTGCATTTGAATAAACTTGGATTCCTAAACATTGGAAAAGGAAAGTGGGCAGACTGACTGCCCTGTTTATTTAGCCCTCTAGGTCTTTTACCTAGCATTCAGATTGCATGGTACTTATTTTTACAATTCCTAAGTTGATGTTATTGAAAGTGGTTGTAATCTGAACACTGCCCATTTCCATTTTTTCCTTGTACCAAGGTTTGATACCCACAGTGAAAGCTGTCCTGAATGGCTTCTTGAAGAGCATGGGGACTCAGGTGTTCTTGTGTGGAGTGAAATTTACATTTCTAGTGTATTTTTTTTTAAAACCAGGTATTGAACTCAAGCTCCCAGGCTTTTTAAAATTTTTTTTTTGTTTTGTTTTGAGACAGGGTCTCGCTAAGTTGCTTATTAGGGCCTTGCCAAGTTTCTGAGGCTGGTTTTGACCTTACTATCCTCCTGCTTCAGCCTCCTGAACCACTCTAATTACAGCAGATGTCATCACACCCAGCTAGTGTCCTGAAGAGTCTGAACTCAGATATAGGCAATGATAATGATCTTGAACAGTGGAAAAAATTCACAAAAAATGATTAACTGTGGATATAAGACAGGACCATTGGCCTATCTATAGCTGATTTATTTTGGAAAATATTTTGAATATTCTATGAGAGTAGATCTTTTTCTACCATAAGTAAGGTTCTCCATGAAATAAATGAAGTATTCCTTAGTGTTCCTTGTATACTGGAAGAAAATGAAATGGTAGACCTTATAAAGCTTCACATTTGAAAAAGTGCAGAAAAACTATGAGAAATTCAGAAGAAGCTCAAGCTTTTAAAGTTGCATAATGTTACCATTCTGAAGTATTTGAGGAAGGGCTAGTAGTTATAGAATTGTATATTTGAATAAACTTGGATTCCTAAACATTGGAAAAGGAAAGGCGGTAGACTGATTGCCCTGTTTATTTAGACCTCTAGCTCTTTTTCCTAGCATTCAGATTGCGTGGTATTTATTTTTACAGTTCCTAAGTAACTGCATCAAAGAAAGTGTTTTAAGGAATCTCTGTTGTATTAGTATTTTGTGGTTGCCGTTTGGTCCAAAAAACATATGAATCTGTTTATTGTGTTATAAAATTCCACCTATCATGCTCATTGTTTTTGTTCTGAATTGTTTATTCCTGTGTTCATTTATATGCTATAAAAAAGTTGTAACTTCCTTTCAGTGTAAAAATATAAGGATGTAAACAGAAAAATAACTCTAAATGTTAATACTATTCCTAACATTAAACCTTGGCAGGAAAATGTTTTCACATTCTGAGGGTTGACTTGCTCTGAAAACTAAGTTCACTGTTTTTATTTTATATTTGAATGAAAACTGGCCTATGTTTTAGAATCCCTTCTGTATTTTGAAAGCATATTTGGAACACTGAAAAGTTAATACAAAAAAGAGTAAAATTATTTAGCTTGCTTTGGTTTTATTTAGCTTTATTTTCTTTTTCTTTTTTATTTTTGGCTGAACACTGCCTTATTTAACTTCAAAAAATTTTTAATTAACATGTAATAATTGTATATGTGGTACAATGTGATGTTTTGATATATGAATATAATTCAAAGTGATTAAATCAAGATACTTAACATTTCATCAGTGTATTTTTTGTGATAAGACAAAAATTTACTCTCCTAGGAATTGTGAAATATATAACACATTAATAACTGTAGTCACCATGCTGTGCAATAGATCTCAAAAACTATTCTTCCTAACTGAAGTTTTATATCCTTAGACTAACTTCTCTCTGTTCCCTCTGCCACCTCACCCCATCCCAGTGGTCACCCCTGGTAACCACTATTCTACTATCTACTTCCAAGTTTGACTCTTTCAGATTCTGCATGTTAATAACATCATACAGTATTTATCTTTTTGTGCTTGGCTTATTTCACCTCTAGATTTATCCATATTGTCACAAGTGACAGTTTCCTTCTCTTTTTAAGGCTGAATAATATTCTATTGGGTATATCTGCCCTACTTTTAAAAATTTATCATATGATGGATATTTAGGTTGCTTCTGTATTTTATCTATTGTGAATAATGCTGCAATGAATATAGAACTGCACATATCTCTTCAAAATACTGGTATCAATTCTTCTGGATATACAGGTTGAGTATCCTTTATCCAAAAGGCTTGAGATGCAGAAATGTTTGAGATTTTGGAGTTTTTCATAGACTTTGATCCTCTATAACCCCAAAATGCAAAACATGAAATGCTCCAAAATCTCAAACTTTTTTTTAATATAAGGTCAGCACTTAAAATTTTTTTTGAGTTTTCTCAGGATTTTGGATTTTCAGATTAGAGATGCTCCACCTAATTAGAAGTGTAATTGCTAGATCATATGGTAGTTCTATTTTTAGTTTTTGAGAAACCTCCATACTGTTTTCTATAATGGCTATAGTTTTATTAAACAGTAACCACCACTTTGTAATTAATTTACTGGTTAGTTCATATAATTTGTGAGATTAAAGACAAATTAATTCATAAAATAATTAATTTTATTAAACATTAATTCATAAAATAATTCTAACAAATTTTTAAACATGGAAAATCCCATGTTTCTGTTAAAATATACAATTTGGTGTTTACAGGTTTCTTTTGTCTTATATTTCTCTGTGCTGTATTTTTTTAGGAATTGGTATTCAGATAATTTTGCCCTTCAAACTTCTGCTTAATTCTCATTATATCTGCTTCATGCTTACTGTAGCCAGTTTAGAAGGTTTTTCCTCCTCCATTTACCAGGACTATATTCTGTGGTGGAACTTTCTTGTAATTTAATTAAAGTTTAAAGACATATGTTATGTGTTACTGATATTTCAGTTGAATGGGATTATAGGGCCCCTTTTTTCCCTCTCTTTCCTCCACATTATTGGACCTCTGCATTGGTAGGTATGCTGTCCTACAGAGCTATATCCCAAATTCAGGGCTGAATTTAAAAAGTAGTAATATACATAATTACCACAAGGTGGTGCTAAATACCCACTTACTTGCAGTAACTGAAGGAACTGCAGAAACTTAAATTATTTCTTTTTTGTTTTTTAATACTTTTTAGTTGCTGACCGATCTTTATTTTATTTATTTGTGTGCAGTGCTGAGAATCAAACCCAGTGAGTGGCTCACACATGCTAGGCAAGTGCTCTGCCACTGAGCCACAACCCCAGCTCAAATTATTTCTTTAAAATAGACAAATTATAAAGCCCCCTAAAGAAAGATATTCTAATACATTCACAGAACTGTTTTGAGTATGTGAAAGTTCACTCATAAAATGCTTAAAAGATAAGTAATTTAAAGGTTCTTTATGTATACTTTAGTTGTCTTTTCTTGTACTTTAAATAATTCTTCTTTTCTGATGAACCTATAGAACCAAGTGTTCCTTCTTACGTATTCATTTGTAGTACTGCAGAACATTTTTGGTAGTGTTATTTCCAGTGACATGCATTATTATATAACACACAGTATTATTGATGTGAAAGATTTGCCTTAAATTTGGATGATTTCATTATAACTTAGTTCCTGGAATCCAGATTTTCTGCTTTTTAAAGTTCTTTGTAGAGCAACTTTAGAAGTAGGGCAGTTTTGCTTGACAGAGGAGTACCTAAGGAGTATTCATTTTTGTCCAGATACCTTTGGCATGGCTAGACAGATTACTGTTAACAAGAAAAAACTAGAAAACCAAGTTTACTAATATATGCATGTGTCTTATCACTAACATTTCTTTTTTTTGTTGGGGGGGGGGGAGTACCAAGGATTGAACTCAGGGACACTTGACCACTGAGCCATATCTCCAGCCCTGTTTTGTATTTTATTTAGAGACAAAGTCTCATTGACTTACTTAGTGCCTCACTTTTGCAGAGGCTTTGAACTTGAGATCCTCCTGCCTCAGTCTCCTGAGCTGCTAGGATTACAGGCATGAGCCACTGAGCCTGGCAACATTTCTTTCTTTGAAAAACTCTTAGGGAGCATTTTTAGGCTAAATTTAATATTTCACTGTAGGTGAATTATGAAAATCTAGGATATTTACTCATTATGTTGAAAGTGATTTACTTCAAAAGTTAGTTCATTTTATAGAATATGATCTCTATGTCAGTAACATAGCTTATTTTTAAATATTGCTTATTTCTAAATATTTTTAGGAAAGTACAAAACAGCTGACTTGGAGATATATAGAGTGCTCTACATTGTTTTCACCTAAGTCTATATATAAGTGTATTTTTTTCTTATAAATTGGATACTATATTGTTTTAGAAATTCCTTTTTAGAATTAGAAAAAATAAAATTTCTAAAGCCTGGATACTATAACTTATTATGCTATATTGTATAATAAAGAAATTGGAGCTATGTGATTTGAGAGATTATTCAGGATACACACAGAAGATTTAGGTTATACACTAGATTTCCATATTAATTACTTGGATGAGGAGATGTAAATTTTCTGTTAAGTGCAATAATCATCTTTTAGGGAATCAGAATAATAAATGAATATAAGTAACTTGCTACTTATACATGCCACGTACACTTCCAAATATGCCAGATCAATTGATCTACCTACCTTTCTACTTATATTTTCCTAGTGTTTTGTCATTTCCATAGTAAACGTCAGTGACTTAAAACAACACAGTTTTTTAATCTTACAGTTGTGTAGTTGAGAAGTACAAAATGGCTCTCACTGAACTAAATATCTAAATGTTGATAGGGCTGTGTTTCTCTCTGGAGGACCTCTGGGAGAAACTTCTTATTTCTTTCCGCTTCTAGAAGCTTCTTACATTCCTTGGCCAAAGGCCTCCTTCCTCCATGTTCAGATCCAATAATCTCATCATTATGATTTTGTTTTCATTATATATCTCCTTTCTGTCTTCTTCCTCCTCCTCCTCCTACTTTTAAAGACCTTATAATTATATTGGGCCAACTGGATAATTCAGGATAATTTCTATTTTAAGGTTAGCTGATTAGTAACATTAATTCCATCTACAATTTACATTGCCATGTAACCAGACATATTCACATATTCCAGGGATTAAGATACAAATGTTCTTGGAGACCATTTTGCCTACCATAACTATCAACTAAGAATGCTGAGATTACTGCTTATTTTAAGACTCTTTGGGTGTTTAAAACCCAAACTTTGTGAATCAGCCTTATATCAGATAAAAATATAAAATAGAATGGAAGCAAACTTCAGAAATTAATCAGCCATGTGAATACTTATATTAAATTCTATGTTTCTAATCATACTGAAATAGTATTAGTGAGAAAAATCTTTATTTAATTTTAAGGCTTTTTTGTTTTTGTTATGTCATTTAATTTCTTAACTAATTTAATTACATTAAAATGTTTAAATATACTTCACTTGCACTATTGTGCATATTTCTTTCTTTTGCTAGTTTAGATTTTATGTATTTTATTTATTTTATTTTTTGATAACTGGGGATCTAACTCAAATCTAACTTTATCAATGAGCTACATCCCCGGCCCTTTTAAATTTTTTATTTTGAGACATGGTGTGACTACATTGCTAAGGATTTCACTACATTGCTGAGGCTGACCCCAAACTTTGATCCTCCTGTCTTAGCCTCCTGAGTCACTTGGATTACAGGTGTGTGCCACCATACCTAGCCTGGATTTGAATTTTTGAAAAGCTTAAACTTTTAACTTCAAATACACTAAGATTAATTAAACTATGTCAAGATAAATAATAAACTTAACACATTATAGAGTTGGCTTATAAGTAGGATAAAATGATACAACACCTTTGGAGAAGACAAAATTAAAGTATAGATTGAAATTTTCTGAAATTCATACTGTTTTTTCAATTAGTAGGGCATACACCATCAATAAGGCTTATATATTTTGTGGTTGTATATAACATAGTTGTAAGAGTTGGTGCCAGTGAGTTAAGTTTCAGATTCTGTCTGTAGTTAACTACATCAAAGTTTTTTGTTTTTTGTTTCTGTGGTGCTGGGGATTGAACCCGGGGCCTTGTGCATACGAGGCAAGGACTCTACCAGCTGAGCTATTCCCCCTGCCCAACATCAAAGTTTTTGATGCCGGACTTTTTTTTCATAATAGTGTCTTCAAGTATAAGGTAGATCATGAAAGAACCTAGGAAAATATTGTGATTCAGTCCATTCAAATTAACAGTATTCAATGCTGTAAGTGAATGAGTTATCAGGTTTTTTTCTTTTTATAATGGATGATATTAAAAATAGTGCCAACAAAAAGACTACATGTATGGAGGTATGTGTACCACAAATTCCTCATCAAAATTGTTTTTTCATTTTTTGAAAATGTAGGTATCATATTTAGCATCAGAATAAGTTTCCAGGTTTTATTTTATTTTATTTTTTAAATATTTATTCTTTAGTTATAGATGGACACAATATCTTTATTTTTATGTGGTGCTGAGGATCGGACCAAGTGCTTCACGCATGCTAGGCGAGTGCTCTACCTCTGAGCCACAACCCCAACCCCTGCAAGTTTTATTTTCTATGACTTTAATAAATCGTTTATTTTATTGGTTTTGTACTTATCTCTACAATACTTCTTCACAATTTTAGAAGTAATTTCTGGATCTGATTTTTCCTTATATATAAAAGCATTTCTTTCTTAGAATTATTGCCATTTGACTTGAGAAGACCTACTTTATTGTATCTTTTTTTTCTTTCATAATGTTGGAAGTTGAAGAGATTCTTGAACAAGCTGACTATCTGTACGAAAGTGGAGAAACAGAAAAACTTTATCAGTTGCTAACCCAATACAAAGAAAGGTAGGCATTATATGATAGGTATGGGTTTGAGGTTTCCTCAGAATTTTTGTTAATTAATGATCTGTGGTGCTTTAAATTTTGTGAATTATTGTAGCTTTTCTTCAATAATATTTCTTAGAGTTTATAGTAATTACTCAAAAGGTGATATGTTGATTTAGAAAAGATGTTTCTCTACTTATTCTAGTAGAATATTGAAATCTTTTTTGCGTTTTTATCCTGGACCTTACAAGATATCACTGAATATTTATCTCATATATCTATATTATATATTTCTCTTTTCTTTTAAAGTAATACCTTATTGGTATAAGATTTAAATGAATTCACTGGGATTTGAGATGATTATTGCCACCACTGAATAGTAACTATTTAGAGCACAGTTTTTCAGGGAGGAAAAAAAAAAAGACTCCTTCCTCAATTTCTAGTACTACATATTTAGTCATTTTACACTTTTTTTTTTTTTTTGGAGAGTGGAGGTAGAAGAAGACTCATCCCTGTAAAGTAAGTCAAATAAGGCTAACTGAAATTTCCAGATAATCAATCTGCCTCATCTCCTAAGCTAAAAATACTGAATAATTTTCAGCTTTCGTAGATTCAAGAAAAGAACATTTTCCCCAAACCTGTCAATTTTACTTCCTAAGCATTTACAGAATCAACCTTCCCTTCTTCATTGTACACTCAGTAACCTGAAGTGGCTATTTAGGCACTGTATAGTCATTTTAGTGGTAACTTGCTATTTTTTTGTTGTTGTTCTTTAAAAATGTATCAAGTAGGTGTAAAGGCAGACTTTTAACAAAAAGGTTTAAGATTAATTTTAAAAAAATTTTGTTCATTGTGGCTATTATTAACTATTTCTTATTTTAAATAATTATATTTAAATGGAAGCTTTTCAAGGACTCCAGTACTTTTACTTAAAATAAGCCATGTATTATAGCAGGGCATTCTAACATGGGATTTATTTTGAGATTACAAAATATATTTACTCATTCATTAACCAATACCTACAGGTACGTGTGGGGTGCAGAGTTTTCTATTTGGGGCTACAGATTTGGTAGCATTTTTTTTTTTTTTTAAGTGCACGATCCTGTTACAAAGTTCATATTATCTTGTGGTACCATCTGAGCCGGTTAGTGAATTATGTAAAGCACATTGCCAGTGAGGTAAAAAGCTTCAATTTACATATTGCGTTTTGTAGGGAAAATGATTAAAGTATTGAAATACAAAAGTATTTTCTGAGGAAGTCAGTATTTTTGACATTATAGATGAATTAGTATTTATGAATAAAACTAGACATTTTTATAGGAAGTTTTTAGTAAATAAAGGTTTTAAAGAAAGAAAATAATAAATTTAGCATTATTAAAAATGGCTTTTGATATCATATTGCTTGCTATATTCTAGCCAGGCTGAAAGACCATTTGTTAGTGATGTGACCTTTAGTAATTTTTAAGTGCATTAAAATGGTGGTTTTATATTTTACTTCAAATTAAGTGAAGATGCAGAGGTACTGTGGCGATTGGCTCGGGCATCACGTGATATTGCTCAGCTTAGCGGGACTTCAGAAGAGGAGAAAAAGCTTTATGTGTATGAAGCCCTAGAGTATGCAAAAAGAGCATTAGAAAAAAATGAATCAAGTTTTGCTGCTCATAAGGTAAGTGGTTATCATGTAGGTGCATTGTTTATACTTATCTAAATAAGTAGTGAAGACATTAATTTTTATCTATTTTGTAACTTTTTCAAAAAGTAGTACTTTTTAATGGTTTCTATCTTTTAATATTTGTTGAGACTTGATTTATGGCCTGACCTGACATATCATTTATCATGTACCATGTGTGTTTGAGAATATGATTCTGCTATTGTGTTGAATGTTTTCAAGATATATGTTAGTGTTCAAATTTTCTTTCTTTGCTGTTTTTCTGTCTAGTATATCTATTCTCTTTTGGAAGTGGTTTGAAGTCTCCAACTATTATAATTGTCTGAGTTTTTGCTTTATATATTTTGTTGTACTTTCTTGATAATGTCCTTTTTCTCCACTAACTTTTGTTACAAAATCTATTTTGTCTGGTATTTGTGTAGTCACTCCTGCTTTTTCTAGCACTGTCTTCCTGAAGCATCATTTTGTATCCTTTTACCTTCAGCCTGTTTCTTTGAATCTGAAGTGTCCTGAAAAGTACATTGATTTATGTTTTTAATATGTTCTGCCAATTTCTGATATCTAATTAAGAGAGATTAAGCTATTTGTATGTAAAAAATTGATGATGCCATTTTGTTATTTGTTTTTTATTTGTTGTGTCTTTTTGTTTCTCAGTTCCTCCCTTAGTATCTTTTTTGTGTATTAAATAGATTTTCCTGTTTTGTTTTTCTTTCTTTTAGTGTTCCATTTTAATTCTTTTTTGTTTTCTTTTATTGTATATTTTTAGTTATTTTCTTAGTGGTTGTCCTGAGAATTACTGTCATAGTTCACAATAATGTAGTCATTGGATGTCAGTTTAATTTCAGTATTATACAAAACTTTGCTCTTATCTCTGCTTCTTCTCCCTTACTTTGACTCAATTGGTTTGCACCTTGATCTTGGACTTTCTAACCTCCATAATTGAAAAATAAATTCATAACTTTCTTCCTTCTTCTCTCCCTACTTTCCTTCCTTCCTTACTTCCCTTTGTAGTATTAGGGATTGAATCTAGGGTCTCACACATGTTAGTCAAGCACTTTACCACTGAGCTACATCCTCAGCCCTTTTTTAAATCTAAGTTGCCAGGCTGGCCTCAAACTGTGTCCATCTTGCCTCAGCCTCCCAACTACTTGTGATTACAGGTGTGCATCATCACACCTGGCTAAATTTCTGTTGTTTAATTTACTCAACTTATACTATTTTGTTATGGTAATCCTTGCAGACTTTAGATAGGTGTTCATGATTTCTGGTAAAAAAAATCAAATGTTAATCATACTTAGTACATGAGTCATACATGATGAGTCACTTCATTCTTGTTGCTTTCAGGATTCTTCTATTTTTAATAGAAGACAGAAGAATTGATTGTTGTGCCTTGATTATGATGTAACTACCTGTGGATCTCTGAATTTGAATTATAGCTGAATTTTCAGATATTCTGTTTCTGTTCTCTACTGGGATCTATTGTGCATATTTAGATGTGCTTAATATTATCCCACAGTTCTCTGAGACTATATTAATTTCTCTTCATTCATTTTTTCCTTCTGTTGATTAGGCTGGATAATCTCAACTGACCTATCTTCACATTAGCTGATCTTTTCTTCTGCCTGTTTAACTCTCTTGAGCACTCTAATGAGTTTTCATTTCAGTTACAGTACTTTTAACTTACATTTGTTTGGTTCCTTTCTATAATTTCATTTTATTCATTGTGTCTATTTAGTGAGATATTGTTCTCATATTTTCTTCAGTTCTTTTTCAGGTTGAAATTCATAGAAAGTATGTCTAGGAAACTTGCCCATTCATTGTAATGTTAGCTATGGGCTTGTTTTATTATGTCCAGGTGCATTTCTTCTGTAACAGATTTGTTCAGAGTTTTTAGCAGGAAGGAATGCTGAATTTTACAAATGTCTTTTCTGCATCTGTCAATGATATTTTTGTTCTTTTTTAAAAATATTTTTTAAGTTGTCAATGGATCTTTATTTTATTTATTTATATGTGTTGCTGAGAATTGAACCCAGTGCCTCACACGTGCTAGGCAAGCACTCTACCACTGAGCTACAATCCTAGCCTCTTCTTGTTGTTCTTAACTCTGCTGATGTGTGGTGTCACATTCATTGGTTTGTGTATATTGAACTGTTCTTGCATCCCTGGAATAAATCCCACTTTATCATGGGAAATAATCTTTTTAATATGCTAATGGATTTGATTTACTAGTGTTTTTTCCTTGAGGATTTTTGCACATGTGTCCATCAGGAACATTGGCCTATAACTTTTTTATGTTGTGTTCTTGTTTGGTATTGAGAGCTTGGTGCAAAAAGCATTTATATCTATGTAATGTGTGTGTGTGTGTGTGTGTGTATATATATATATATATATATATATATATATACACATACTACAAAGCAAAAATAATAATAATGACTGCATTAATATGTTAAGAGACACTGGATTTCACCATGGCAGACCCAGTATTGGTTTCCAACTTTAAAAGCCTGGTCTTAATTACCTATTCACTCTCCACCCCCATCCCCCCCACCACCACCACCTGACTGCCAAGCAGGTTTCTCTCCATGCGTGTTGCTTGAAGTTGTGTGAAGGACGACACAGGCACAACTTTCCTTTCTTCCTTCTTCAGTGCATCTTATTATTATGTTACAACCATGAACTATGGTCTCTCACTTGGTTTCCCTAGCTCTTGTGAAGGTAGTTCTGTGCATCAATAGCTATTCAAATTGATATTTCTGTGGGCAGATGATCTCTGGAGGGTCTTCTTCCACTGCTATCTTGTTCTGCCTTTTATAGGTGGTTTTTGGTTCTTTTCCTCTGACTCCTTCTTTTCTAGGATTCAGCTATACTTATATTTGTTCACATAAAATTGTTCAAAAATTCACCAATCTGTTCTTTGTTTCTTTGCTGCTTTCTTTTTTTCAACTTTATTGCCTCTCAGTGTTCCATTTGGGTTAGTTTTATTTTCAAGTTCAATAATCTTTTCTAAAATGATTTATCTGATTTTAGTATCTTACTTTTACTTATTAAACATTTTTGCCTTTCCTCCAGCTTCTTAATATATGAAACCAAGTTATAAGAACTACTTTAATATTTTGGTTTATCAGTTTTATCTTTTGTGTCATTTATGGGTCATTTTTCAATTTTCTTTTCCTCACTAGTCTTGTTTTCCTTCTTCTTTGAGGAATTTACTAGTAATTTTTGATTAATGCTTGGTGCCAGATATTATGAATTTTACTTTGTCAGTGCTAAATATGTTTATATTGCTAAATATGTTCTCCAGGTGTATTCTGGAACATGCTTGTGTTATGCAGAAATAATTGGATCCTTTTAGATGTTGCCTTAAGACTTGTTAGGTAGGACTAGAGCCTAAGAGAAACTATTATATTTGATCTATATTAATTTTTTCCACAACTGATATTCCCAGCCCTAAGGGAACCCTGGGCTTCTAATACTTTTGGGTGATTCTTCTTCTATTCTTGGATAGTTTATTCACAAGCAGGTCCTGATGTTAATTCTGCCAAGTAGTCACAGGTACCTTCTACAGTTTGAGTTGTAGCCCTGGGCACCTTCCTATTCTATCCTGCAAACTATAGCAGTTGGGGTGGGGGTGGGGGTCCCCAGACTTTCACTGTTATCTCCTCAAAGTAGGGAAACTGTCAGGCTTTATAAATTTTTACCCGCTTGGAGCTATAACTTGGAAATCTTCTCTAGGCAGTAAAATGGAGCAGTCATAGCTAACCTTGTTTTTTGTTGTTGTTTTTGTTTTGTTTTAATCTCTCAGGTGTTACTGTTGCCTGATATACAATATATTTAAAAGTCTTTTTTTTTTTTAAGTGTTTCAGGCAGGAGGGTAAGTCTTTTGTCCCTTCATTCCTAGACTATCTATTTGAAATAAAACTTTTAAGATGTGTGTGTGTGTGTGTGTGTGTAGTAGATGGACACAATACCTTTATTTTATGTATCTTTATGTGGTGCTGAGGATCAAACCCAAGGCCTCACACATGCTAGATGAATGCTCTACTGCTGAGCCACAGCCCCAGCCCTGAAATAAAACTTCTTTAAAAATGCAAACTCATTACAGTGGACATTTTAGAAAATGAATAAAAGTACAAATGTGGAAATAAAAATTACCCATGATATCATACTTCCTGCCATCAGTTCTTGCTATTATGACTACTAATAAACAGAAATGCCAAGCTAGTCCAAGTGGGAAAATTAGGAATCATCCATAAGTTTTCATTTGCTTTGTATTTAGGTTATGGTTGAATGTATAGGAAATGATTTGTGTGTCTGTGTGTATGCGTGTGCGCATGTATGTGTGTGTTGCTGGGGATCGAACCCAGGGCCTTGTGCTAGGTATATGCTTGACCACTGAGCTAGACACCTCCCCCATCCCCTTGATAAGAGGTGATTTTATTCAGAGCCACACATGTGGGAAGAGGTTAAAGCACTGAGTTTGAAGTCCTGTGTAACACTTGTAATCAACTCGATTTCTGCAACTGGATAACTATCAATTGTAACTATGGGGACAAAATTGACAATTGACAATTGTGGCTGTTCCTAGTGTAACAATCCAGACATTGGAGGAAACACAGATCCCAAAAAGATTATGACAAGATAAAACAACAGTGATTCAATTACAAGTTTTTTTTAAATGTTTTACTCAGACCGTAGACATGATTCATTGTCTCCTCATTGTATTGGCAATTTTCTTAAATAATTCACTACTTTCTGTCTTGTATTATACTTTCCTAGACACATATCTAATCCCTCAATTCCTAGAGGCCCCCATCCTCTTTTCTTTGTATATTCTACTACAGTTAATACAGTGCTCAATATATTTTTGTTAAATGAGAATGACCTTGAGGAAATTTTAATTTTTTCTTTATTGAATTGACTGTTAGAGAGTATGATTCTCACACCTTTTTCTCCCCTACTTTCAGTGGTATGCAATCTGCATTAGTGACGTTGGAGATTATGAAGGCATCAAGGTTAAAATTGCAAATGCCTACATTATCAAGGAGCATTTTGAGGTACTGACAAATTACTCAAGTTCATGAATTTAAAAAGTATTTTTCTGAATAGATTTATGTGTTATCAATTACATTATGTAGCAAACCATCTAAAACTTAATGTCCTAAAATTGGGTATTTATGCATTACATACTCATATTTCCAGCTATGTGGGGAGGCTGAGGGATGAGATCACCTGAGCCTAAGCGAGGACCAGCCTAGGTAGACAACCAGACCCTATCTTGAAAGAAAGGGAGAAAGAAGAAAGAAAATTTAGTGGTCTAGAGCAATTGACAGTTTATTTCATAGAATTCTGTGATTTAAAAAATTTAGTACTGTGGTGCTTCTGCCTTGCTTTAGTATGGCTAAGGTCATTTAGATGACAGTAGTCACCTGGAGCCTCAGCTGGGACTGGAATGTTTAAGATGTCCTCTCATATTTGAGAGTGCCTGTCCACTTGTCTTTTTAGCATGGTGTATCCTAAGCTTCTCTTTTTTTTTTTTTTTTTTTTGTTGATGGTGCTGGGGATTGAACCCAGGGCCTTGTGCATGCAAGGCAAGCACTCTACTAACTGAGCTATATCCTCAGCCCTAACCTAAGCTTCTTTATTGAATGGTAACTGGCTTTCAAGAATGAGCATTCCAACTGAAAGTTCCAGTGTACAAACTTATTAAATTTCTGTTTGCATTACACTTGACTTTTTGTCAACCTAAAACAAGTGACAGGGCCAAGCACAGTTTCTGAGGAAGGGAACTAGTCACACAAGGTCCTGAATACCTGAAAGCATGATCTAATGTAATAGTCTACCACAACTGACATACCATTCTCAATGGTAAGCATTGTATTTAAAGATTATGCTCTATGTGTATATTATGCATGTATTTTAATAGTTTCCCTAAAGTTAATACACTTATTTTTAGTAAGCTTTTCCTTTGACAAAAATTATGTATGAGTTTGTGTATTTCATAACATATACACATGACTTGTTATCCTAAATAAATTTAATACGGAATTTTAGCATATTAGTTTCTTTTGTGTTATTGTAAATCACCTCAAAAAATACAAGAGAAAAACAAGGAATAGAAACAAAGGGATAGTGCTGGATATGCTATCTAATTGTTCTTTAGAATTTTATGGTTATAGTCTCAATTCCTAGTTTATATAACTACTAGTAAAAAGTAACATTGAACTGGATGGAGTCAGGAAACTTAGATTCTGGTTCAGGCATCAGTAGTAGATATAGTTAATAATTTGCATTTTAGAATTTAATCATTTATTTGTTTGATATTTGAAGATATAATTGGCAGCAGGTTTTTTTTCTCTTTTAGTGGTATGTAAGATAATGATGTAACTTACTATTTTGAATATTTTGTATTAAATACACTAATCTCAGTGGAATTAGATAAGTTATTTAATTACTTTCTGCCTCGGGACAGAAATACATGATACAACTTTCAATGTAGGTAAAGAGAGACTGCAGAGAATATTTTAGGTATACTTTTTATTTTATATTTACTGTTTTTTTTCTTTTTCTTTTCTTTTCCTCTGATATTGGGATTGAACCCAGGGTTACTCTCCCACTGAGCTACATCCCTGACCCCCTTTTTTTGTATTTTGAGACTGGGTCTCTAAGTTCCTGAAGCTTGTGGTTCCTGCCTTAGCCTTTCATGTGGCTGGGATAACAAGCATGCACCATTGCACCCAGCATAATACTTTTAACTTTAAAAAATGAAAAAAGAAAACAGCAAAGGGATTGTGGGTTGTGTAGCTCAGTGGTAGGCCACTTAACCTAGCATGTGCAAGGTAATCAGGCCTTAGAAAAAAATGGGCTTGATTGTTTTGAGGCTTCATTAATGGTTTCTCTTCTGTGCTGTTATAAGCTTTGAATTCCGTCTCCAGCACTGGGGACGCGGGGCGGGGTGGGGGTGGCTAAAAAAAAAAAAAAAAAAAGGGAAAGGTAAAGATTTAAACAAACAAAAAACTAAAGGGCTGGAGATGTAGCTCAGTGGTAAAACGCCTGCCTAGAATGCATTGAGGCTCTCGGTTCAGTCCCCAGTACCACAAAACCAATTAATGTTTTGTATAAACTCTCATATTCATATTTTAAAGTATGAAAAAGATAATATTTAGTTATTTAGTATTCACACACTAAAATGATCATTTATACTACTTACTACTATTTTGGATTCCATTATTATATCTAAAATAGCAAGAAAATAACATTTTTGGAGTTTTTGAAAGACACACTAATGGCAGGAAAAGATTATAAAATGATTTCTTAAAAATAGCTCCCCTCAACACCTTCCATACGAGAATTAAATCCAAATGCCATAAGGCATGCATTGTGTGTGCTTATTTTTTTCCTAGGCGTCTAGAATGGCATTAGGAGAATGGAAAAAATAGTTACTCATATCATGTTTTGTTTTAGGAATTAATTTTCTAACAGAACTCCAGTTGGGAAATGCTCATAGAGAATAACTTATTTATAAATACTATAAAATAGTTTTGGTATTAATTATACCACTGTATTGAAAAAGTAAATGTTAAGAAACTGTTGATTCTTACTCACATTACTAAAGGAAGTTTTCTGCCAAGTCATACTTGGTTTGCATTATTCTAGCAATTGGCGCCATTACTACTGCTGGATATTATGAAAAGTGAAAACAGTGATGGTGTTGATAGAAGATATCACTGTACTAAACACCTCCTGTTACTTTACTGGCTAATTTAATTTTCACCACATCCCTATGAAAGGTGGTTTCTTTTTTTGTTTGTTTGTTTTTTGTGCTCTGTATCAAGCTCAGGGACTCTTGCATGGTAGGCAAGGAATAGCTCTACCACTTAGGTATACCTGCCCAGCCAGTTTGTTTTTTTATGAAAGAGAAAACCCAGCCACAGAATATAGAACTTGATGAGGTTAATCAGTTAGGGGTCATTTAGCAGTCTGACTTCTGAACCTCTTCTCTTTTTAATATTTTTTAAAATTTATTTCTTAGTTTTAGATGGACACAATATCTTTATTTTATTTTTATGTGGTGCTGAGGATTGAACCCAGTGCCCCGTGTATGCTAGGCGAGCACTCTACCACTGAGCCACAACCCCAGCCCCTGAAACTCTACTCTTAACCACTACAATTATTTGAAACTGTCTTATATATCACCAAACCGAAAGTGAAAATGTAAGTTTATAGAAAAGCATGAACTAAGAAGTGTTAATTTTTTTAAAAAAGTCTTTATTTTAAAATTAGGTTCAATATTAATCTGTGAGGTTTTCAGCATAGTGGTGGCTAAAAAGTGGAATAATTTTTTTTAAGTTATTTTCTAGTTTATACTTTACACTGATTGACATTGTAATAGACATTGGGAAGATTTTATCAATATATCATTAATATTATACATAATTATTCTGTTAATATATTTTATGAATAAATAATAATAAATTTTCCTCAAGGGAAAATAAACTCTGCATATAGGAAACATTCAAAATTATGTACTTTCAGTTCTTCTTTTTGAAAGAATGCTTTTTATTCAGTATTCATTTAGGATTTGCTATAAAAGGATGTCTTTATTATAATTATTTTTTTAATCTGGAAGAGGAAAAGCATTGAGAGCTGTAGATTATTACTATTTTTAGAATTAGATTAATTTGTATATTTTGTTGGTTTTCTCATAATAGATCCTACTATCAGTTTATGAACCTTAAAAATAGTAACCTTAGTACAAGTCATTAATAGTGTATTAGCACACATTTTAATCATTTAAAGAATGAGGAGGGAGAAAGTGTTGACTAATAGAAGAATAAAAATACAGGGTTGCAGTTTTGTTTTTTGTTTTTAAATCATGGCTTCTTCAGTATAGTAAGGTGTTTACTGGTTTTTAGAAAACAAATATGATTGATTTTCTCATTTCTTGATAGAAAGCAATTGAACTGAATCCTAAAGATGCCACCTCAGTTCACCTGATGGGTATTTGGTAAGCAATCTTTTTTAATGTTTCAGTGCTATTTACCACTATTGTAATTCATATTTAGCATATACAAAAACAAGATATAAAACATTTTAAAACATTCAGCAGAGTTCAGAGTATTAAATCCATTTATTGTTAAAACAGACTAAATTTGATTATGATCATGTTAAACATTGCTATTCGAGTCACTTAGAAACATGTACTTAGACTAAAAATGATCTTAAAACTCTTTGTAGACCTTTAAATTCCCTTTCTTGGGAAAGACTATTCTTGGGAAATTCACTATGTTAAATGGTGATTGAATTAATCTTAACTACATTGTTATAGTAGGATACCTTAAGAGAGTCTTTGCATCTTCAAAATATCCGGGAAACACTATAATCTTTCTTTCCATTTCAGTGTGATCTTGTGTCCACTATGGGTTATTATTTCACTGATATGAGGGTACACCAATATGTTAAATATTTGTTGGCTCTGGTATATAGCTGACATATATGGTATATAGAGTCTATAGAGATGACAGGTTAGCCGCTGTTTCCTTTGGATATAGTGTGCAGAGTTAAATATTTGTTTTTATTATCAACTGAAAAGGTAGGGCTAGAGATGTTTCCCAGTGGTAGAGTGCTTGTCTGGCATGCATGAAGCCTGGGGTTTGATTCCCAACATGGGGGAAAAATTCTTAAAAAGGGATAACAATGTAAATAGTCCTGTATCAGACTCTTCTAAAATAGAAGTAAATATTTTCCAGGATGAAGGACATATTAAACTACCAAGGATTAATGACAGAGGTACACTCACTTATTAAGCAAATATGAGATATAGTCTCTGCCTCAAGAAATTTAGACCTTAGTCAAAGATTTAAAACTTCTCCCCGCCTCCACTTTTATCAGAAAGTTGTAAAGATCAGTCGTTTGCTTCACGCCTTTAAAAAAGGATTTAAATTGTTGGTTGTTATTGTTGTTCATGCATATCATGTTTTGTCATTTTTCTTGGGTAAGTTTTTTAACTCCTTTGAATTTTCTTAATTTGTAAAAAGGAGTAAGGATCCTGTCTCATTTGTTATAAGGAATAGATGAGAGAGGTAAACATTTAGCCTACTACCTGGAACAAAATGAATACTCAGTGGTAGTGATACATTGTACCATCATTACTTATACTATTGCTTACTTTTTATATTTAATTATAAAATATACCCTAATTAATGGATCAGGTCAATCCTAGATAATTTAGTATGAATATTAACCAACTGGATATCATGTAAAATACAAAATGATTAAAGGTACAATAAAATTTTTTTAAAATACTGTTGATGTTTAGTTTTTAAGTAAAAAAAAATATAATTTGAATGTGTAATGCTATTTTATTTCCCTTAGGTGCTATACATTTGCTGAAATGCCTTGGTATCAAAGAAGAATTGCTAAAATGCTGTTTGCAACTCCTCCTAGTTCCACTTATGAGGAGGTAGTATGATGTCCTTTGTTAAGTTAGTACCTATTTCTTAACTAAAGCACCATTCTACAGTGTCCACACACATAGAGATCTTATTCAGTGAGGGACTTGAGCAAGTTTTTAAAGGCTTATACTTATTATTCATGACTGGTGAGTGCTTTTTTCCCCCTTTTAGGCAAGCAACTGATAATTCTGGTATATTGTCAGCTAAAATAGCTCATGGCTAAAATCTGCCTTGATTTTCTATTTGAAAGCTATACCATATAGAAGTCAAAAAATAGAAGAAATATAGCAGCTATTACCTGGCTTGTATTCTGTACAACAACAGAGTCATTTAGGAAAATAGAGATCATGTTTGAATTGATAAGAATAATAATTATAACTTTTTATAAAAGAGTATGAAAGCCTCATATTCTATTTTCAAGGCCTTTTACTTTTCCTGTTAAAATGTGAAAGGGATTACTAGGTAAACATCCTTTTTGCTTTTGTTTGGTGCTAGGGATTGAACCTAGGAACTTGTGTGTGCTAAGTGGGTACTATACCCCTAAACTACATACACTCCCAGACTGTGAAAACATCTTGAGTTAAGAAAAAATTTCAGTATGAAGAAATAGGCAGTTGGAAAGTTCTTCTAGTACTTGTCTCTTAGGAGGTTGTTTTGGTTATTATTTCATTTTTTTGTTTGTTTTCTTTTTACTCTTGGGACCAAATTATAGTATAAATTTGTTGTAAAGAATATTTAAATGTATAGCTAGAATATAGCTGGGAAATATTATTACTAAAAAGAATACATTGTTAGGAAAAATATATACAGTCAGCTCTACTATAACAAATTTTTATGTTTCTAAGAAACAAAATGTCTTGGATAATGCATTATAGGTTTTTGTCTTCGTTCTTTTTATTTTTTTGAGACCAGGTCTCACTGTGATGCCTACGCTGGCCTTAAAATTGAGTTCCTCCTGCCTCAGACTCCTACGTATGTGGAATTACAGGAGTATGCCAGTGTGCTTGCCTTAAATAATGCACTGTAGAAATAGTAGTTTAAGTGGGACAAAAAGATTAGCAGAGAATTTCAGATTCACAGTGGACTTTTTAAAAAAGTCACTGGGGGGCTGGGGTTGTGGCTCAGCAGCAGAGCGCTCGTCTCGCACACTCGAGACCCTGGGTTCCATCCTCAGCACCACATAAAAAATAAATGAGTGAAATAAAGGTATTGTGCCTAACTACAACTAAAAAATAAATATTAAAAAAAAAAGTCACAGGTATGGGAATTGGGAGTGTGGCTTAACGATAAACACATACCTAGCACAAGTAAGACCCCAGATTTTTCCCCAGCACCATAAAAACAAAATCCAAACAAACCAATTACACTGGTGAAACCTATTATTGCTCAGTACCTTCAGCTTTTGATTTTGAAATGGTTTTTACTAGAAATCACTGGTAGGACTGCTAGGGTCAAAAAGCTAAGTAACAATGATGGATTTTCTTCTGTGCATGATAATTTGGTCTAAATTCTCAAGAGCAACTATATTATTACTAGAAGTGGTCCACATATGCTAATTCTCTGATGATTTAATAGTATTGTGTTCAGTTTGTCTATGTTAATCTCACTGTTGAAGAATAAGATCGTTATTTTAAGACTTATATTTAGTATAGGAATAGATTATTATTATTTTTGACTTATATTTAGTATAGGAATAGATTATTGAGAAAATGCATTTTAAAAATATTTGGTCTACTTTAATCCTTTTTTTTTTTTTTTTTTTGACTTGTGGTTTTAACAGGCCTTGGGCTACTTTCATAGGGCAGAACAAGGTAACATTTTTTAATTTCACATTTTACTATAATTAAAATTGTATGAATGCTAAATATGTAATAGGGATTTTTTAAAGAGAGATAAGTTATTCCATTCTGTTATACTATTTTTTGCACAAGACATAAAACAAATTTTAAAGTTTTTTGTTTGTTTGTTTTTGGTACAATGGATTGAACCCAGAGGCATTTAACCACTGAGCCCCCTCCCCAGCCCTTTTATTTTTTATTTTGAGATGGTCTCACTAAGTTGCAGAGGCTGGCCTTGAACCTGGAATCCTTTTGCCTCAGCCCCTCAAGTCACTGAGATTACAGGCATGCGACGTTGCATCCAGCCCTTTTTGCTTTTTTACTTCAAGACATCATCTTGCTAAATTGCTGAGGTTGGCCTATAATTTGTGATACTCCTGTCTCAGTCTCCTGAATTTCTGGTATTACAGGTGTGCACTATAATGCCTGGCTAAATTTTTGAAGTCTTTAGTTAATGAAGCTCACCTGAAAAAGAAAATGTCACTACTGGGAGGGAAAAGGAAAGCACTATTTGTGGCTTCAGAACACTAGCTGCTTGCTACCTTCCAAACCACAGTGGTTTCTGACGTTGCTTCAAAGAATTCCAGAGGAAGTTTTGAAACAAGCTGTTCTGTTTTCAAGAGCCAGCTGACTTTGGGGTTGTCTTTTGGGTCCAGATGGGGAATAGTTTATGGATGATGTCTCAACTGAATAGCTTCTGTTTCTATAAGCTACTGCTGGGTATTATGCTGAGCCTTTTTATTTATTTTTGTATTTCTGTGTCTACTGTATTTTTGTAAGCATTTTGCAAAGTGATGTTGTTTGTGTGCAAGAAAAAAACTGTTGGGCAATTTCTGTTACAAGGATCTGATTTCATTTTGAAAGTCAGGTTTATCTTGAAATTTTTGTATTTTGGTTATGATTACTGGTTTGGGACATCTAATAAAAGATTTCTCAAACAAAAAGAGAAAAATACCACTACTGAATTTAGAGCTGTAATTCAGGAATGGTTCTTAATGTAATTCAGCCTTCCTTTTGAGAGGATGCCTAGATAGGTTAAGTATTTTATTTGATATTATACAGTTAAATTAGACACACTTAAATGGGAATTCTGGTTTTAAACCAGGCTGATTTTGTTGAGTTGCAGAATATTCTTTGTGAAAAAGTGTTTCTTGTTTTTTTTATTTTGAAAAAAATCACTAGCCTTACTGCTACAAGCCAGTCCTACAAATTTATCCTTTTTAATACGAACAACATGAAAGTAAGGGATGTAAGTTTAAGTTGACTATAAATACACTATAAAAAGCAATGTAAATATATTTCTATAAAATTTGATCAGAAGATTCAGAAAACAGTGTTTATTAAGTTTGAGATTCTACACATGTACTTGTTCAAATGTTTCATCATTATAGGTTTTTAAAAAACATTTTCTAAAAATTACATCTGAGGGGCTGGGGCATGTGGCTCAGTGGCAGAGTGATTGCCTAGCACGAGTGAGGCACTGGATTCAATCCTCAACACCACATAAAAAAAAATAAAATAAAGGTATTATATCTATTTACAACTAAAAAAAATATTTTTAAATTACATTTGAAAATGTTAATTATCTCTGATTCTTACTTTTTCTTTTGAAAATAATCAGGTCATCAATACAATTGTTTGTTTTTTTGATCTCAGTGTCTCACACATGCCAGGCAAGTGCTCTACTTCTGAGCCATAGCCCCAACCCCACAATTGTGAGTTTTTCAAAAGTATTTTAAGCAGTGTAATAAGTTTCTCAAATTTGGATTCCTGTACACTGATAATTCTTGTCTTTTTTTTTTTTTGAAAATGTTCTCTTTTTAAAAATATATGTATTTTTAGTTGTTGATAGACCTTTATTTTATTAATTCATTTATATGGTGTGCTGAGAATTGAACCCAGTGCCTCACACATGCTAGGCAAGCACTCTACCACTGAGCCACAACCCCAGCCTAATTCTTCTTTTCTTCAAATTGAAAAAGTTATCACAAATTCCGTCAGCCAAGAATGCATTCCACTTTTTCTGTTAAAATCCTGTTCATCCTCCAAATCAGCTCAGGTATAATCTCTCAGATTAATTGCTTTTTTCCTTTGATTTTCTGTAGCACTTTGTTTTTGTGGTGCTAGGGATTGAACCCAGGGTCTTATGCATGTGAGGCAAGGACTCTACCAACTGAGCTATATCCTCAGCCCTTCTGTGTAGCACTTTGATCTTTATCTGGTAAAGCAGTTCTTCATTCTTACATAATGTGTTCATTTTTCACCTTTACATTGTAAATTCCAAAGGAAGAGAAACTTTCATTCTATTTCTATAGCTAAGTATAGCTGCCAATCAGAAAAGGCTGATCAAATTTACATATCATGATTTCATTCACTCATTACTAAATGTCCTAAATATGTTATTTTCCAGGCACTGTTCTAAGCACTTGAGAATATAGTAGGGAAAAGACATTTAAAAAGAAAATTGCTGTTCTTATTATATGTCAGAAGCTTCAGCTTCTCATCTGAAAATGGAGATACCTACTTTATAAAATTGTTGTGAAAATGATATGGTCTGCAGTGTAGTACCTAGCGCATAGCAGACATTCAGTAAATCCTGATTATTTTACAGATATTTGTTTGAGATAGGAACAAGAGAATACTAGTCTAATCACTTATTGACCATAAAATTTTTATTAATCGTACCAAAAAATTAAACATTTAAAATAAAAGCAAGACTATTTATCTTGACCTAAGTGTATTTTTTCTTCTTATGTACAGTGGATCCAAACTTCTACAGCAAAAACTTGCTTCTTTTAGGAAAGACATACTTGAAATTAAAGAACAAAAAGCTTGCTGCTTTCTGGTTAATGAAAGCCAAGGACTATCCAGCACACACAGAGGAAGATAAGCAGGTAAAATAGCTCTAATATAGTAGTAGTAAGGTAGATATTTTCATTGAGGCATTGTTAAATAAGGGTGAATTAAGAACTTTAATTGTCTAAATGCAAACATTGTTGAAAACACAGTAGTATTCACTTCAAATGTGAATTTATTTACAGTATGTTCGTTTCTACATAGTAACTATTTAGGTACTATCACCAAATAAATGTTAGCGGTTGCTTCGTGCAATAAAGAATTACTATCTTTGACATACAGATCAAATACATTTTTACTACATAAAAGTCTAGGAATATGTACTAATGTGAAAGAATTCTCTCAAGTCTTATCCAGTCATTCTTGTCAAGAAATTTTATTCTTAAAATCATCTATCCCAGTTTTTAGAAACTCTTAGAAATGAGTCTACTTCAATTTCACATTCTCTAAGCTGTAATGTTTGCTTATAATGTATTTTTCCATTCTAGGTACAAACAGAAGCTACTCAGTTGCTTACAGGTTTGTGAAAAGAAATGAGATCTTTCAGAGAAGAAAATACATGAAATACCCAATAAACATTGCCTTTTGTTTTATTTATAAAGATAATATGTTAATCATAACTGTTTTATGACTTTTCAGTTCTTCTAATGTCGTGACCATTTAACAGAATAAACTTACAAAATTCTAGGTTTCTTCACAAATAACTAGGTAAAAGTAGTAATTGCCATATTGTCCTAAGAGTGGTAGCAATAAATTTCCATGGCTCAGAGATTATTTTGTATCTTAGGACATCAATGTTGCAAAATGGTATAAGATTTCTAAATACTAGGATGAGAAGGTATCAAGAAAAGAGTTTTGTGAAAGAGGTAGCATATAGGGGAGTGGATTTTCAAGTTGGATTTGATTTTCAGAGTTGCGATCTTACAGAGAAGGTGCAGTAAAAGTCAAATGATTAGAATGTTTAGGGTTCTTGGTTTAAGATAGTTAAGTGGTATATCTTGGAGCCAACCTGTGCAATAGCCATGTTCAGATTTTCTCAAATATCTTATACTTTAAAAATGCTTCCTAAAAATGTACTTTTCAAAACCAGTACCAAAGGCCATACATTGCATTTGATTTGCTGCTTAGTTGCTTTTATTCTAGACCATTTCCCCAGTCTTTTTCTTCTCACAACATTGACGTTTTGGAGAAGACAATGCAGTTCTTATCAATGTTGGCTCAAATAGATTGACCCCATTGACCTCACTTTGAAAACTACTGTTCATTCTTATCTCAGGGACTCCATTTAATAATATATATTTTTCAGTCATTACCTGATTTTTATATTCATCCTGATTTTTTTGTTTCATTTTCTTAGCTCTTTTCATTTGTTTTCCATATCCCTTATATTTTGATTTTATATATTCTTCTTCAGACACTTTATATTTTTCACTTTTGAGATGCTTTTGTATTTTTTTTTCAGTTTTTCCCAGTTTTAATCCTCAGTCATTTCACATCTTCATGTTTGTCTAGTTCTGAGTTTTTAAATTTCTAATTCAGGTTTTTTTTTTCCCCATATTGGCAACTTAATTCATATTAACATATGGTGTTATAGAATTTTTTCTCCTTCCCATCTTCTTTTTTTCCAGAGCTGGGGTCTTCATACTTGCTAATTATTTTTTTCAATTTTCTCAATGACTTTGGATGTATTTTTCTAGGAGCGTATTTGTTAACAGCGATACTAGGAATTTGGGGGGGTTTGGGATAGTACAAGAATAACTGGGTAGAGTGTAGCTAATGGTAGAGCATGTACTTATCATGAACAAGGCCCTGGGTCATTCCCTCCAGTGCATACACGCACATACACCTGCAATAAGTTGTTTTGTGAAATGGGTTATCTTTAACAAAGCCTTTTATGGATGGGAGCATATATATTCTGATACTTGATACAGCTTTCAAATAGATTTTTATTTTGAAAGAATTAATAGATTCATAATAGTACAAAGGAGTCCTATGTACTCTTCTTCCAGTGGTATAGTTAAGATCCACTATAGTTATAAATCTTAAATAACTCTACCACAAAACTAGGAAATTGACATTGGTACAATCCACAGACCTTATTCAGATTTTACTTGTCAAAGAAGTACTTGTATGTATAGTTTAAGAATGTCAAACAAATGGAATCACTGTATGGGACCTTTTGAGATTATCCTCTTCCACTCTTTGAGATCCATCCAAGTTCTATTTGTAGTTTCTTTTTGGTGTCGATGCATATTTTATTATATAGATGTACCAGTTCATTTAACGACTCATTGAAGGACACTTAGGCTTTTTCCAGTTTTTAAGTATTAAAAATATAGCTATGAACATTACATGTAAGTTTTTTATCAACATTAATTTTATCTCCAGGGTGTGGTTGCTAGGTCCTTTAAGGAGCTTTTAACTTCCTTTTCCACATTACTTGGGAATAGCTTCCTTCTCTAAGATGTGATGCCTTTCCATTTTTCTGATTCTGGGTACTTTCAAAGTCTTCCATTTGACTCCAGGATCCTGACTTGTTCTTGATGTTTTCTTATTCAGGGTGGGGTGAGACACACTATGTCTGGAGTCTGTTACATTCTCTTTCCTGTGCATTCTCCACTTGAATATTCTTTTATGCATTCCAGAGATGAATATGCTGGTTTAAGAAGCTTATTTCTCCACATACTTGTTTACAGAATTTATAACCTCTCCTGTGATAACCTCTCCTATGGTTTTTTTTTCCCCTTCCTTTTGAGGATATGAGAAGAAACTTGAATTTAGAAAAATGTGGCCATGATACTGTAAGAACCTGAGAGTTCTCACTTCTTGACCAAGAAATTTTCCCAACTGAATTTCTAATTACGGACTGGGGACTAGCTATGAATGTTCTAAAATGACTTCTCAGATTCACTGATGTCACCTATAAAGCAAACGTCATTAAAACAAAAATACCAATCTCTTGTAGTTGTGAGAATTAAGATTATTTTATTATTACATTATTATTTTATTTTATTATTACATTATTATTTTTGTCAAAGATTTATAATGAGTATTAGTAAGTACTTTTTAAACAATACTGTTATCACCTGTATTTTCCTTGGTTGAGACTGGGGAGAGAAATTTTGGAATTCAGGACATGCCACTTTGAACTTAGAAGAGTTGGCCTCAAGCTTGGTGTTTTAAGTTCAACAGACTAAGGGGGATGTGTTCTAGAACTTTTATTTTCACAATCTCATACTTTAATAAATTTGCTTTATTTCTGAATTATCTAGCAGATCATTTTAGATTCAGTCAACTGTAAAGCCGAATTCGGTCAGCATTATTTTATTCAGCATTAACGCAGGAACCACAACTGCAAAGCAGGGCCATGTTGGGTCTCATCTGAGATGGTATTTTAATAATCTGTGTAGAATACCTACAAAAACTTTCTAAGGACCATCATCTCTCCAAATGACAGCTCAGGGTCCTCAAAAGAGACATGTACTTTCAAGAGTTCCACATGCAGGGAAGCACATATGTAGAACTTCCTATTTCATATCTAGAGTTCTCTGAGTTATGGATGTAACTTAACAATTGAAGTAATTTTTAGTAGACTAAACTTACCTGGAAATATTGTTAACATCACCATCCTATCTAGTTTTCACGGTAAGAAGAATTAGGCAGATAATTTAAGTCAGTAGGGTAAAGGTTAATGTTAGAAGGAAGTACAGAAAAAGTAAACATTGATTGATAGCTTCTTTCTTGGAAGACAGTTAAAGACCTGATTGTTGGGATTGTGCTGGATCTGTGACCCACTTCTGGGTTCAGTTTATTAGTGGTGGAGGGAAATGCCACAAAAATGAAGTAACAATGTGAGATGGCCTCTGAACTCCCTCTTTCTCTCCCATTTCCTCATGAGTTGTGTTCAGGCACAGCGAGCCTTAAATACTTCTGGTTAAATTAATTTCTTTCTGGTTGGTCCAGCTCAGAACAGATAATAAGGGAGGAGAGAGGTAAGAGATATAGGCCACATTTTTGTTTTTTTTTTTTCCCCATGACTATCACTAAGTAGATAAGACAGCTTTGTTTGTAAATCTGGTATCTATAATTGCCTCTAAAGGTCCTGCTGAGGTCTCCAAACTAGTCTTCTCCAGTTAGCTGGTTTGATCTCTGCAGCCTTACCTGTTGTATAGTTAATTCTTACTCAGGGGAGCGGCTCCCTGAAACTAGTTGAATGCCACCTTCTTCAGTCAAATCTGCTAAATTATATTCTCAGATATCATTGCTGATTGGTAGTCAATAACTTCTTAGTTCATGGGGCAGTGCTACCATTGGTGTCTTTTTTCTGGAATGATTTAATAAGTCCTTTTCAGGGACTGGTCACCCGTAGCTTGTCATACATTAAATTTTTTTAGTATTTGTTTTTTAGGTGTAGATGGGCTGCCTTTATTTTTTTGTGGTGCTGAGGATCGAACCCAGGTCCTGCCCGTGCTAGGCGAGCACTCTATCACTGAGCCACAATCCCAGCCCCATTAAATTTTTTTAAATAATTCTTTAGATTTGAAAAAAAAAACAGCATATTTTTGGTTAGGATTTGGAAATGAGCCTTCAACTATGTGAGTCACTGCCTTTATTTCATCTTTACTGTGAATTCCTGAATTAAAAAAAAAAAAGCAGAATACAAGCTAATATGTAGAAAAACTAGTATATAGTAAATATGAAGTTAGACTGTATACTAGTGTTTCCCATGTGCACTTATGGTGGAATATTTACAGGCAGCACATTCAAATAAGTCATTTCCCAATATTATAAAATAATCTGAGTTAATGAAATTTACGGTGCATACTGAAAGCATGATACAAATTGAAAATTTTTTGATTTTATTAGGAAGCCCAGTTTGCTAAAAGCAGTATTAACATTGGAATTTGTATTTTTGTAGTTAAGTAAATGTCCTCCTGAGTGAAAAGATTTTTACATGCTTATTGTAATTCAGATATAGAACTTTCATGAATTTGAGAGCAATGAAGATATTCAAACACTAATAAAAAATCATTATTCACCTATTTGAGTGTTCAAATGTTTATGTAACTTTTCAATGCATCCGGTTTTATTCAATGCCTCTGGTTTTACAAAACCAAAACTTTCAACACAAAAGTGCCAAAGTTCAAGTTACCTTTTTATATGTTCCTCAGTATCAAGCTGCATTAGTTTATTATTAAATTTGAACATCAAAGATTTATAAAACAGAAGTTACGTAAGTGGCTGATTCTTTTAATTTCACAAATACCTAGCATCTCAAAATAACATGTAAACAAATCTCTATGCTGCTCAATGAATTTTTTCCAATCTCTGTAACAAACTAAATGTTATTGGATCTAGTACGTGACTTCTATGTAAGTTATGGTTTCACTCAATATATTACTGATGTATGTAAGCAAAGAGTGGAAATTTTTTCAACTATTGTATTTATTTTAAAACAAAGTGACAAGTTCAAGCACCTGTCTTCAAAAAAGCCAGCAGCATTTTTTTATATACTCAAAGTAAGATTTGGCCTAAGCCCTTAATACCTTCCTGAACAGCCATGCAACTAAAACACCCTCAGGAGATGTTACATAAGGGAGAACATGGAGCAATTTGCACTTTTCCCCTGGATAATAGAAACAAGGTAAAGCAAATTCAGATCTTTGTGAATGAACAGCTGTCATGTTTAATACACTTGGGGCTCTATAGAACTAGAGCCACTATCATATATGCTTATATAGATAATATACTTCTTATATTTAATAAAGTCTCTTGCTTGCTTCAAAATTTAATGATGATCTTTTTCCTGGTCAGTCATTTCAAGGGAACAATAAATAAAGTAGAAAATGATGAACTTTTGCATATTTCTGTGGAAGAACGGAAAACATTTATACTTTTGAGGTTCAGAAAATTCACTGTACAGAATGAACAGCTTATATACACATCTGTGCAATTTTTCTTGGCTGGGGTATTTAAATGCAAGAGCTCCTCCAAGATAAGAAGCCACATTCATTCTTGTCCAAAGCCCTCTGTCTCTTCTATTGCAAAAAGAAGTTTTTCCTTTAGTTGTTCATAACTCTTATATGGTGGTAGATCCAAGCGATTAAAACTGAACAAAAACAAAAACAAAATCATATATTTTTAATAAAATAAACTGAAAATATTTCCAATACAGTAAAACACACTGAAAAGCTGAATGAACAGAAGTATGTTATGTATGTAAAATTTTGCCAAACGTATTCTAACGATTCACTACTAATATTAGTATATTAGCATATTCAGATCTTAGGGGAATCCATTCAAATTTAAGACCTATATTTTTTTAAAAATTAATTTTTCCCAGAGAGAAAAATAGGATTATGTTGACTATAGCAATGTGGATAAAGATTCTGTAATTAAAAAAAAAAATCATTAATCTTCTCTTTACTACTCCTATGTGTCATTAGTCCCCCTAAGTTCTCTTGTAATAGTCCATTTCTTTCACTCATTCATTCATTCTTTATTGAGAATCTTCATATGCTAGTGATATAGTGATGATAAAAAAAAAAAGTCCTTTATGTTCTGGGGTGGAGATAGATAGTCAATGAACAAATACATAGTTTTCTCGAGTTTCACCAATGAGATTATAACCTTTTCTATAATGACACTTTCAGTTCTGCTCAGATTCAATTCCTTTCTGGGACAAAATGATGAAAAACAAAAATACTGAAAATGCTTAAAATAACAATATACTGTTTCTGAAAGATAACATTTAATATTTTAGAACATGGCACTGACTAGCTATATTAGGATTTCAGTATCCAAAGTTTTGGTTCCCCCTCTATTAGTCAGAACCTTTCTGTAACTTCCCTTCCTCATGTGGAAATATTCCCCTCCCATGTAAATTAGGAAAGCTGAAAAGAGCCTTTAAAAGGAAGCAACAGACTAAAATAGTGTGGTTCTCAGACCATATTATTCTCAGTATAAGCAGACCATATATTGCCCTCCCATTTAAATTATAAAAGTATCTGGTAATGATTGAAGTCAGCAAGAAATATCATTTCAATAATCTTATAACCAAAGCAACCTGTTCCTTTCTAATTCTCTTCCATAATTTATATATACAGCCTTTGCCAAATTCTCTCATTTCTGTCACCTAAATCTCTCCTATCTTCTCCCTGTTTACCATTTCTATTGCCACTACATCCTTGTGTATATCTCTTACTTGAATCACTAGAGAATTTCCTGCCTTCTTATCTGACCCCCCCCCTTTTGTTAAGCTATTGTGAGTAAAGCTTTAGTGACGTTTTCAATTTTTTTTCCCTTTAAAAATTCTTCAGACACCTGTTTTATTTCTTGGGCAAATAATTACAAATGGAATTACCATTTATAGGTATACACACATATATGTACATGTTTATAATGATATTTGCATGTTTAACTTATTTGAAGCATATCAGTTTACACTCCCACCTACAAAGAAGGAAAATTCACCAACAGAAAATGTTGCTAATCTTTTCATTGTTGTTTTAATTTGGTCGTGTTAATGCTATGCAGTGTTACATTATAATGTTAATCTGCATTTCCCTAATATCTACTGATGATATCCCTATTTTTTAATTTACTTCTCAACATTCTGTCTAGTCAGAAATACTATGCTAAACAGACAAACTAGTTTTTGGACTCTTTAAAAGCCTTTATTTCCTCAAATAGCTATGGGAACAGAGGGGGTAGAATGACAGAAAAAAGCCTACCCTGTTTTTAGTATAGCCTCCATCGACTTATTTAATGTTCTCTAAGTATAGCACATTCTTTTCTTTTTCTATTTCTATGCTGTAATAGTTTCCTGGTCTATAATATCCTTTTCAGCTTATGAAATTCTAATTCATCAAGAATCAGCCCAGATGTTACAACTTCGTCCAAGAAGTTTACCTAGAGCATCTTTCACCTATCCATGAGCTCTTTTTATTTCTATTTTAGTGTTTATTTTCAACTAACTGGTTTCTCTCCTTAGACTCTAAAATCTACAAGGGTAGCATCAGCTAGCTCTGTATCCCTAAAACACTGATCTGATATGCATATTGCAGATACTTAGTTTTAAGCTGAAGAACATTAAGAAAGCAGATAATCTGAAAAAATACTAAATAGTTTCCATTTTAAAATCTTAGCCATTATGTTTTGTGCTGTTTGATTATATTTAAGGTATGTATGGGGCACTGGGGATCAAACCCAGGACCTATCACTTGGCTGTATATTCCCACCCTTTTATTTTGGTGGCTTCAAACTTGATTCTCCTTACCTTTAGCCTCCCAAATTCCTGAGAATAGAAGCATAAGCCACTATGCCCAGCTGTGATGTTTTACAGGACAGAGACTTAATAAAATCCATTCATCTTTTATTGAGTACTTATTATGTAAATATGAAAGTACTAAGTTCTAATTCTGTTTTTTTTTTTTAGTGTGATGTGTATTATAAAAAAGAAATTGACCAATACATCTATTTCATCTGAAGGAACTGTATGCTAATTGGCTTACCAACTGTATATAGCTTTCAGAAAGCTTAAAGCTCCTACCTCTCAAAACAAACCACTGGAGATGACAACAGTAGGACCCTGTGTCCTCTCTTCATCTGAGAATCATTAAGACTAATTTCATCACAGATTAAATCACTGCTTACCACAGTCACTGATAAAAATCCAAGTCTCCTGGATCATATATTTCCCTTTTTTTTTTGGCACCAGGGATCAAACCCAGGATGCTTAACTACTAAGCCATATCACCAGCCTTTTTAATTTTGAGATAGGATCTCACTAAGTTGCTTAGGAGCAACTAAGTTGCTTAGGGCCTCCCTTAGTTGATGACGCTGGCTTTGAACTTGCGATCCTCCTGCCTCAGCCTCCCAAGTTGCTGGAATTACAGGCATGTGCCACCATGACCAGCATAGATGGTATATTTTCATCCAAATGCTCATCTCAATACTGATCTATTTCCCTTGGTTTGAATTAAACTCAACCTGTCTACCATTTCATATTTTTCATCTTATTGTTTTGAACTTCTATTTCATAGTCTCAATAGCTTCTTATCATAACTGAAATCCAGCTAAGTCTGAAACATGCCATTTCTTCTGTAGCCAATTAATAAAACTAGCCTGTTCTGAGGCACATAGCTGTATAGCCTATCTACTGATTGCTTGGTTGTGCTCCTTCATTTACTGAAAGCTCTGGCACCTGGGGGCATAATCCTCTCATTTATATGGATACACGCAACAATATGGCCATCAAGTTCCTTGCTCTTTTAGCTTTTTGAGTTACTAACCCTAGGATCATAACTTGAACCTCACCACCACCAGTACATTTCTAATTAAAAAATCTTTTTCTCTGAAATAAGTTGGAAAGAAAAATAGTCAATGAAAATGCCAGCCTATTAACCCATTATTACTTCACCATCCTATCCCATCCTCAGCTCTTCTGTCCTCACTTTTTTCTTTATCTGCAGAATGTCATTATAATTAGAGATCTTATTCCATTATTATAATCACAACTTTGCAAATAGTTTTAAATACTGTGTCTCTCCTTCTTTTGAATTAACTAATCAAAACTCAAATCCTGAATGAATTCCACCTTCTGTTTGTTCCTTGCACCTTAACAGTTAAAAATTGTTTGGGGAAGGCTTGTGTTGTGGCTCAGCAGTAGAGCACTTGCCTAGCAAGTGAAGTCCTGGGTTCAATCCTCAGCACCACATAAAAATAAATAAATAAAGGTATCATGTCCAACTACAACTAAAAAATAAATATTTTTAAAAAATTGCTTGGGGAAAAAAACCACACAATCTGGTAGATTGTTGTCATTTTAAATAAAGTAGTAAATCCAAGTGAGCAATCCAATTACCCAATATTCAGCCTAATAAATACTTGTCTCTTTTCTGAAATGCCCAATTCTTTCTCCTTAGAAGATTTTATTTTCTTCATTCTTATCCAGTGACCTCACCTTATATTTTGAAAATACAGAAAAACCAAATGTTGATAACTATTTTCTCTTTATAAATCTAAAATCAGAAAAACTCCTCTACCTCAGCAATCTCTGCTTCTATTGGATCTGCTCCTTGAATCCAGGCCAAAGGTTCTTAAATGTTTTTGGTCACAAGAACTCTTCACTCTAAAGGGCTTTTGTTTATGTGAATTATATTTATCAATATTTACCATAGAACTAAAAACAAAAATTTAAAATATTAATTTTAATTTTTAAATAAGCAATGAATGCAATGACTATTTCCAAAAACCAGTGGACTGACGTTGTTTTACAGTGTTACAAATCTTTTTAAAATATCTGATCTAATAAAAAACATCTTGTGCGAGGTGGGGGGGGGCTGGGGTTGTGGCTCAGTGGCAGAGCACTTGCCTCATACATGTGGGGCACTGGGTTCAATCCTCAGTGCCACATAAAAATAAATAAAAATATTGTGTCCATGTATAATTTTTTAAAAAATTAAAGAAGAAAGAAAACATCTTGTGTATTCAATGGATCATACTATATTATTTTGGATTAAGCATATGAAAATCTGAATCAAGTATATGAAAGTCTTATCTCATAGATAAGCAGTTAGAAAATGGAGATGTATTATAATCATCTTCAGATAAATGGATAATTCCTTAATAGTATATTTGATAAAGATATGAACAATATGGGTCCTGAAACCATATCAAAGAATACTTTGTTAAAAATCCACTGGTCAGGCTGGGATAGTGGCTCAGTGGTACAGCGCTTGCCTAGGATGGGCGCCATCCAGGTTTGATTCACCACATAAAAATAAAGGCATTGTGTTGTGTCCATCTACAAAAAAAAAAAAAAGATTCATATTCATTCTCTCTCTCTCTCTCTTTCTCTTTTTTCTCTCTTAAAAAAAAAAAAAATCCACCGGTCTCTTGGGCTGGGATTGTGGCTCAGTGGTAGAGCACTCGCCTAGCACGGGTGGGACCTGGGTTCGATCCTCAGCACCACATAAAAATAAAGGCATTGTGTTGTGTCCATCTGCACCAAAAAAAAAAATAAGTATTAAAAAAAAAAATCCACCGGTCTCTCACACACCCTGAATAGATCTTTTTACCCAGACATGATTGTGTAATATGCACTGGTTATGTTATATTGCTAAATATTGGGTTACTTTAATAGAAAAAAATCCATTTTTACTAATAACACCATTAATCTTACCAGTCTTGGGAAGTAGTTAAGCTTATGGTGGCATATACAAAATTTACAGAATTTTTATTTTTGCTCGAAACTTCAACTTTTATCACTGTGCTTTCCTTGAAGTGAGATAAGTTTACTTCATTACTTCTCAAGAAAATGCCAATACCCAAATGAATAAACATGGTTTGTTTGCCATTCTTTGAAATAAAAATAAATTCCATTAAAAAAAAAGCAAGTTAGTTCAGCTTTTAATTTCAAAACAACTACCCAAGAGCTCTCCTTCAAGAAAAACCACCATTCTTTGGTATGCAGAAGTGCTGTACGCAGACTTTGTATTTTATGACACAACTATTGGACATAACTCAAGGACGAAGATTCAGTAAAAAATAAAAAAAATTTCAGTGCCTCATAATGATGAAAGTTCAGTGAACCTAGCTTCCTGTTTCAGCTGCTTTGATTGCTATAGCTAGTTTCCCTGCATTCACTTGTACATCTGATTTCATCTCTAACCTATTCCCCAAATGATTCTTCTTCGATCCCATTACTTGTGATTTAAAACTCTTCAAAGGCTTCTAATTTTCCTTAGAATGGAATCTCAATTCTGTATAATAAGCAATAATGCTCCATTTGAATTTAGCCCCTACTTATATTTCCAAATTCTTTTCATCTCTGTCTTACCAAGTCCAATCACACCAGACATCTTTCATTTCCTTGTAATGAAATGGTTTCTTACTTCAGGGTTTTTGCTCACTCCACAGCATACTGGCTCAAAGAATGTTCTTCCCCAGTTTCTTCCTACAGCATACTATTTATTATACTCAAACATTACCCTTTCCAAGAAACCTCTTAATGACCCAATCCAGAGCAGGACCCCTCCGGCTATTCTTTTTCCATAGTTACATATCTGTTCACCTGTTTGTCACTTGTGCCCTACCATGGAGTGTAAAGTTCACAAAAGGTAGGGAACAATGCAGCCTTACTTTCAATACTCTAAATATTTGTTGAATGAATGGAAACAGTTCTCAAGAATTTGTATTAACTAATAAACAGTAATTCTCACATATTTAGTTGGAGAATGCTGTATTAATTAGTCTGTTATCAAAACTGAAATTCTGACCAATAATATATTATACAGGATCATACATATTTTTAAAAAGTAAAATATTCTGACTTTACCTTCCTTTTACAGGATTCTTAAACTTACCATGTATGGCTTCTTGGTAACCAGGTATCTTTTCCAACTTTTTCAATACAAAATTTTTGAGGCCCATTACTTCCTAAACCAGGAAAACAGGATAATATTTATCTGGTCCTTTACACTTTTGATTCTGACAACAGTTAAATACAGAACATATCACGTAGACATATGAATAATACAGTATAAACTTAAAGAAGAGATGTATAGTGTACATTGCTTTTGTATTAGAAGCTTCTTGGTGCTGCAAATTTAGCAGTAAGAATTATACCACATAAAGATGAGGATTTCTTTTTTTTGAGGGGGGTGGTACCAGGGATTGAACTCAGGGACACTTGACCACTGAGCCTTATCCTCAGCCCTATTTTGTATTTTATTTAGAGAAAGGGTCTCACTGAGTTGCTTAGTGCCTTGCTTTTGCTGAAGCTGGCTTTGAACTTCTGATCCTCCTGTCTCAGCCTCCCAGGTCACTGGGATTACAGGCGTGTACCACCATGCCCAGCAAAGATTAGGATTTCTATAGCTTCTTACTCCCTTCACAATCAGGCCAGGAAGCTAAGTAGTGGCCATGTGGGCTATATAAAGAGACACATTTTTGTCTTATAAACACTTTTGATATTAAAAGCTTTTTATAAGGAACCCATAATAGTAATCCTGAGGTTTATTAAGTTCATCATATGTCTAAAAGCCATTATCAATACAAAACTATCTACAGAAAAACTGCACCTACCCATGAGCTCAGCAAATCCTCCTAGTGGTAAGCGGCAGGTTCCAGTGACAAACTGCAGTAGTCGCATTCTTACTTCATTGTCTGTTTCTTTCACAAACTGTAACAAAACCAAATGTATTTTAATATAATATAAATGCTAAATTCTCAAATATACATTAATACAAAATAAATGCAATGAAAACAGTTGAATAAATCAAATAATATTTAATGCTGAAATTGATTAAAAGGATATGTGATTAAAAGACGGTTATAATATTTATTCAGCTTAGGCATCATGTTAAGTATATGTTAATCCTTACAAAAACACTACAGATTGGCCACTGAGGACTTCTGCCAAGCACTATGCCACATACTTCTCATTTAGACCTCACAGCAATTCTATGAGATAAGTTAGATCCTTAACATCACCGCTGCACATGGCCTGTAGAGTATAAATAACTTGTCGTTTTCAAACAGCTAATAAGTGGTAGAACTAACATTTGAGTTCAGGAATGGTTCACTTCTAAATCATTGTTATTCTTCCTTGAGTCAACTACCCTCTCCCTTTTAAGCTACAAAAAACATAGAACATTTCCCTGTTTCCACTCTGAAGAGTTTGTGGTATTTTCTGGCACTAAACATTTTCCCAACATTTTGTGTTTTATTATCTGAAAAAACAAATTGCAAATACCTCAAAAAATTAGTTCATTGATTACTTCTTTTGACAAAGGGACATAAAATAGGGAAATATGGTTAAATACTGATTTGACTGCTTTGAGTATAATAGAAAGCAAGGAACTTAGGAAGCAGTGTGAGAGTAGAAATGTATCTTTTAAATAGAGAATTAACTTTAAGCATAAGACAAGCTTAATATCAGGTCCGGCATAAATCTTACCACAAACAAACCCAATTCAGAAAACACAATGTTCATTTGGATTTTTATATGATTCAAAGCTTTAGCTCCTTAGCTATGTAGATCAAACTGTCCAAACAGCAAGAGAATAAAAAGGGCAATGAAGCTAGCAAAGAGCCTAAAATGGACATTTACAAACACTTGCATATACTTGATAATGTAATGCAATTCAGGTACTTTTTAAGGCTTGAAAATTAATTTACTTCTATTTATCTATAATATATGTGTATCTATCTATAAATAATAGGTAACAGAATAGAATTCAAAAGTATAAGGGTAAACAGTGTAAAAAAGCATCTTTTCCAGCTTGGCCTCCAACTATTTAGCTTCTGGAACTGTTTTTCTTTTACTCCCTGCCTTTTCAGAGACAGCATATTTAATGGTACATTTTATACATTAGTACATAAATATTAATAGTGAATAATTTATACAGAACACAAATTTTATTATACTTTATTTACTCAGTCCTCTCCTAATGGACATTTAAGGTTGTTTCTAGTATCTGTTAGGATGTTAACAATGTTGTATTAAACAGTTTGGTATGTATCATTTTGCACATGTTCAAATATATTTTAAGATAGATTTTTAGAAATGTTCTTTATTAAGCAATAAAGTTATGACAAGATACAGCTTTTGGAAAAGTCTTTATCTACTTATATCAAACACCAGATTTTCATCTCAAAGTGAAACAGTTAAGCAGAAGTAAACTAAAAGTTCAATCACTAAGTTGCTCAAACAAAGTCTTAATCAATAGGATATTTATGTGGAAAAATATCCCAGAACTAGAGATTTTGAATTCTTAAACACACAAAATGTGCATCAAGATTAGGATGGTGCACTTGGATGTCCAGAGACAATCCCATTACAGTTCAATCCATAAAACAAAAAATAAATAAGCAAATAAATGAAGTTGTTCTTAGATATCATTCCTTGGATTATTTGATTTCCTTAAAGTACCTGCATGGACTTTCTCACTGAAAACATACTTCCTCATTTGCTTTTGGATTTAAGTGAAATTCAGAGAATATTTTTGACACTACTAGAAAAAATGATGTGCCTACAACTATTACCATTAAATTATTACTTAAACTGTTATTAATTCCCTCATTCAGAAAGACAGTCAAAGAAGTAATGGAAAACATATTTAGCAAGTGTTCACATTACTTCTTTCAGATTTAGAACCGGAAGTCTAAAAACCACATCCAAAAGCAGTCTCAATTAAAAAATTTTTTTTAAAAATCACATTTCATTAGACAACATTTCCTCTGAATACTGTTTCGAAAAGATAAAGCAAATACCTGCCAAAACCAAATTATTTGCTTGCTGTTTCGTGTATAATGTCGATAAACAGTATTTCTCTGCCAATCTGCTAAGTCAACCTCCTGCATGCCACACAACATAACCTGGGAAATGAGCATAGTATTAGGCCTCAATAAAGATTTAGTAAAGAAAATAATTATATGACTAAAATTTTCTGATGTGGAGTTATGCACACAGCGTAACTGTGTGAACAGCTTCATGCATGGCAAATGATAACACTAAGCAAGTCCAACAAAATTTTTAGCAACAGAGCATAAAGAATCCTTTACTATTTTATTTTACCCATGTTTATTGAGCTGAAAACACTTAGAGTTATCTATTCTTCAAGAAAAACAACTGTACCGACAAACATATTTACTTTACGATATATACATGTCCCAAGTTGGGTATCCAAATTGTTGATTAGTTCAAACATACATTTCTGATGATTTTTTAAAACATCTATGCTATCTTATATATTTAAAAAGTAAAAATACACTAACCTCTTATTCATTCATCCAATCTATTTGGGAAGAAATAGTCTACATATATAATATTTTCAAACATTCCCAGATTATATACATAAGATAGTAACTATTTTAGGTATAATAAAATATGTAGTACTTATTTTAATTTTTATAAGTCAACTGAACTATAATTTATATACAGCAAAATACACAAATTTTAAGTGTTTCAACAAATGTATTCACCTGTGTGACCATCACAGTCAAGATACTGAATATTTCCATTATGTCCCTTTTTGGCCTTTTGTAGGTAAAATCATCTATAGTTTTAGATTATCAAGAATTTTACCATTTATACTGTTTTTCTGAGAAGTTATATATAAGCATATATACATGCTTTTTTCTATACATCCTCTCTTCTGATTTCTGATCTTTTTCCACCTCCCACTCCCATAATGTTTCTGGGATTCATCCATGTTGTATGGGAACCAATAGTTCATTATTCATATCACTGAGTAGCATTACACGACATGACTATATATTTGTTTATCCATTCACTGGATACACACTTAGGTTGCTTTCAGTTTGTAACACTGAAATAATGTTGCAATGAATACTATGCAAAAGCATATGATATATGGATGTATATCATATCTCAATTGGGTAAACACCTAAAAATGTAATGCTAGGGCATAAAGTAGGCTGTTACACACTGAACATTTTAAGAAACTATCAACACCATCCCAAAATGCTGTTTCATTTAGTTTTAAAATTTGTATTTCCCTAATGACTAGTGAGCATCTTTTTATGTGTTCACTTGCCATCTGCATATCTTTTTCTTTGAGACAGGGTCTTGTTAACATTGCTCAGGCTGACCTTGAACTCCTAGGCTCAAGCGATTCTCCAATCTCAATCTCCTGAATAGCTGGCACTACAGGTAAGCACCACTGTGCATGATTTGCATATCGTTTTTGGTGAAGTGAATCTTTGTCAACTTAAAAATGCTTTTGTTGGGCTGGGGTTGTGGTTCAATGATAGAGCGCTCACATAGCACATGTGAGGCACTGGGTTCAATCCTCAGCACCACATAAAAATACATAAAATTTCTGATACACTCTTAACAATCCTAATTCCTGTCTAACTACAACTAAAAAAATTAAAAATTAAAAAGAATGGTGGTTTGTTTTTTTTTTAAATTGAGCTATAAAGGTTTTGAAAAATATATTCTGGATATAATACCATGTCTCAATAGTTTCTCACAGTATATGGGTTGCTTTTTCATTTTCTTAATAGTGTCTTTTGAAGAACAGAAGTTTTTAGTTTTGATGAAGTAAAATTTATCCATATTTTTCTTTTGTGGTTATTGCTCTTTTTCTAAGAAACTTGTGCCTATCAAGATTTTTTCTTGTTTTCTTTCAAACTTTCACCTTAACATTAATCTTTGTTTATGGGCTGAGAGATAGGGGTTAAAGTTAATTTTCTTCCATATGGATATCCAGTTGATCCAACATTTATTGAAAAGATTTTCCCTTTTACCACTGAAATATCTTAGCACTTTTGTTAAAAATCTATTGATAATATATGTGTAGGTCTATTTCTGACTCTCTGGTGCTCTTCTGATGTATTTGTGTGTACTTCCACAAATGCCACAGTATATTATGGCTTTATAAATAAGTCATGTCCTTTTTCAAAATTGCTTTGGCTATTCCAGAGCCTCTGTATTTCTTTGTAATTTTAGAATCATATTTCACTTTCTACAAGAAAATTAAATTCTGTTGGAGGCTGGCATGATGGCACACACCTGTAATCCCAACTACTTGGGATACTGAGGCAAGAGGATTACAAATTCAAGGCCAACCTGCGTAATTTAGCAAGACCTTTTGTCAAAATAAAAAAATTTTAAAAAGGACTAGGGATGCAGCCTTAGTGTTAGTGAGCTTGCCTAGCATGGGCAAGGCCCTGGGTTCAATTCCTAACACTTGAAAACAAAATTTTGTTGGGTTGTTGACTAGGATTATGTTGAATTAATAGACCTATTTGGAGAGAAATGTCATTTTAACTATATTGGGTCTTCTAATACATCTCACTGCATTTATTTAGGTCTGCTTTTTTTTCTGAGCAATGTTTTGGGGTTCTGGTATAGAGGTTAAACTTGTATATTTGGTTAAACTTGTTATATATATATGCATACATGTGTATGTATATATACATACACACACATACACATATATGTGCATATATATGAATTTTATTCAGTATATAGTAATATTATTCAGCCATAAAAAGGAAGAAAATTCCGATACATGCTATAGCACGGACAAACTTTGAGGACTTATGCAAACTGAAATAAGCTGTCACAAAAAGACAACATACTATATGATTTCACTTATAAGGAGATTTCAAGTGTAGTCAATTTCACCAAAACAAAGAACAGTAGTTGGCACTGGCTGGGGGATGGAAGGAGCTATTGTTAATAGGTATAGTTTCAGTTTTACAAGAGGAAAGTTTTGAAGACTGGATACATGATAATATTTAACATTAGTGAACTGCACAATTAAAACTGGTTAAGATGGTAAATTTTATATTTATCATACACAACAAAAAGAATTTCTGATATACTTTTAACAACCCTAAATACAGTTAAGACCACTAAGAATTCCTAATTTAAAAATCTGATCTTTAAGCCAGGTGTAGTGGCGCATGCCTATAATCCCAGCGGTTGGGAGGCTGAGGCAGGAGGATCAGAATTTCAAAGCCAGCCTCAGCAATTTGGTGAGTCCCTAAGCAACTTAGGAAGACCCTGTCTCAAAATAATAAAAAGGGGTAGGAATATGGCTTAGTGGTTAAGCACCCCTGGATTCAATTCCTGGTACCAAAAACAAATAAACAAGAAAACTGAGTTTTAAAGAAACTCACTACTGAGAGACTTCAAACATTTCCTAAAATTATTAATAATGTTCAAATCACATTATGATCCAACATCTAAATATGATTGATGATTTTATGCTTATGAGATCATCAGGGTTTACAGAATATAACTGAGACTCTCATCCAATGGTAGTATTAATGCCACCTAAACATTTAAACAGATATGAGGATTCAAGATTGTGCTACATGACTTCAAATGTGTGTCCACTGATGCATGAAAGCACATGCCCCCTCCCCCATGTTGTAACATTCCCTACAGCACCATAATAAAAGAGCCTAACCTCCAATTCTTTTTCATCAAAGTACTGTAGCCACTGAAGGGGAACAACTTCATTAAAACCATCAAGGAAAGCTTTGGTTTGTTCTTGTACTCCTCGAGAAAAACGCCACTCTGTCATTAAACTGAAAATAAAGAAAGGTATTTGAAAATAGATTACTATAATGTTAAGTTAAAGGATTAAAAGCACCAAGAATTTCTAAAGTTCCTTCCTTTCTATAAACATGTGTGTGTACACATATATTAATGTATATCTACACACACACAAAAAAAATTTTAGAATCAACATACTTCTCAAGATAATCAGTTCTAGCACATAAGTAGCTATTAGAAAGGATGTTTTAAAAATAAGAGGTTCTTCATTTATTAGTAAGACAGTCAAATTCTAGCACTAATATTTCCTCATATATAAAATTTCAACTACTGTGAGCTGACACAGGAAGGGAGTTGCTAATCATTTAAAAGGCTCTCCTTGTACAATGCATTTGCAAGGAAGAGTTGAGGGCACTAGATCAGGGATTCTCAGGAACTTCCAATGACAATCTGTTTACATGCCACATGCCTGTATAGGTTTATGGCTTTAGAAGCCTTAAACCTAGATAACAGGTTCTTTACATGCTGGTTTGTTGGAGAGCATGAAGATTTCCTCACCAAAACAGACCAAAAAAATCAAGGTTGAGGGGCTGGGGTTGTGGCACAGAGGTAGAGCACTCGCCTAGCACATGCAAGGCACTGGGTTCGATCCTCAGCACCACATAAAAATAAATAAATAAAATACAGGTATTGTGTCCAACTACAACTAAAAAAATATTTTTAAAAAATCAAGGTTGAAGTGGAACATTCTGAGAAGACATGTAAAGCATCCGTATAATAGGGAAGCGGGATAAAGAAATAAGAAAGAAAATCTGTCATTAATACAAAATCTGTATTAGAAGCTTCCAAAAGGAGATGAGTCCGCAGAAAATCTTCTGGAGAAACAACATACAGTATCTGATGAAGAGAGGTCACCAATAAGAGCAGGTTCTATCTCTTTTTGTGTCCTACAGGAAGTTGCTCCATATCCTCAACTATACCTTTCTACTCCTCCTCTTCCATTTGTCCACAAAGGTGTTCAGACTAAATCTTCTCCAAAAACCCTTATTTCAACCCAGTGACTTAAACCACTGTTTGTCTTCTGTTTAGCACTGCACTTATAAGACTAGGTTACATTCACTGTCTCCACTTTCTCACTTCCTGTTCATTCAAATTTTGAACCATGATAATTTAGCTTCCAACATCTCTCCCAAGAATTTAAAAAAAAAAAAAAACTTTCTTTTTTTTATATTTATTTTTAATTGTAGCTGGACACAATACCTTTATTTATTTTTTTAATGTGGTTCTGAAGATGGAACCTAGGGTGTGCACATTCTAGGCAAGTGCTCTACCACTAAGCCACAACCCCAGCCTCAATTAATTTTCTTTATGAATGTCACCAAGGAACTTCTAATTGCCAAGCCCAATGTCTTCTTTTCAGTGTTCATGGTACATGAATGGTCTAAATCCCTAGATATTAGCATTCTAAACTCTTGCAATTCTTCCCAGGTCAATTAATGCCATTTCTAATTGGGCTTTGGTGACTCTTCATTGGTTCACACTATATTCCATTAACATTGGTGTTACTTAAATCTCTACCTTCTTTTCTCCTTCAGTTGTTCACTCTCTAAAAAATGATATTTTCAACTACTACAGTATCACAGAAAATCCAGGAATTCTTTGGCTTCCCTCCTGAGATGAAGATAGTTATAAATTGTGTCTCCTTGGATAATCCTGTTAACACAATCCACCTGTCAACCAAACCATAAACCTCAACTGTCAAATATCTCAAATTACTATTCTTTCCCTCACTATATATAACTAATCATTGAATCTGCATCATTTTGTGATATCCTCAAAAATCTACTCCCTCATTTTTATCTCTACTGCACAGGCCCTATCTCAAGCCTACAATACCTTACTACTTTTTAACTAGTATTCTAGTCTCCAATTGCTCTCTTACCCTATTCATCTTCCACACAGATGCCAAAATTAGTTGTCCAAAAACATTCTGATGATTCTACCTTGGTTTGTTTATAATAACTATTTATAATTTAGAGCAAAAACCTTCTTCTCTTAGAATAATAGTTTTCTTAAATTGAGGTGCAACTGACTTTTATGCTAGGGTGCTATGTAGCCACTATTTCTCATCATCTTATAACATCCTTAGAGCATTGTAGAATCACAGAATAAATTATTCCTTTAATATCTCAATTCCTCTGCTCTTGTTCTTTTTCCACCTTCCTAGCTTTCGGGCATCATTTTAGACCTAACTTACCCATGACATTCTATGAAGAGCTTTCCTAGCCCTCACAGGAGAATAAATAGCTTCTTTCCCACTTTGGATTCTGACAAAACTTCATACATATTTCTACCATTCATTTACTCAGATGTGTTCAGGTCCTATTTTGTGCACCAAAAATAAGGTATCACAACTAAAAAAAAAAAAAAGTATTATCACATAATTTTTAAAAGCAAAACTAAAAACAAGATTAAAGATTTTGTTTGAGATGCATACAAAATCCTCTAAAAATTGTTGGGATTCAAAATTAGATTATTATGGCTGGGGATGTGTTAGAGTGCTTGGCCTGGCATGCATGAGGCCCTAGGTTTGACTCCCAGCACAATACAGAGGAAAAAATAGGAGTTCAAAATTAGATTATTAACTCTTACAGTAGTTACTATACAAGTAAGATTTTAAAATATAGTGGTGACTTTTCAGAAATCATAAAGTTCAAAGTAATAAGTACTATAAACTCCTATGATGAAATTTTATTTAAGCTGCTTTTTGTTATCTGAAATCATTTATATAGCATTTTTTAAATGCTTAAATTCTTATTTAATAATTACTGTTGGACTTTGTAAAAATCTTAAGGCTTCACCAACATAAAAGCCCAGTGTTTTCTTTGTGAATGTATTTTCTTAAAAATATTATAATAGCTTTATTTTTTCCAATAGCAATAATAAATGCTCATTGCATAACAAAGTAAAACAAAAAATACCTCACAAAGTAGAAAGCCATACAAACAAGAAAATCAATTATTGGTAATTTTTCTCACTAAAAGCAAAAAAAAAAAAAAAAATAGGTAGCAAGAGACCTAGAATATCATGCTAAAAAAAGTCTGCACTTAACTTCGTAAACAGAGAGACACAAAGGATGTGAAACTGAAAGGCCATAACAATTTACAAATAAAGAAGGGAAAAAAGGATTGTTATGATCTTCTGGGGGAAAGCAACATGGTAATATCTATTAAATACTTTTGACCCAATAATTTCACTTTACGTAAATCTATCCTACAAAAATAAGTAATAATATGTATGGACTCGTATAAGGACATATATATCCTCCTTCCTTGTTTGTAGTGGCCCAAACAACACAATCTGAATGACCCTTGGAGTAGAAGTGACTAAATAATATAAAAGAAATATACCATAATTTAGCCATTAGAAAATGAGATCTATCTCTACTGAGGTGAAGGTCAGAAAAAAAATGAGCTACAGAGTAATGTGTATGAATATGATCCCATTATTGAAACAAATACAACATATAAAAATCTGAAAGGAAAAAACAAAGATGACAGCTAGAATCCAAGTCTAAAAGGATGAAAATGGTAGTGTCATTAATAAAACTAGGTCAAGAAGAGATAATATGTAGAAAAAAAATGAGAATTTTTATTCTGGACATGTTAAATTTCAGATGGGTCATTGACTGAGTAGTCAAGAGGTAGCAAACTACAGCCTTACCTGGCTGGCCATCTTTAAAAAAAAAAGATGTTTCAGATAATATTTTGTGATATACAACTATATGAAATAAAATTTATTTTATTGGAATGTAATCACATTTTCTGTTTATAAGTTATCGATGGCTGATTTTGCACTATGTCACCAGAGCTTAGTAGCTGAGTAAGAATGTATGTGGCCCACAAGCCTAAAATATTTAACTACCTGGTCCTTTCCTGATAAAGTTTACAATTACCTGGATAGCAAATGGATATTATTTCTAGAGCTTAGCTATTACTTTAATTTAAAAAATGAAGCCACGGTAGCAGAACAGAAAAGCAGGCTAAATAAAGAGTCCTAGAAAAACTCCTTTGTTTAGGAAATGGAAATTTAGAGAACTATTAAAAGAGAAAGCTAAGAAAATCAGGAAAATACAGTATCATGGAATTCAAGAGACTAGAAGGTTTCAAAATAGAGGTTGTGGTCAGCACTATTTAAAGTTTAAGTTAAAAATGGAAAAGTGACATGGCACAGAAATAAGCATTAGACTGACAGTAAAAAGCTTAGGTTCCAGATTTGATTTTGCTTACATCAAACAAAGCCTAATAACTTCATCAAAAATTAAGGGGCACATTCCAGGTACGGTGGTGCACACCTGTCATCCCAGCAGCTCGGGAGCCTGAGGCAGGAGGATTGCGAATTCAAAGCCAGTCTCAGCAAAAGCAAGGCGTTAAGCAACTCAGTGAGACCTTATCTCTAAATAAAATACAAAATAGGGCTGGAGATGTGGCTCAGTGGTCTAATGTCCCTGAGTTCAATCCCCAGTACTCCGGCCTTCAAAACCAAAAAACAATTAAGGGGCACAGTCTTTGCAGAGCCACTATTCAGCATCTACATATTCTAGAGATTTGAACCTGGACAAAGGAAAATGCCTTTTAGCAAATGGTAGTAGGAAAGTAAATGTCATCATGTATTCTTATTTCAAGAACACTGGTACTATTTAGAACTTCCTGAAGGAGAGAAAAAAGGATAATATTAAAGTCCAGATAGAGAATTTAGTTCCAATGTATCTGTTAAATTCTAGAAATTAGACTCAACAATCTATATCACCTTACCCAATATATTCATCTTTGTTCTCCTCGGTCACCAGGATATTGGAACCTCCCATCTTTAGGTCATGTGAAGTAACTTTCCCTAAAATTTCCATGTCAACAGAAAAATACATTTCTAAGCCACATTCTTCTATGTTGTTGTCTCTAGGTTAAAAAAAGAAAAAAAAATATTAAATTAACAGAATATGTAAACGGGTTTCAAGAAAATGCCTTATTGAAAAAAATAAGTTTTTAAACCTTATCCAGATAAGGGAGTTATAAAATTCAGTATCAATAGATTCCAAATCCTTAATAGTAAGTTTTTTACTCAGCATACGCTTGTAGAATGGTAAAGAAAACCCGGTATCGATAAACTTTCCATGAAATAGTGCCTGCCAGGAAAAACAAAAATATTTATTTAAAATTTGCAATAATTTAGAGCATAATGATAATATGAGATTTTATAGAAAAAAATTAGGACATGAACAGCATAAATCATGAAAATTAAAACATAAAATGCCAAGCATAAAAAACAAGAGTTAAAACCTATTTCATGGTCAAACACTTAGCTGTATAATGCACTATCAAAACTAAAAATAGTATGATAAAGAACTTTACTACCAATCACCCCTCACACTTTCTTATAAATTAACATAACTGAATGCAGAAATGAAGAAGGGCCCTGTATAACCTGAAGGACTCTTATCTCATTCCTTTCTTATTTTCAGAGGTTCCTGCAAGACTTCCATAATCACTGTGCCTTAACTCCCATTCACTACAGCCAACACAGAAAGAAACCCCAGGCTCCCAGCAATTTTTGACTCCTTGGGGTTCTTAAAACACAAACAACAACAACAACAAACACTGAAACTATTACCCTATCATTGTATCTCAACCCCTTCATGAAGTTATTCTCCCCTTACTCAGTTTAGATTCCCTCATCAATCATTAAAATTACTTATCTGATATGAAGTTATATTCTCCCCTTATTCAGTTTGGCTTCTCACATCAATCATTAAAATGACTTTATCTGCATACTTTCAAACCCCACCACCCCCACTCAATTTCCAGCAAAATCCCAAGGCTAGCTAAATTCAACTCTCAGTTTACTCAATACCTGTACCTAGATGGTAGAACACACTGGAAATGCATATACAAACTAACTGGTTCACGATCAACAGTCTGAAGTTGAAGCTATGTGTTGTCTGGCATTTACTCTCCCATGCTCCTAAGATGACTAATTTAGTTCCTCTTCTTCTTGCCTCAAGTCCTTTTCTTCTCACTCCTCACTTTGAATTGAGGATCTTAATTCCTCTTTCACCAAAAAAATAGCAATCAGAAAACATGTTTTGTGTTCCACCAAATCTGCTCATTACTAGGCTGGGTCAGAACACTCTTATTATAAATAAGGTTACTATTACTTCTCTGTGTACTTCTCTGTGTACCATTCCTTTTCTTCCTACTCAACATCATTGTTCCAATATTCCTTGTATTACTGACCTCACCAAATTCTTTTCATTCCTATTTGATCATCCCTGTCAGCAATATAAATGCTTTATTATTCTCCTCCTGTCTCTAATCCAGACCCATTTCTAGTTACTGCCCATTTCTCTATGATCCTCTACAGCAAACTCCTTTAAAAGATACGTTTCTGTTTGCTCTCTCTTCTTCCAATCTCTCTTGATTTTTTCCTCATCAATCTTTCCATCCAACCACCCATGAACATCTTTTACCTTCCCAAATCAAATGGTCAATCTCTAGACTTTTTCTCGTTTGGCCTAGCAGTAACTTGACAGGATTAATCATAGCTCCCTTTTTTGTAACACACTACTTCTTCCCTTGTCTTCCAGGAACTACTCCTACTTGATTTTCCCACCTCAGCTATTTTGCTCCTTCCTTATTTTCTTCCCAACTTACAAATGTCCTTGAAATTCCTTAAACAATCACAGCTTTCTCTACATGCCCAGAACTCCCATATGCCTCTCCCTCCCTCAACCCAGATATTCCCTCAATGCTCAACTTATATATCCAACTATATATCCATCCATATCTCCATGTGGATATCTACAGTATCCCAAATTTAGTAAGCCAAATCCTGATTTCCTCAACACCCCAAATTTTGTTTTGCTGTGATCTTGCCTATTAGGAAATAGCAACTGCAAGTAAATACACAGGTCACGAATTTTGGTGCCATACTTGACTCTCTCACACAGAAAATCCTAACCTGCCAGAAAATACTTTTAGCTCTAACTTCAGAATATATCCAGAATCCAAACCACATCCCCTATATTCCACTGCTATATCACACAAATCCAAGTCACTGTCATCTTTCAACTGGATTATTGCCAATGGTCTTCCTGCTTCCACTCTTTATCTTTCCCTGCCCCAATTAGTCTTTCTTCTACACAGTAGCAAAGTAAGTTTAATAAAATTTAAGTAACATGTTACTTAGTTCATGTTACTCACTGCCTTTTACTGAAAACCCTAATGTAAATTTTCTGACATTCCTGCATAGTATTTAATTTCATCTCCTACCACATTCTCATATATTCTGCTCCAGCCATGTTGGACTGTTTCTCAACAAAGAATGCACTTCCACCACAAAGCCTTTGTCTTGCTATTCCATATGCCTAAAATGTTCTCCAAGGAATAACAAAATTAAATCCTGTGCTGTCTGCATGTTTCTGTTCATGTGTCATCCATTAGAGACCTCCTTTTATGACATTATATAAAAGAGCAATACACCCTTTCCCTGAGCATATATTTATTATTGTTTTCCCTCTTATAGGATTTAGATTCCTAACAGTAAGGAATATGTCTTCTCTTCAAGAGCCTAGATTGGTGCTAGGCATTACAGTAGACACACAATAAATATTTGCTGAATGAATGAATTGATAGTCCAGTGTAAATAAATACAAACACTTCTCAAAAGACAATAATTCCACAAGGGCTTCTTTAATGCTCTGAAATTTTCAAAAACAACCACTTATTAGATAATTGATTTTCCTTTTATCTATAATTAGGCTTTACTTTATAAAATGACTTATAAAGATGTGCTTTATAAATAATCCTCATATTCATAATCTTAATTTCATACAGGCACTCAATATATGAATTATATTTTGATAATTACTTCCTAGGCAAAACTCCATGTAAACAAGATATCTGAATAATAATTAATGCTTATCTTTGTCTTTTAAAGTTCTCATAAAATACTTTCAAAATAGGGAAAATTAAAATAAAATACCGAAAGGTGGGAACTCACCATTGCAATAAAGCGACCGATGAAACAGAAATATGAAAGATGGTCCGGATTAATAGTTGATGCTGGATTTATCTGCAGACAATAGTTGTTTTTGCCTGCATACTCAAATAAGCAATACATTGGGTTCAAAACTTCATGTGAGAGCAAGAAAAACCATTCTCTATAAGAAAATAAATCAAGATTATTTTTTAGTATTCATATATGGGAATTTAAAAACAAGTCTCAAATATACCCATATATATACCGTGTGTGTATGTGTGTGTGTGCATGTGCGTGTGTGTGTGTGTGTGTGTGAGAGAGAGAGAGAGAGAGAGAGAGAGATTATGCTCACTAACCTTTAAAGTTCTACTGCACAATTCCTCAGCCTTTCTATAACCTGGTTTTCCATTCAAAATTTACCTGTTAGTTTCTGCATTGCCAAACCATAAATGCACTGTTCGTCATGGATACATGCTAATTTCTACACCACATATTCATTTTGGTTTTTCTCAACTTCAATTCAACTTATAGATCCCACTTTATCTCAGTTCAGTGTAAATCCAACCTCATTCATTTCTGAAGCGATTTCAGTATATCATCTATTCAGTCACTGACTACTTTGTGATAACATCCTCAAAATTTTATTTATTTTAACGCAAATGACCTATCCCATCCAATAGAGCAAGCTCCTCAAATGCAAAAGCCATGTCTTTATGTATTCTTTGTATCCTTAACTTCCTATATCCTAGGATCTATACACCATAGGTTTTTCTGTTTTGTTTGCATGGTCACTTGTTTGTTTTTGGTGGTGCTAGGCAAGCACTCTTCCATTGAGCTATACCCCCAGGCTCCACAATGGGTTTTAATAAAACATTTGCTAGTGAAACACATAGCGTTGCTGCTATGGAACAGTTTTATTTTGTTGACAATGCCTTAAAAATGAAATTATAATTTTAAAATTATAGTTAAATGTGATAAGAAATTAAACATGATAATATATGAATTATATTCCCTCACTTTAAAGTCTAAGAATTCAACTAGATAAGAGATTAATAATTCATATCACAAAATAAAACTCAATTTGCAGAAGGTTCTTTTCAATCACAATTTCTTCTAAAGCCAAATTTCAAGCTCAAATGATTACAACAAAGAGTACAGGGGCTTATATTCTCTACTTAGCCACAATCCTCTGTTCCTCATTACAGCACTGCTAAACGTAATTGCTTTAAATAAGGAGACTTTCTAGACACATTTTCCTAGTCTTAATAGAGTGGGTAGTACTGAGCACTATAGTGAAACAGTTTTATGCTCCCTTAAAGAAGAAATAGCTACTAAGATGCAGCCAACTGATGCAAGTAAAAAGGTGGAAATATGGGTCTCTGATTTTAAAGAAAAGTCAGAAACTTAATTCTTAAGTATAATCTGGTGTTTTAAAAAATATATTATCAAGTAATTTACAAAATTTAAAATCACAATGAGGCATCTCTATGCAGGTTATCTGGCTCCACAGCATGTTAAAAATGCTTTTCAAGAGCTTTTAAAACATCCCTAAACCTACCTGAAGGAGAGAAGGAAGTCCCTAAACAAAATCAACTAAGAAATGATAAAAAGCAATTCATAAAATGAAATCCAGACCCAACATGGTAGTTAAACCAAGTTACTCTGTGATAAGGCTAAAGAAAGACATGGCCTCAGGGAAGTGGACTGAGGAGTCTAGTGAGAATGTATTTAGATACACAAAAACTCAGAATAAAGTTTCCGGTTGCTTCAGATCACTTTTAGTAAACAGCAGCCCAGAAAAAACAAATTCACTCAAAGAATGGCCATAACATGACACCTAACCCTTGCCTTAGCAGAAAAGAAGAAAAAATTCCTAACAGGAGGCAGAAGAATTAATTTTCAACATGTCCTTCTCTACAGTCTCAAATAAATTGAAGAGACACAAGAAGTTGAAAAAAATTATGACACAACAGATGAGTCAGCAGAGCCTAAAGAAAATAGTACAACTACTAATGAAGAAAAATCACATTAGAAGCAGCAAAACATGGGGCAATACTGCACACAGTGACATGAGGACAGGCTTCAGAAAACTCAAAATAGAGAAGCACGAAGATAAAAATGATTAGAGAAAGATGACGGACAAGTAAGACTGACAAAGGAGATTCCACATACCCATGATTGATGTTCCTGAAGAAAAATGGAACAAATGGAACAGAAAAAATATTCAAAGATACAATAGAAGAAAATTTCCCTGAAATTAAGGAACATCTTAGTATGTTCCTAAAAAAAAGATATAACATAACCAACAATGAAATTAATGAACTTCAAGGAAAAGAACTGTGTAGACACCCAGAGAAAAGTTTCCTACAAGAGATTGGCTTCATACCATTGTAGTACTGACAATTCAATGCTAGAAATAGTGAAGCAATGTCTAGAGTATTTGAGTAATGAGTTTTGTGGAGGAAATTTAAATCTAGTGAGATTGTTCTCTGTATACAAAAAAGCAACAGAAAACATTTTCAAACATGCAAAGACTATAGGATATATCACCATGTGAACTCTTGAATAAATCATTTGATAATGAGTCTAGCCCAAACACATGAATTTAAAAAATTTAGAAATAAAAAAATCATGGGATAGAAAAACTGGCTATATGCATTAAAACTGCCAAAATAGGACATGTGCAATGGCACATGCCTATCAATCCTAGCTACTTGGGAGGCTAAGGCAGGAGGATCACAAGGTTTTTTGAGGCAAGTCTTGGCAATATAGTGAAACCCTGTCTCAGGAAATAAAAATGAGTGGGGTGCAGCTCAGTGGTAAAACACCTCTGGGTTCAATCCCTAGTACCACAAAATAAATATATAAATAAAAAGTTGTGGGAGGACACTGTCGAAATACAAAACTAGACCCAAACAGTTAAGGCAAATAAGGGTTCAGACAAGACTGCGAATGTTATAAAGTCAGACACTGGAAAAATCATACCACATTTCCTTACCTCTAAAATCTACCTTTCTTTTTAATGTCTGAACATCTCTGAAATTTAGAAAAATTCACAATAGATGCAATATGAACATTAATTATGCTAGTGTTTCTTTACTGAAAAAGTTTAATGTTTTGGATGAATAAATATGCTAACATAAATAAAATTCTGATAGTCTCACTTACAATATCATATTTCTGCCCTGACAGTTGTACCTGACTCTATATCACTCTTTGTTACTTGTATTAAAATTGTGATTTCATAATTCTGTACACCAGTGAAATATGAGTTAAGAGAGTTGTTTCTGTGAAAAAACAAGTTGAATTCTTAGGAGAGATTTAGTGAGTGTTTTGCTAAAAAAAATAAATAAAAAGTGTCAATTTAGGTTTGTATGAAACATGGGAAGTTATAGGTTTCTTTATTGCTTCACAAATGTCTATTGTTAACAATATCTTTAGTGAATGAGGAAAAAAAAGAAATCTCGATTGAAAATACAAATATAAAACTAAAATACAATGTTATCACAGCAAAAACTAAGAAATAACCTTATGCTGATCCATTAATTATTATATCACTATATATGAAAAACTGTGTAACCATCTGAACAAAAGTATTAGCGTGTGTATGCATGCACTCTTTACATATATACTGACACTGAAAGATATCCATATAAAAAGTAAAAAATTATTATTTACCCTTTTTTCATCATGGGGGATCACAAGCAGGCTTCCTGCATACTAGGTAAGTACTCTATCACTTAACCATACTCTCAGTCCTCTAAACAAATTCTTACATTTTATACATTGTATAATTAAATCTACTAAAAGCAATAAACATATACCATTTTAATGTAAACACAGATTTACATATGTACATTTACATATTATACATATATGCAGAGAAAATACATAATAGGATAATTAAGAAAGGTAATAATAAAATTTACCTGTAGAATTGTACAAATATTTTATTTTTAAAAATAACGGTGGATTGCTACTGGAAAAAAAAATACTCCAATATTATCACATATTTTTTCAAGCATACGTCTACTGCATACAATAAGATACACTTATTTCAAAGCTGATACATATTTTTTAATGTTACCTTGCTAAACCACCATAATCAAGTCCTTCTTCTCCTCTAAATATTACATATAATCGCCTCCTCAAGTCATAGGGTTTTAATGCCATAATCTAATTAAAATAAAAAACATGAATATTTAAACACTCATAGATGGGCACTAGTTACTTCCAAAACAATTCAATTTAAATTTAACCTATATTTTCAGAATTACACATTTCATTATCTAATGCAAAGATGCCTTTAACTTAAGAGAGAAATTTTTTTTTTCATGGCTAGATATAATCCATTAAACTTTCTCTGACCCACTTTAATATATTCTTTCCCCTCTTCTAGAACTAAATTACAGTTCTACTTTGGGCTAGTAAAAAGGAAGAAAGAATTTGACACAGAAAGCTGTTAAAGTTAGAAAATATTCTCTTCCTTCTCACTCTCCAAAACCATACCAAAATCTTTCTTTATTTTAAACAGATAAATCTTCTTGAGTAGCAACACTTACGAGGCAAAAGAACTTGTTCTGCACCCTACTTATACCAAACATTCTCTCTCTTGGGAGGAAAGTAACTCCTCTATAATCATTATTTATATGATGATGCATTTGTACATAGAATAATATATATTAAAAAGGTACCTGTACCAAATTTTCATAATCCTTAGTACATCTATCAATGTTACTAAAGTAGGCTTTACTTTTTGTACAAAAAAATGAATTACTTCCATCACAGAACCAGAGCCAAGACTGGCAGGTCTGCGTTAGAAACACATCTCTCTAGCAGGCCTCTCCTTTAGGGACAATAAGGGCTCAATCCCTGATTCTCCTAATAGACCATGATTCTCCTGCAGGACAAGATGGTTTACTATGAATTTAGATGCACACTTAAAATGATCAACACAAAGTTTTGATAATAGCTATTATCTATCTTGTTCCAAGTCCAACAGCTAGTAAAAACTAAGCTAGGATTTGAACACCTCTGTGACTTTAGAGTGTTGTTATTTCATTTTGACCTGTACAAAGAATAAATAAAACCCCTATGTACCTGAATACAGGGGAAAGTTTGGCTCATCACTATAATACTTTGGAGGAGAGTGAGAAGTTTCATATGAAAAATTCTCTACTTAATCGTTAAAAAAAATAAAAGTATTCTGATTTTTAATCTTTAAAATTCTACAGATGATTCAGGAAGGCATACATACTACATTTATTCATCCATTCAAGGTGGATACCTGTAATGTGCAAGGCACAATTCTAGAAACTGGGCAAAAAAAGCTGTAAACAAAACAGTCCTTGTTCTCCTGGAGCTTACATTCTGATAGGGGAGATGAATAAAATGTATGTAAGATAGTAGTTAAGTGTTATGAAAAAGAATATAGTACCATAAATGGCTAGAATGTGACTGTGAGATAGGTAAATGGGTATTGCTATCTTAATATGCTCAGACAAAGTTACTCTGAGTCTATGACATTTAAAAAGAAACCTAGAGAAAAGAATGAACATTAGAGGTATTCATGAAATATTCAAATGGAATATAGTATCTTTAAACTTAATTTGTTAGCGTTTTCAAAACTTTTTGTATGATGTAGTAAATCTGTAGTCAAGTAAATAAATTTCAAAACAAACCACTTTGGAACAAGTTGATCTAATATTAGTAAGTACACATTGAAATTCATGATAGAATGATGGTTCTTCTCAGTTTTAGTACCTTTACCTGTAAATGGTTTAAAATTCCTAAAACCCTAAAATGAGTAAAATAAGACAACAGTATTATTTTATTCTGATAAAATCTTCCTTACCTGTTGGAAGGAATCTTCAAATAATGTCTGCCGGGACACATTGATCTTTACATGACTGGGTAGTGCATTAGACTAAAAACAAAAATAGTATCATATCATGTAAGCCATATAAATGTATAATATAAAGATAATACGAAACAATTATAAAGATAAGGTTTATTTACCACTGTAGTACCTGGCACAAATAACGAAAGTGAGCAAGTTTCCACCTAAAGCTGCGCTCATAAGCAATTTGTGGACCACCTTTTGTTCTAAAGAAAACAAAAAACAAAGTATTTTTTAATTTATAATAAATTAATTAAATATTTCATGTTCAGTATTAAGTCAGAGTATACTAGAGTCCTACACACAAGCCAAGAATATTATTTGCTGGGAGAAAAATAAAGGTTTATTTAGTGGGCCAACAGAGGTTTGGATCATAGGGCTAATACAGCAATAGGACATAGATGTTCAAAAAGAGGAAGACTGCATATATTAGTGTTAACTAATAATTGAAATATTAAGGTCTACTGAAGGCCATTTCAAAGAAAGCCTACATTAATCCTTAAATCTGAGAACAAAATCTCTATTTTTATGAAAGGAACATGGAAGGCGACTGTATCACATCTTAAACCTAACCTGAACAAAACACATATTGGAAGAGATAATAAGCAAAGCAAAATCAAACTCCTAGGAACAAGAAATGACATTCAGGTCACATGGCTCAGTTGGTCAGTGAGACAAAAGGCAATATGAATGGCATTTAGAAATGAAGGTTTTATAATATGGTTTGACTCACAGGGAGAAGGCTTGGGTCTCTTTCCTACTGAGAAGCTAACAGGTTCAAAAAACTTTTACCATCTTAGGGTACATTTTAGTTATCCATTCATCCAACAAATATTTACTAAATGTATGCCATGTACCTGGCATACTTCTAGAAAATGAGAGTATTACTTTTTAATAAATAAAATGCCTTTTTTGATGGAACTTAAGTATTAGTGAAGATGAAATAAAGGAAACATAATGAATAAGTAAACTACAAATGGTGTGTGTTAAAAGGGGGAGGTAAATGACTTACAACTTCCTAAAGGGGGAAAAAAGTCTTATTAAGAGGACAAAGGATAAGGAGTGATATGGGGACAGACTTTTGCAATTATGAAGAGTGTAAGATTCATAGACAGTGAGTGACATTTGAGCAAAAACACAAAAAGAGAGGGCATAAGCTATATGTGTATTTAGAGAAAGAACATACCAAACAGAGGGAATAAAGGCTAAGATTCAGAGGTGGAAGCTTAAGATGTTCAAGGTATAGCTAGGTGGCCAATGGAGCTAGTTCAGAGTCAATGAGGAGAAAATAGAGATGAAGCTTAAAAGTTAACAGGGATCAGATTCTACAAGGCCTTAGAAGCCATTTTAAAAACTGCTTTTTTGCTCTAATTCACATGAAAATCATTGCCGGGAGTTTGTTCTAAGGAATGACTTTTTATTAAAAAAAAAAAAAAAAAAAAACATTTTCTTTCAATATAGAGAATAACATAACATCACAGAAGGTGTGATTAGAAAGCAGAGAGAACAAGGACCCTTATACTCTCCAGGTGACAGACAATGGTAAATAAACCAACATGGCAATATTAGAAGTAATAAGATATAGCTGGGCTCTAGAGATGTTCTCAAGTTGGGAATAAAGAAGAAAGATGGAGGATGAGTGCTGGGAGACAGGTAGATGTGAAGAAATTTACAAAAGACTTCTTATGACTGCTTCCATTTTCTTGGTGATGCAAATACATAACACCTCAGAGTAAGGATGAAGAAGAGACCTATCCACTACTTCAGGAATCTATTTGGGAAATTCAGTTTCGTTCAATATCTCACCCTCATTTTGCAACAGTATGATATAAGAGCTAAAAGCACAGATTCTGGAAACAGCTCTATTACTTGTCCTATAACTTGGTAGTAGGTATACTCACTACACCTGTGTCCTTACTTGATAAAGAAGAATAACAATATCTACTTCAAAGGCAAGAGAAAAATGAACTAATATATATAAAGTGCTTGGGATAATCCTCGAATGTAGCAACTACTATGCATATATTTGTCAGTTATTATATTACATATAATATAATATAATTAAGGAATTCCATGCCAAATCCATTCTGGTATGGGACAGAACAAAGATAGGTATTTTATGACTTGTGCACATTTACTTGAACCAAAAGGTAAAATTTGTTGCTAAACTGAGGCTACACTAGAGACTGGACCTCATGTCTTCATTAAGCAGCATTTAAGGAGAACAGGTTTTTACTTACACAGATGATTTCCCATTTCGAGGATCTTTGAATGTTGTTGTTCTTGTGTTATGATCCACAAAGTACCTAACACCTTCCCTGGTATATCTAATTTCCCAGCCTTCTGGTAGAGGTTCTTCATTCTGTAAGCTAAAAGAGAAAAGTTATAATCACAGGTGAATATTTTGTAAGCATTCAAGATTCACTGATTGTTATCTACAGATGCATGCAAAATGACTATAGTAAGTATAAACATACCCTTGAGTTCTGGGGTCTTCCCATTGAGTTGTTTTTGTATTATGATTCACAAAATAAACCCTGTCTGTTGAATCCACTCTTTTTTCTAAAAATTAAATAAATAAATAAAGTGAGCATAGCATTTAATAAAAGTATTTGATACAGACATATCTTACAGACATTTTTACCAACATCATATCAGCTTACCCCAGCCTGGTGGCAAAGGTCCATATGGGTCATTTTCTGCAGCTAACATTGAAGCCTGATTAGGGAAGGGGTTGAGAGAAAAAATCAAATAACAGCATTTTAACAGAAGAGCAGAAATAAGCCAAGCACTTGGCAGAATCTATAATTCTTAAAAAATATAATAAAGATATAATAAAGATAAGATAAATATATCAATTTCAAGACACAGAGTTCTAAATACGTCGTAAGAGCAGCCTATCAACTGATAAGCTTTTTAGGTTTTTACTAAAACAATTTAGAAATAATACACTGATATCGGTATTTTCATCTCCTAGTCCTTCTATAATCATCTATAAGGGTGAGATGAGATGGTCAAAGAGCACATAAATGGTGTTTAAATGAGGCAATATTATTTGTTTAAAAACACAACTATCACAGTGCTCTTTAAAATAAATGTCCTTTAATAAAGCCAATATTAAACTCCAGATTCATCTTTATAGAAATGAACTTTTATTTTTACTTAGTATTTTTGTATATTCAAACATTTAAAAAACCTTTTCCATGTATGCTTATGATTGCAACTAAAAATATGTTCTGAAGAAAAAGTATTATCTCTTAAATTCTAAAAGAATATAAAAATAATAACCTGAAAAATAATTTCCTAATGATAAAGTATATTGATGGATATTTTTTATTCTTTTCACAGATATTGCTAATTATACTCCATGTGCATTTTTACTCCTAGCTAGGTAACCAACCCACTGTTTTGTTTGAGATAGCAATGTATCCATAAGAAATATTTCATTCCCTGTTTCAGTCCCTTAGTTGAATTGATAAAGTGACAAATTCTGGCTACTGAGTATAGGCAGAAGGTCAAGGTGAGGGTATGCCTCACTAAATAGGCAAGAACTTGCTACATAAAACCCAGCTAAAACAATTCCCCTTTCCCTTTCTTCTTGCTTAACTGTGGGAGTGAGGCTCAGAGGGCAGCAATTCCATATGTTCAAACAAACAGGCATGATGCATAATAAGGACGGGCGAACTAAAAGGCAGAGAGTAATTGGGTACTTTACGGCACTACTAAGCCAATGCAGTATTCCTCTTAAACTCTTGCCCGAGATTTGATGTTCTACTGTGATAAATAAACCTCTTATTTTTTTAGTTGTAGTTGGACACAAGACATTTATTTATTTTTATTTTTACGTGGTGCTGAGGATCGAACCCAGTGCCTCGCACATGCAAGGCAAGCGCTCTACCACTGAGCCACAACCCCAGCTCCTAAACCTCAGTTCTTTTAAGGGGATTTCTGTTACTTGTAGAACATACTTCTGATACATAGTTAATACTTAATTCTGCCTTGTTTCACCCAAGGTTCATGCATACAGATAGGTTCCATAAATGAACAAGATAAATTCACACAGTACATAATTTCTTATTTACAAAGTACGAGTTGAGCATTCCTATTCAAAACTCTGAAATCTGAAATGCTCCAAAACCTGCAAAATTTTTGAATGCAAAATTTACCAAAAAAATTATTATTTATTAAAAGACTGACTAGGAAATACCTTGAAATACACTTAACATTTTAGAAAATAACTAAAGTACAAAAAGAGCAAATGCCTGAGAGAAAAAGTTAACATCCTATAATTTGCTAATTACCGAATAGAGGTATCGTTGATTAAACTGTTGCATAGCTCCCTGCAATTGGTTCCGCTGAGATTGCCACTGTTCAAAATTTCGAACAGACTCCATGGTAGGCCGCTGCCATGTTGTTGTTCTGGTGTTATGATCCACATAATAAACTCTTCCACGATCATCAACTCTTCTTTCCCAACTACCACAAATAAAAACAATAAAAGAAAATAAAATACTGTGGGCATCGTGGCACATGCCTATAATCCCAGCTATTTGGAAAGTTGAAGCAGGAGAATCTCAAGTTCAAGTCCAGCCTGGGCAACTTAGTGAGATCTTGCCTTAAAATAAAAATTTAAATAATTGATGTAGCTCACTGCATGAGGCCCTGAGTTTAATGCCCAGTACCACACAAACAAGCAAATGAAAAAAAGAAAAAAAAAAGAAATAACAAAAAAGGGAAATTTTTAAATTTTAATACTTCACTCAGAATGATTTAAAATCATAAAATAAATTTTAGTCTTTAAAAAATCTATGAAACTATAAAATATTTTAGCTATAAAATATTTGTCATTCATTTACCATTCCATAATTAACATAATTTCTAAACACTGCCTAAAAGAGAGGTCATTGATTTAACAGTTTCAATCCTACTACCCTTTCTCCCCCACTTTTTTTTCTCTAATAAGTATTTACTGAGAGTGCTTAATGTACACCAAGCAATCTGCCTTGTGATCACTGCCTACATCAGGATATTAAATGAACTGAACCCTTTTTGTTGCTTCTTAACTAGCCCTCTGCTGTCACACTGCTGTCAGTTATCTTCTTGAACTGCAGTTGAAATCATTCCATTCCACTTAGCACAGCTCTTTTGTATGACATACAAATGAACCCATCTACTTTTTCAGCCTCATCCCCCTGAGAATATTCAAGGGCTCCCTGAGAGTCAAAGTCACTACTTCCTGCTGGTTCCAAGAGTGTTGTGTTTCACGCTGTCATTCTTTTATATTCCATCAGAACAGAATGGCCTTCCCTATTCCTCTACCAACCAGAATTCTACTCAGGCTCCATCCAGGGTTCAGTGCATCTCTCACCTTTCCCACACATCTGTCATTAAGTATACTATAACTATTTCAGAATCCTTTCAAAGACTAATTCTAAATTCTTTCCATAAGCTTATTACTAAAACTACAGTAAAGTCAGACCATTTATATACACAGTTCTCCATAGATAGTAATCTAACCTACTTTATATCAAAATATTTAATGACATAAGAGATAATAGACTAGTTCAAAATGATGATCTAGAAAGATGACTATAAGTGAACTCGTATTACATTATAGAGGGTTTTAATAAAAAAAAATTACATATTAAATAATGTTGAAGCTTCTAGGCTATCTTTCAATGTCATGCCCAAACTGCATCCTTACTAACTTTTTAATTCTTCTATAATATTTCATAATACTGCACTGATAGCTATTTGAATTATACATTCCCCGCTAAACATTCTGCCTATGCTTAAAATATGTTTTTTGTCCTTGATAATCAAAATATCTAGTCCTTCCAGATTTCTTTTTGTATTCCATATTTTAAAAAATATTCATTTTAGTATCAAATAAGATATTACCATATCTTATTTGATACTAAAATGAACTTTATATTTCAATAACAAACCAAAAGTTCATTTTAATTATGACAGGATCACCACATTATTGTCATTCATTTAAACCCACTGATAATATAACATGGGTTTTATTTCACTAAAACTACTATCCAAACTTTAAGCAGCTACTGTCTTTATCTTTAGAGCCTAATACACTCTATATTGTATTAAATAAATGTAAACATTACATGTATGAAAAAAGTACAACTGAATATACATTAAGATGCTACATTACCCTGGAGGTAAAGGTTGTGGTCTCTCCCAGGTAGTAGTTCTTGTGTTATGATCTACATAATACGTTCTACCATGAGGATCTTTTCTCTGTTCCCACCTTTAATAAAAATACAAAAACAAAAAGTAAACAACAACATGTTAAGACAATCTGAAAATTTCCTTACAATCAGGAAAATTACAAGCTTTACATATATAAAAACATATTTGTTTTCTCAAGTATTAGTGCTTCTTTAACTTCTTAATTATTCCCTCTTCATAATAGTATAGGAAACTCAAATAGTAATTACAGTTATACTTATCAAAAGGGTGGAATGCCTAAAACTTTTAAGTTACTTATTTTCAAAATTATACATCATCAGACAACAAACAAAAAAATCAAGAGTACAACTTCAGCCTAATATCAAACCCAAGGCACAAATTCATTAATATTCATTTTACTTTTGATTTCAAAAATACATAACTGTGAGACTGTAGCAGAAAAATCTTAAAGGAGTAAGTAGTGATAATACTCCATGAAAATTCCTTCATCTTTGGCATATAGTGTCTCATTGTTCACATCCATCCTGCTCTTGTTTCTAGTAGGGCTTTGAATTTATGGATATCAGTTTTATCTTTTTCCTGTTCTACTTCAATCTCTCATTTGCCCTACTCCGATGTTCCGTGGGATCTGTTTCTTCTTCTCAACTCTTAATGTGAGAGGAGAAAAAAAATAAAAACCTGATATTTCTGAGCTTAACCCTCTTATTTTCAATTTTAAAGTAAAACAAATTGAAAATACTTTCCTTTCTCTTAAACACAGAAACCTCATCAACAGAGAAAAAGTTCTTAAATTATTTTCCAAACATAATCTTTATACACTAAGGGCATACACATTAAGGCTATTCCCTACACTAGGATATACCTACCGACTTACATACTTAAAATTATATATATTACACAAAAAAATTTCAATCCGCACCTCAGTCACAAAATGTTGAGTAACTATGAACAACAAAGATCTCCAAGTTCATAATCACTCAGAATCATACAAGCTATTAAACTTACCTATTAAAAAAACACTGTGATATAAAAATCCTATCTGAATGTTCGTGCTAGTCTGCACAACCAAAATATAGATATTCTGTATAAAACGTTTCACTAAAAATACATAACCTGAATCTTCAGATTAACTTCAATTGTTTCTTTTAATAAAAAGTTCATGGGAGCCCAGTGTGGTGGCACATACCTATAATCCCAGCAACTTGGGAGGCTGAGGCAGGAGGATCGCCTGTTTGAGGAATGAGTAACTTAGCAAGACCTAATAAGCAACTAAGTAAGACCTTGTCTCAAAATTTTAAAAAATTAATAAATAAAAAGGGCTGGGGATGTAGCTCAGTGGTAAAGTACCCCTGAATTCAATACCCCCCCCAAAAAAAACTCAAATTTTTAAATTTCATGGGAAGAAAGAATTTATATAATTTACATGATTTTATAATTTATATAACTCATTTTAAAGGCATTTCAGAAAGACCGGTAACATAGAAAAGTGAGCTATATATCTATATAAAAGCTTAACTACCAAAAATAAATGAAAACCTAAAAACTTGGTTTAATTTCAAGAGCTTCCTAGTAAAAATGGTACTATGCTTTTTTTAGGTAGTAGTTCCCATAATTAGTCCTTAAATTGTTATTGCTGTTCTATAGCAACATTCCCTGGTTTCAACTCTTTTTACATAAATACACTTTATTGGCTGGGCATGGATGGCACATACTTGCAATCCCAGCAACCTGAGGCAGGAGGATCACAAGTTCAAGGCCAACCTTAGGAATTTAGCAAGACCCTGTCTCAAAATTTAAAAAATAAAATAAAAAGGACTGTGGATATAGCTCAGTGGTGAAGTGCCCCGGATTCAATCCCCAGTACCAAAACAATAACAACAACAATAACAACAAAATACCCTTTATTATTTTAAGTCTAGCTTAATTTTATTCAAAATTATATAAACTTTCACATAATTTAATACACACCTTCATAATTATATGATTATATATACTTCACATAGTTTAAACAGTCTATATAGACTATTGAACCCTTTGTGAAAAATAATACCACCTACTCTCTTTTGTTTCATTTTCCCCTCACATTTTCAAATGTTTTAGTCCATCTTTCTGGTGTTTACCTCTTTTTCTTATGAATATGCTTAACTTCTAGTACGACTTAATTTCAAACATAAGTACTAACTTCTCACCATGACAGATGAAGCTTTTCAGGTTGGTTTCCTGAACAAACATACTGACTACTTTCTCCTAACTGCTTCAACCATACACATGCATTGTGCCTTTTCTCACAGTTATTATTACATCTATATAGACTCTTGACAGCTGAACTATGGAACATACCATGACTTCTTTAAAAAAACAAAAACAACTCTTAGCTGGAATACCTGTACCCTCTCATTGCCTTATTTTCTACATAGTTGTTTAACCACAAACACTTGTCTAGTTGAGTAAATGTCCTGTTGGAATGTTCTAGCAAGACCCACTGCCTGGTGCCATCTTCTCTTTACCATCATGCTGACAATCCTTTCACTCCTCTCCTGGCAGACTGGTGTCTTATTTCTTAGGGAACTAAGGCTGACTCACGTTTCTCCAAAATCCAGTGGTGACAGTGAAAGACCTGAGATTCATGAAGAAACACAGGTCTTAGTTTCCTAATAAAGAAGACATGGGAAATGAACTTCTGGAAATCTAGGATGTCTGAAAATGCATTACCTGTATGTATACATCAACAGTATAGCTGGACACAAAATTCTAAGCTAGATATAATTTCCTTCAGCATTGATTCTGGCTCCTTGTCCACTAGCTTCTATATTGATTCTGACAAGTCTGATGCCATTCTGCTATGAAATTTGCCATCTTTATCCTTTTGTTTTTAATTTTTGGAATGTTTAGAAGCAATAATCCTGGCTGCAGAGAGAATTAGATGTTAACTTTTCAAACTAACTTTCAATTACTCTTTCTGTTTATAATGTTATCTTCACCACCACCTACTAAGGATGGGATGTGCTAATTCCTGAACCTTTCAGAAGTACCAATACACAGATTGGCTGTTCCCATTGAGAAGCCAGAATTCAGCTCTCTTGGGTTTGCTCCAGATGACTGCGACCTCATGACAGACTCTGAATAGAAGCATACACATAAGCTATTTCTATATTCCTGATCCTCAGACACCATGAAATAAGGCGTTGTTCTAAAATGCTGAATCTTGGAGTAATCTGTTACACAGCAATAGACAGGGAAGAACTATATATTTAGCCCATAAGTACCACAAAAGTTTGGCCTTTGTTTAGCTCACCAAGTGTACTAACAGAACCTAGCACTGAATCTGCTACTTTCAAGATGTTTAAATGTTAACTAAATATTTGGTGACTGTGTGATCTATCTGTAATGACATGGTTATATGACCAAGTTTTAAAAATTAAAAAAAAAAAACAGAATATAGTAAAATATGAAACAATTTTCTGAAAATAATTCTGCAAGTATATGCAAAATAATAATGTATATATCTATTCTCTATTGTTTTTGCCTTCTTTAATCTTTCATTATAGAACCTGCAACTACCTGACATTATTAAGTAAGTTTTTAACATAAGTCACTGCCTGTTTGCTTGCTGAACCACATGTTCCACAGAACAACGGGTTTTCCTGTCTGTACACACAAGGCCTATCACCTGCCTCAGAGAAGGCTCTAAAATATTCTCTGCCATAATAAATATATAGATACCACTCTGGTTAGTGAGCTTAAGGATTACTAATGTTTTTTTGCATAAATTAAATATTTTAGTCATTAATTTTATAATCAAAAACAATTTAAATATGGGAGGAAAAGTAAACCAAGCCTTCCATGTACTTACTGGGCTATGAAACCATTTTCTAAGTTAACTGCAACCATTTCTAATTAACACTGAACAAATATTCAATAAGCACTTACATTCCAAGTCACTTTATTTTTTCCAAAAGAAGAGATCACTTTCAGATTTCAGTGTTTGTGTTCTAAATAGGATTCATCGCTGGCTGGGAATGTAGCTCAGTGGTAGAGCACTGGCCTAACAAGAATAAAGCTCTGGATTCTAGTCCCAGTACCAAAAAAGAAAAAGTCAAAGCAAGATGATTTCTCTATATGCTTTTAGACAGGCAAGTGTTCTGAACTCCTGTGTGCTCTTCCAGGTGGGCTCCTGAGGTCTGAAGCCTCAAATAATCAAAGAGGATGCTAATTTTCTGGCACCATCCATTGTTGATATGGGTTTGTCTCATTAGAAGTTCAACTACCTCTTGAGAGTCCAAGTTTCATTCCTTCTCTGAAATCACTAGACCAAATGCTGCATCTCTGGACTTTCATCTTAGAAGGATTTACTTTGGGGAGCTTATCTGAAACATCTTTGGAAGAATCAAGGGCAAAGTGTCTGTACATATCTCTCTCTCAATGCTGGAGATCAACTCAGGGCATCCAGTATGCTAAGTACCCTCTCTAACCACGGAGCAACACCCCAGATCCTAGCTTTAATCTATTTTCTTGATGAAGTCTTGCCTAAGAAAATGATGAGCCACACTGGCTTTTGGTGTTTGGTAAATGTTTTGGGGGAGAACATACAGATATTTATCTCTGGCATTGTGCTTATGATAATTAATATTTTGGAAATGTTTAACTTATTCAGAGTCTTGCAAAATTGTAGAGGCTGGCCTTGAATTTGTGACTGCCCTGCCTCAGCCTCCAGAGTAGCTGGGATTACAGGTGTGCACCACAGTACCTGGTTTTATGTAGTACTCACATGAAAAAGAGGAAAAACTCCTGCCCTGCCCCCTACACTTTGCCTGAGGATTACTGGGTATGCTGTGTACCCAGTTGCCTTCTGCCAACATTTTAAGGTTGGGTGTGGTGGCACATACCTGTAATCCCAGCAACTAGGGAGGCTGAGGCAAGACAATTCCAAGTTTGAGGACACCCTGGGCAACTTAGTGAAAGCCTGACTCAAAAGTGAAAAATAAGAAGGTCTGGCAATATAGCCCAATGGGATAGTGTCCCTAGGTTCAATCCCCAGTAATGTATGTGTGTTGGGGAGTGGGGATAGTGGAATCTCAGGACGAGAATTCCTTGCCCACAGGGAAGAAGCCTGGCCAATTTCACTAACTATCCAGAGAATCCTACATCCCATCTCCCCCCATCCCCTTTGGTAAAAAACTTAGTGACTGGTAAAGAACTGGTTTTACAAATGGGGCAGAGACTAGTGCCTTCACATAAACCACAAATCAAGTTATTCTCTTTCCTACATTGCCAATTTCTGCCTCCACTCCTCATCAGCAGATGGATCTTTAAGTCTCTTCCATTTTATAAAATAGAACAAAAACTACCTCCAGGTTCTGTGATTTTTTTGACCACCTGTATCAAGCTCTCCTCTTTCACTGTATCACCCTTCAAGAATTTTCTATCCCACTTCCTCCTCTTTTGTTCATTCCCAAATGACAGTAATCTGAATACAGCTCTCATTATTCCCTGAGACAACTTTGCTAACAAGATTAACAATAAATAACCTCTTTGTAATTATATTCATTGGGTGTTCTTCAGTTCTTCAAGTTTTCAGTAGTCCCCCATCTCCTGCCATGCCCTGACAGAACCCAGGGCCTGTGCATGCTCTTCCATCCACTGAACTACCCTATGCCCTTCTCCCCTTTCAGCAGGTTTTGACCTCAATAACCATTTCTTTCACTGGCATTTACAAGCCTGATCTTTTGCCTAATTACTCCGTCTAAATCATTTAATGGAGCACTAATTCACTTATTTAAAAATTAAAAAATAAGTCCAGTGGAAAGAAAATAGTCAATAACACATAAATATGTATCATGTAGTAATTTTAAGTGTTAAAAAAAATACAGATTACATACAGCATGCAGATTAAAAGCCCCCTACTCAAAAGAGTTTGAACTAATTCTATTTATAATAAGTTTTAGACCAGGGAAAACGAACTTACGGTAGGGAAAAAATATGGAATACTGATTGCCTCAAAAGGGAGCTTGAGACAATTTTTTGAAGTGATGGTAATATTCTATGTCTTAATAAGGATTTATCAGAGTTTACATTTATTAAAATTCATCAAAACAGTACATGTGACACTTGTACTTGTCCTTCTATGTAAACTTCACCTAAAATTGTTAAGCAAATACTGAATTCTAGAGTTAATGATACGCATGCTGAAGTACTGAGGAGTAAAATATACTGATATGTACAACTTAATAGAAACGCATTTTAAAATTAGATATGCTGGGCATGGTGGTACACACCTTAGACCCAGCTACTTGGGAGGCTCAGGCAGGATAACTTCAAGTTCTTGGGCTAGCCTGGGCAACTTAATGAGACCCTGTCTCAAAATAAAAATAGAAAGGTCTAGGCATATAGCTCAGTGGTAGAGTGCTTGCCTAGCATGCATGAGGCCCTAGGAGGGAGGGAGGGAAGGAAAGAAGGAAGGAAGGAGGGAGAGAGGGAGGGAGGGAGGGATTGATTAGGTGGATAAAGAGATATGAGATAAAACAAGTCCTTAGGCAAGGTCATGCCTGGCAGAAACACTTAAATGCCACCACCAGGCTAGAATATTCGTCTTCAGGATACCTCCCTGGTATATGTTATGTGGTAAAAGAGTAACTGGATGCCCTATAAACACACAACACTGCCTCTTCATTCTCTTGCCCCAAGTCCAATGCTCTATTCATTATTTCAATCAAATACACCATCACTCAGCTGCCTAAATACTATTCAGGGACAGAGAAAGACCCAGAATCTATTTTTAATCTCTCTGAAGGAGTAATCCAATACTAATACACTTGTCTGCTTTTCCAGACCTGTGCTTTTAGTAATATTTTGAAACATGGAATTTTTCATTTTACCTATGTATCTCTATATAAAAGGAAGCAAAATTAAGACTGGGGAGCAAAGAATTATTTAACAAGAGAACTTGAAGCACCAGTTCTCAAACTGGCTATAACATTCTCACAAAGCCTTAAATGCTCGTAGCTAATTAAATAACCTGGTAAATCACCAGAGAGGAAACACAAGAACTAAGATTTTTAAGCAAAAAAGGGAGGATGATATAAAGTTGAAATTTGCTGTCTCAGGGTTACACAACCAAGTACTACCTATGCCAGAAGAATCCATCTGCTCCCACTCTTTCTACTCTTGTACTTCCCCAAGGCTCATTACTAAGACCCATGTTAATACCACCTTAAAAGACTAGCGTCTATCTCACTTCAAGTTCCCTTAAAGTCTCTCGTGGATTAATGGTTTTTAAAATTTTTTTGATCATGGCTTACAGAGTAAGAAATATATTTTACATAATTATCTCTATGTATACTAGGTTGCTATTTATCCAGATTTAATATACACAAGCACATGAGAAAAGCAAACTTTCTTATTCTAGACTATATTGATTTATTTCATTATAATATCCTATTAATGGGCTGCAAACCACAACCTGAAGTTCATTTAAATTACTGCAAATTTCCCTAAGAAAAAGACTATAAAGTAGTAGCTACAGGTGTACTGAAGCATTTATTTGGCTCCCACAGATTAGGTTTATGTACTTGCCGTTTTTAACTGGAATGCTTTCTTGCTTCATTTATAAAACAGGTTGGCTGCTATTCTAACTTGCCTTCTTAACTCCCAATCTGTTCATAATCACTAAAAGAATGATCTTAGTAAAATGAAAATATGACCATGCTACTCCCTGTCTAAAATTATTTAATATTTATTCATGGTTTTTCAGAAAAGCTATCAAACCCATAAGACATACAAAATTCTTCACAGGACTGTTTACTCTTCAACATTATATTCCTTCTTTCCACAAATGCTTAACATAATCTACAACAAAACACTAATTCCTGGGTTCGCTATATACATTTCATAGATGCTAGTATGCAAATGGCTCTTCTGAGAATGGAACTTTTTACACTTGTGCCAATTACTTGATTGCTTAACTCCTACTCTTCTTTCAGAAATCCACTTAGGGGTCATCTCTTCCAGAAAGTATTCACTGGCCTCAAGAGCATCAGTTACTCTTCCTATCCCAACTCTGCTATGCTCCTTCCCAGAGCATACTAAACGTACCTCTAGCATAGCTTTAAAATAAACTGTACAGTCACTGATTTTTGACAGTAAGAACTTCTTCTTCTATATTTACATCACAATACACACAAGAAATTAGGATAAAAAGCTACCCAAGATACAAACATAAGAAAAGAGATTTTTGAGGGAAAAAAATGGAAGATAATGTATAGTCAGAAGTGCTTACAGGAAACACAAGAAGGAATCTCCAGAAAGCAGCTGAAAATCAGCTCAGAGAAAGGTCTGGTTAGACATTATGAATAAAGTGCTACGAGAGTACTAGATCTACCAGGGACATGCATGTGCATGCACGCACATATACAATAACAACAAAGGCTTAAACCGCATACAGTGGGCAAAAATCACACGTGCCAGTAAAGAGCACTAAGAAAAAATGGTTCCAAAGTAGGAAAGGAGTCTGAGCATAATTACATAAGAAAATGAGGTCAATAAAGTACTTAGAGACCTCTAGAAGGGTAGTTTCAACAGCTATGAGTTGACATTCTGTCCACTATAAGATGTTTTGAAAACACTGTCTATACTTTTGTAACAGCACAAACTACATTATATGTACACATTTTCAAATCTGAACCTGTAAGTAACCTTTTTGAATATAAAAATAATGAATGATTAATATTAATGTCATCAGAGCCAAGACTGAAAAAATTTAAAAAACACCTAAGTAGCCAGGCACTGTGGCACATGCCTGTAATCCTAGTGACTTGGGAGGCTTTAGGCAGAAAGACTACAAGTTCAAGGCCAGTCTCAACAAGTTAACAAGGCTCTAAGAAACTTAGCAAGACCATGGTCTCAAAATAAAAATTAAAAAGGGATGGGAGGTATAGCTCAGTGGTAGAGTACCTTTGGAATCAATCATCAGTACCAAATAAGAAGAAGAAAAAAAAAAAAACCTACTGATATGGAAGAGATCACCAAATGGAATATACATACAGAATACTCTTAAAGAAAATTATGGGGAACTGAATAATTACAGAGGGAAACTTAAAGGAGATTATGAATTACTAAGCTTCAAGGAAAATGAGTTTGTAACAGAGCCAGTTGTTGGGATTACATAACTGTAACTGTCACCAGCACTCAATATTAAGGGAAAAAAGAAAAAAAAAAAAAAGGACTAGTTGTTCTCAAGTGTGACATTTGGAGAGTAGAACACTGAGGTTATTACAGAGTTATGGTCACTTTCATGAAAAAGTCAAAATCAAATCAAATTAACATCAGTTTTCTATTTTTCCCTTCATATCATGTATACTTCAACTAGATGAGCAATTGTTCTTAGTTCCAGAAAGTACTTGTGCTTGGCATAAATAAATAGTAAAAATCAGATTCCAACTTAAGATTTCAAATTACTGAACAACAGAAACATTTAATATACATATTCCGTAGTCACATATCACCAAAAAGTTATTACTTAAATGGAAGTCAAACTTTAAAAAAAAAATTTTTTTAACATACCCTGATGGCAAAGATTCTGTGTTGGCATTTCCAGACTGCTGCCGTACAGATTCCACACACCCATCTGGCTGCCTTAATTTGTCAAAAGCAGAACTATTTCCAGAATTAGAGGAGTCAGGGTCTAAAATGCTCCTAGCTTCAGATCCCAATTCTGTACTGACAGAAGGAACACATTCACTGTGTTCTGAGGAAACCATACTCTCTTGTATCTCTTGATCAGGAGGATCTTCAATGGTACTGCTAGTGTAATTTGAAGTCAAGGTGGTTTCTTCAGATGCTAATTGAGTACTCATGGCAGAAGCATTATCAGTTGGTGCAGGTGAGGATGATTCTCGATTAACTGAGAAGGGAAAATTAATAAGATGATCTAGGAAGTAATGACAAAGCACCTAATTACCTAATCAATCAATTACACTGCATAAGAACATAATTCAGACTGAGCAATAAGCAATACAGCAGGTACTGATGAAAATAAAGAGGATTATATTTTCCAAAGCTCTCATTTTAGAAAAAATAATAAATAATCAAATTTTTACTATATATAATCAACTTCAGGAAAGAGAAACCAACATTAGGATAATAAATATTTTTCCTCCAAATTATCTATTCTAAAAGAAAGTCTAAAAGGGCTATATAAAAACTTCAAAATGATCCCTTTCAACCTCTCTTCTTGTATACAAATGGTAGCTAATATAAAAACCACTTTTTGCCTTTAGGAAATATATAATGGTATTAATTCTTAAAATAGTACAATAGGGAACTGTAAAAAGATCCATGAACCCACTTGCTTTCTGAAGAAATAACCCTGTACTGAGACTGGTATACTGGTGAGTAATGGTGATGTAATTTCCATAAGTTTCATTTTAAGTTTAATGATCCATTTTCAACTATGTGTCATATAAAGGTGAGTCAATTAAAATTGTAAGGAAAATAGATTACTGAACAAAACCTGTCCACCTCAAAGTTCTAATGGAATTGATATAGGGAGATGAAATTAGGCAAGTGAAATAAATCTTCAGGTAGTTTTTAAAAGAAAAAATAAGACTTAATAGTGAAAAAAAAGAAGAGTACATTACTCAAGGAATCAAATGTGAAACAACAGAATAAATCAAGTGCTGTACCAAATATGGAGGAGTGAAGACAACAGTGAAATATGAGAGAGAAAATATCTACAGCGCTACTCCATACCAAACACTGTTAAGATATAATGGAAAAACACAAAAGAAACTATGCAGAGAAAGACTTAATTCCCAGGTCTGCTTTATGATGTTCACTTAAAAACAATATTTCCTTCGATTTTCCACAAAATTTAAAAAAAAGGATTATCAGTAATCTTTCTGAAGCAAAATAACATTAAATGGAAACAGGAATATTTAAGGAAAGATGTAATTCTGTCCAAGAAGAAACCTTGGTGCACACTTCAACATAGCACATGAAGCATAAATTGTTAGAAACAGAGGAAGAAAATTAAATGGAAACTTTACCAGTCACTCAAGGCAAAACTTCTCTCCCATATGTAATTCAACAAGTGCTCTCAGTTCTTCTTCGTCTTTACCAATACACTTTACCAATACAGAGATCACCATTTCTTGCTTACACTATTATAAAAGCCTCCTAATTATTTGCCTACCTCTTGTCTTTTCCAACTACAGTCCATTCTTCCAACAGAAGTAATCTTTTTAAAACATTTAACAGATCTCCTTGTTCACCTGAACAAACATGCCATCAGATTCCAACTGTAGTCAGGCATGGTGGCCCAAGCCTGTAATCCCAACAACTAGGGAGGCTGATGTAGGGTGATCTCAAGTTCAAGGATAGACTCAGCAAATATGCAAGGCCCTAAGCAACTTAGTAAGTCCCTTTCTCAAAACAAAAAATAAATAAGGGCTAAGGATGTGGCTCAGTGGTTAAGTGCCCCTGGTTCAATTTCCAGTACCAAAAAAAGGTTCCCATTGCAAGCAGAATAAATATGAAAATACTGCAAAGTTTTTACCAAAAGCTAGTCCACAGCTATGTCTGACTTCTTATGAATACTTTATAACAGGTTTCTTCTCATGGTTCAAAGTCCATGCTCACTGCACCTTTAGCAAGGCAGTCCGTGAACACCTTAATTAATGATGCACATGCCCACTCACTCCAGACTGCATATGATTCTTTTTTCTCATGTTTTGAAATTGTTTTTATTATTTCTCATTAAGTTTGGAGTGAAAAGGCTTTGTCATACTTGTTCATTTTGTATTCCCAATAACTAAAAAAATGCCTGACATATGTAAGCAATAAATATTTGCTGAATTAATAAATTAAAGACAAATCACAAAGGCAAAACTGAACATACCTGTCTCAAAACTATGCAAATAACAAACAGTGCATTAGAAGAAACATTAATAATATGAAAGATCTAATAACCTAAATCAATATACTTGATCTAAATTTGAGTTAAAAAAGCAATCACAAATATTTGTATAATATGTATAACTATATATAGTTTACTTCAATTTGCTTAGAGGATTAAAAAATAATTATTAAGTTAAAAGAATATGAAATGAAATCACAAACTTTAGAGGAATTAATGACAAACATCTATGTCAAATGCTATTGGACATAGTCAAAGAAGTACCCAAGAATATCAGAAAGAATGGTAATAAATAACCTTACAATTCAATTACAGAGCCAGGGGAGAAACAAACTGGTCAAAAGAAATGAATCAAAAACTGACAAAACAGACCAGAACTTCCTAAACCACCTGATAGGAATCAATTGGGATCTTACTGAAAAAATTGTATCTCAGTTCCCACCCTAGACTTAAAAAAAAAAAAAAAAAAATCCAGGGGAAAGCTGTAGGGAAGGTCCTGGGAGTCTATATTTTAAACAAATGCATCAGATGACTTTCCGAATCAGCAAAGTTGGAAAAACCATGAAATATAGCTTGCCAAGTTTTTTTAAAAAAAGAAAAATTTAAGAAGACCAATCAAGGTAGAAATGGAAAAGGTGACAAAAGAACTAACACCATTTACCTTAATGGCACTAGGCTCAGAGAAGTTTTTGAGAAAATTCTATAAGCCTTTAATGAATAGATGATTTCCATGTTATTTAAAATGTTAAAAGAGGAGAGAAAAAGAAGAAAAGGGGAGCTTTCCAACATTCCATAAAGGTAATATAATTCTTTCAAAACTGAAACTGAACAGCAGCAGCCAAGAAGACTACAGAGCAACTTCATATATAAATAAATTCGACGATGTCCAATATTAGGGAATTATGTTAAAAAATCTACTGTGTTAACAGACTGTAAGATAAAGGCCAAGCGATTATTTTTCATACAAACCCAAAAATATTAAGTAAAATATTGAGGATATACTTGAGAAATCAAGGAAAAATCATGTATAACAATCTAGATTAACTATCATAAACCAATAGTAAGCATATATGTATCAAAGGTAAAACATTAGAAGAACTTCTATTAAAATTTTTAAAAAACTAAAATCAAGACAAAATAATAAGATCACAATCACGACTCAACTCATTATTGTTGATTATATTTGACAACACATTAGGATTAGAAAAAGTTCTGATACTGGAAAGAAAATAGTAAAATCACATTTGTAAAGATTATTTGTAGAACACACAAGAAAACCAACTTTAAAAAATATAGAACCAATTAATTGAAACTAAATCATTTCAGCAAAAATGATCAGATAAAACATCAAGATTATAGTCAAGATCTATATAAAGAAAACTAAAAAGCAGTACTAAGAGGTTTTTTGTTTTTTTTTTTAAACTGGGCATGATGTTGTACACTTGTAATCCCAGAGACTTGTGAGGCTAAGGTATGAGGATTACAAGTTCAAGGCCATTGTCAGTGCCTTAGCAAGGCCCTGCCTCAAAATAAAAAATAAAAGGACTGGGGATATTGCTCAGTAGAAAAGTGTTCCTAAGTTCAAAACCCAGAGGAATGGCAGGGAGGTATTTTCTAAAATAGAATGAATAAAAATTTTCAAAAGCTCTAGATGGACAAGAAGATTCAATATTGTTAGATAATAAAAATAATAATTCTCCTTAAAATATAAATGCTGGTACGGATACAGAACAACAGGAATTCTCATTCCTTTCTGGTGGGAATGCAAAATAATACAGCCACCTTGGAAGACACTTTGGCAGTTTTTTATAAAAACTAACCATAATCTTATCATATAATCCCCCACTATCACACCTCACCCCAATTGAGATGAAAGCCTGTGCCCAAATGTGTATAGTAATTTTAATTCATAACTGTCCAAAACTTATCGCAACCAAATTCCTTCAACAGGTGAATGGATAAACAAATTAGGGTACACCCATATAGTTGACTATTATTCAGTGATAAAAAGAAATAGCAACCCTCAAAACACACCAAGAAACTTTAAATGCACATGGCTAAGTGAAAGGAGTCAATCTGTAAAGGCCACAAATGGTATGATTCCAACTATATGACATTCTGGAAATGGCAGTGCTTTGGAGATAGTAGAAAGATCAGTGGTTTCTAAGGTTTGGGGGAAAGATACACTGATGATGAACAAGAATTTTGGAGTAATGAAAACTACTATGCATGATACTGTAATGGTGCATATATGATAATATGCATTTGTACACACAGAGTGAAACTTAATATAAACTAAGAACTTCAGTTAGTGACAATTTATTAATAATTCATTAATAATGATCCATTAGTTGTAACAAGTATACCACAGTAATATATAATGCTAATAACAGGGATTATTCTGAATTAGATTCAGGGGAATATGGGACTTCTGTATTCTCTGCTCATTTTTTCTCTAAATCTAAAACTATACTGAAATATAAAGTATATAAATTTTAAAAAGCTAGCTAGAGACCATTTATTTCAATAACTCAACAAACACTTGTTAGCCGATACTACCAACTGGTTAAAGATAACACAATAATACCTTCGAATGGAGGGATTACTATTCATATTCTCAACTGTTGTATGTGTTTTGGGGGGGGGGGGTTCCCTGCACTGCCCCCAGGAGACACTTGGTAATGCCTGGAGATATATTTGTCACAACTAGAGGGGAGGGTGATATTACTTGCACCTACTGATCAGTTTAAATACTCCTAAACACCCTACAATGTACAGGACAACCCCCAGTGACAAAGCACTGGCTAACTTGAAATGTTAATAGTGCTAAGGTTGACAAACTCTGACAAATATTCACCCAGATACCCGGCAGTGTCCAACCTTGTGATGTTTATACAAAATAAACATCTGTTGACAGGTGAATATAACAATGAATGAATAGATAAACTCACAAAGGAAAGGCAAAGAGAAATGAACAGAAAAAGGCCAGGATCATAGGCTCCCTGCTTGTAAGGAAATATGATGAATTATATGCAAGCAAATAATTAAAATATTATGTGATAGGTGTGATAGTGCATTTACAAAATATCTCACACCTTCTTCATGAGATATAAGAACACATCTACCAATTTTTCTTTTAAGAAAAGGTGTCTTTCTATGTTGCCCAAGCTGGCTCCAAACTCCTGGGCTCAAGCCTCAGTATTCCAAGTAACTGGGACTACAGGTGTACCACCACACCCAAACTGACATGATTTCTTAATGAACATATCCCAAATCTCACTTTCAGTCATTATGATTTCTGAAGTCACAAGACACACCTCCTTAATTTCATGTTTAATCTTTGAGAAGTTTTAGATGTATGATATATCCATCTCATGGATAAGCAGCTATCCTCATTCTAACATTTCTTTTAGGTAAAAAAAGACAAAGGTAGAAACATTGGAGTGTCTGAATACCATAAACACTGGAGTGTCTGAATGTGTTGGCTCCCAAAGGCTAATATGTTTAGAAGCTTGGTACTCAGTGTAGCTAAGAGGATGCAGAACCCTCTAGAGGTGGCATCTAGAGAGAGGAGATTGGGTCACTGGGGATGCTACTTTGGAGGGGTTAAAGGTGGGTCTTGTGAGACCCCAGTTGAGTTCCTGAGAAAGTGAGTCAGTATAAAAGAGCAAGCCTGACCTCTTAGTTTAGCCTGGTGATCTCTGGCTTCCTATTTAGCCTAGTGATCTCTCCCCTTTGTATGCACTTCTACCACAATGTCAGCCATTCTGGCCTCTAGTCAGGGACTAGAGGCCAAATAAACAGGGCTACTTGCACTGGAGATATAACTCAGCAGCAGAGCACTTGCCTAGCCCTGGGTTCAATCCCCAGTGTTGCCTCCTCCTTCCCCCAACACACACAAAAAACAAATGGGGCTACTCAATCTTGAACTTTCAGCCTCCAAAACTGTGAACCAAATAAACCTTTTTTCTTTTTAAGTTATCCAGACTGAGTTATTTTATCAAAGCCACAGAATATAGACTATTATAGCATTTTTACTCCCATTTATAACTATGACATGAAAAACAGATATTTGCACATACATTGCAAGTTTCTTTAAAAGTTTATTCACACTTGAGAGAGAGGCTATGGTTATAAAGTGAATGGAACACAAGGGAGTCTCATGGTAATCGTGTGGGACTGGGGATGTAGCTCTGTGGTAAAATGCTTGCCTAGTATCCTGGAGGCCCAGGTTTCAACTCTCAGTTAACACCAAAAAAAAGGGGGGAAAAAGGTTAAAATGGAAGTTAAATTGTGCAGAACTACAGACAAACACACACATACACACAGGTAGTACAGTTAGAACTAGAAAATGTGAACAAGCTCTGTGGATGGTTATGTATGTCAAATTCTTGAATTTGATTTTGTAATGTAGTTTCAAGGAGTTTGAAAAGGTTATAACTCTCAATGTATTTAAAAAATTCTTCAGGATGAAAAACAAGCCAAAAAAAAAGTCTAGTAAATTTATAAAATAGGTTCTGTCTGAAACTTACCATACTGAGTTCTGATCTATTAATAAAATACTAATATGTAGAAAAATTCAATTCACACTAAAAGTTAGGAGTATGAGAACAAACTATAAAATATATACCTACCATTGTTCAAGGACTACAGTAGATGGTTTTTCCTTACTATCTCATTCAATCTTCAATACAGTCCTAGAAGGTAGTTGAATAAGAGTAATAACCTCTTTATAAACGAAGGAGCTAAATTTTGAAGATTTCTCCAACATCACAGTTAACATGTTAGGTGACTGAGCTCAGTCCTGGCTGAGGCCAAATTTAATCTCTTTTTACTACATCACAACTGCTTCCCATTGCAGCCTAACATAACTACTAGTACACACAACTTGTCAAATGGATCCTCTTACTCAAGACTTGAAAGGAAAGGAAGGGGAAAACCCTCATTTACAATGCTGTGAAAAAATACTGTATGTCTTAAACTTCTTAGTTTATGTATGTCTTAAACTCCTGGCCCACCATACCTTATCTGAAAACCTTGTAGTCAGGTGTGTTCCAGAATTCATTACTTTAGATGTTATATAGCACATATATTACATATTACACTAATATCAGAGCAGGTTGGAGGCTCTGATTTTAAACACATACATTGTTATTAAACATTCCTTAATAAAATGTAGAGATACACATAATAAGCATGACAGGTAAAAACTACAAATAACCTCTTGTAAGTTCTAGTCATTTTGCCATCAAATGAGTTTCCCCCCTCCCTCAAAAAAGAACAACTTTAGTGATTTCAGTATTTTGGAATTAACAGTTGTATTAGTCTATCTTCACTAATAAGAAATACCCAAGGCTGAGTAACTTTATAAAGGAAAGAGGTATGGTTAGCTCACAGTTTGGGAGGCTCAAGGGCATGGCATCAGCCTCGGTTCAGCTTGGTTAAAGACCTCACGGCAAATGGGAGAGCATGTATGAGAAGGAATCATATTTCCAGGCAGGAAGTCAGAAAGTAACTAGCTGGTCAGGCTCCCACTTATGACCAATTCACTCTCGGAACTATCTTAAGAGTCCCACAAGACTACCTTGATTCTTTCTGAGGGCACACTTCCAATGAGCTAAGCCCCGCCCACTAGGTCCCACCTCTTAAAGGTCCAACTAACTTTCACATTACCACACTGAGGGTCAAGCTTCCAACACATGAACCTTTGAGGGGCAAATAACATATAAACTATAGCACCAGATAGGAAATTAAAGATATGTTATAATAGAATACGCACACACGCCCACCCTTACCCCCACAACTCCAACAACAAAAACTGACCTTAAAATCCTTACTTTAAAAAATAAATACCATTTTGTACCAACATCTTTAAAAAGGCAGGGATAACCCATTCCTTGAAAAGATACCTGAATTCATCCTCCTTGTAAGGGATGAGAATCATACAAAAGGCATCAGTTATGTGGTTGCTATCAAAGTAGGTTCTGGAAGCCTTTGTAGACCAGCCTACGGAATGGTGGCAGTTTGATTGTTTTGTCACATAACACCAACAATAATCAGAGGAGATGAAGAGGTTGGAGGAATACTATTTGAAGCCTATCATAGTATAAAAGATGAATACTACCCCTTTGAGACACTATAAAAACCATATACATCAAAGTGAACAAGAAAGCAGTGTACAGTTGAGGGCCACAAAGCTATATGTCAATCATAGCTCTTCTACTTTCTAGCTGTAATATCTCTGTGCTTTAGTTTCTTCATCAGAGAAGAAAAGGAAAATATTGGTATCTATTTCAAAGAGTTATTGTGAGCGTTAATTCATTTCATGGATATGCAATGTATAAAACATGCACAGCACAAATGTTAGCTATCATTCTTACTTTTATTCAGATGCCCTAGATTACCTTATAATTATTAGGAATGCCACATGAATTAGTTATGACAGAGCTTTCATTTCTTGTTCCTCACATGTATATTTTATTTTTACCTTGAAATCCCATGCAAGGATAAGAGAGGAATGTGAAAAGTGAATTTATTCCCCATTGAAAGAGGCCATAGAAGTATTTGACATGCTAGGGAGTTTAAATAAGAGATTCCTACAATGAGAAGAGCCTTGGTTAATTCCTTTCCCCTTTTACATCAACACCTGACTATGCCCAAGTGCTAAAACATGAAACTAACTAATTGTGGTGGATACTTTCACCAATTTAATCAAATAGCTAACCATTTTAGTATTAAGGGCTATACCCTCAAATCCATTCTTTTAAATGAAGATGACAAGAAAGATATAGAAAGGTGATATAATCCTTTCTGAACTGAGCATTCAACATTTCCATCTTATTCCTTTTGTTAATTCAGAGTGGACTTAATAATTGGCCCTGCTATCTAATTACTGCCAAAAAGAATGGAACTGGCTCAACCATTCTGAATCCAAAGATAGCCCCACATAATAAATCAATTCATTTTTTTAAGTATGGGTAACTATTTGATAACTTAAAAAGCTTTCCTGACTAAAATCATTGGCTTCATGCCTTATTGTGAAGAACTCTGATACTCTGATAAATCTTTTTACTATGTGAAATTAAAAAAAAAAAAGTGAGTGGTCTTTGTATAGCTATTTACTCAGATTATATTTTTTAAATTGCAAAATTTAATTTCAAGATTAAGCAAATACCCATAAGCAAGCCAAGTATTTAGAATGTGCTGTTATGGCTACTCAAAGGATGACTTTTAATTGACTTGTACTATGAAGATATATCATTATTCTACACTGAAGATAGAGAATATTGAGCAGAGTTCTATGAAATTCACCACTATATTTGCTTTCTTAGAATAAGGGACCATGTTATGTGTTTCATATTATGTTGCAGATTCAGACAGATCAAAAAAAAAAGATTAGAAAGAAAACATTCTTTAAGTATTCCTTCTATAATAGAGTGATTCTTACTAAGAAATATAAAACTTTCTGATAGCTCTATCACCCCACAGTACTTTTTTTTTTCGCCATGTTAAGTACTAAGGCTAAAAAAAAGCACTTGCACATTAAAAGACAATTTAAAAAATCATTCATTATTAAATCAATGCTTCACTAAAGTTCTTTCAGAAATATATTTTATATCATGAATTAAATAGTATTTTGTGACATACAGCCCAAGAATCTAGCTATCATAAAACCACTCACTTAGAAAAATGTGTTGTTATCTCTAATACAATTTTGGAATATCGTCCTAAATAATCTAGAAAAATTTAAATTCAGAAAAAATTCAGGAATTACAATTTAAGAATTACTATCAGAATAGAAGATTAAGAAACACTGCACAATAAGCGAAACATAGGCAAAGACAAATAAACTTAATTTAGTTTACATTGAAACAATATGTCATAAATAGCAACACTTACCAGTGTCATTAGTAGGCTCAGATGTGAGTGCTTTGGGAGCTGGTGTATTTTTGGGTCTGGCAGCAACCTGAGATGGAGATGAAGGTGTGTTGTCTCCATTAACTACATACGAACAGCATGAGTTCTGGACAACAGTATTGGTAGGTATGTGATTATCTACTCCATTACTACTCTCAACAGCCAACCTTTAAAAAGAAAAAGTCTTACTTCAATAAGTATAATTAAACAACTTTTCATTAGAATGTTCATGAAAAACATTTGCTGAGTTCTTAACATTCAAGTACAGTGATAGGTATTAAGTGTAATGAACAAAGATATGGCCTACTATTATTATTATTGAAGTTTCAGTATTACAATACTAGCAAGCAAAAATATACTGGTATAAAAATATACTAAGTTCAAATGAATCAGGCCCTTAAAATAATGATCCAGTTGTACATTTTAATATTTCAGTATAAGAATATTAACCTATTTTTAATTCTCTGTAGTTTCAAAAAAACTCATAAAATTTATAAAAACCAATTTTAAGCTTATAATTTTATTGAATAATAAAAAAGCTGAAATGTCTGTTAATATTCATTACAAAGTATTTTGTAGTAAGCAATAAAATTCTGAGTGTATGATGATCACAGAAAGTTAACTATTATATGCCAGAATTATAAAAATTTATGATATATAAATTAATTGCAAATAAACAAATAAATAAAAACTAGAACTACAAAATCAAATATTTTAAATCCTGTTGCCAATAAGGAGGAGTTGGAAATATTTTGGAAGTGGCCAGGAAAGCTTTTCCAAATACATAGGACACCCTACATCCACCAAGCAGCCTAAGTATTGTTTTAAAAATACAAATCAGATCTTGTGCCTTCCCTGCTTAAATCTAGGGATTAAAAATGTGGAATAAAATCTAGGCTTCTTACCTTAGTCAAAAAAGGTTTTGAAAATCAGCCACATTTCCCACCCCATCTATGTCCCTGACTTATTTTTCTCCAAGTTCCTTCCTCACCTTGCAAAAAATATACTATAACAATTTTATTAAGTATGAAAAGTATTCAAATGTGTATTTCAAATTATTATATACCAGACTAGAATTATAATAAGATTTTTGGAAAAGGTTAATTATACTCTAGAATTAAAAGAATCTGTAGAAAATAAGTTAACTGCAAATAAACTCGAAGCCTTTGAACTTGTTCTTCCCCTTAGAGTTCTGTATGGAAAGTTTTCTTAGCTTTTTAATTTAATTTTAGCACAAATGGGACTTTCTTGGAGACGATTCCCTGATCTCTCTCTAAAACAGGTTCTTCTCCATTCCTGTAACCCCCATCCTACCTCAATTATTTCACAGTTCTTATAGCTATATTCGGTTAGCTTATTTATTTATTCTGTAGTCTAATAACAGCATCTATCCCACCATAATGTAAATTTCTTGGGAACTGATCTGGTACTCTCAGTGCTTGGACTAGTGTCTGGTACTGAACAAGCACTCAATAAGCATCTCTTAAATCCTCCTCTCCCTTGTCACCTATGAGATATATTTAGGAAGTTTTAATAGGTACTGAGAAAAGCTTCCAAATGATTCTCTGATTTGTGTACCCCTCCATAGCTACCCAGTGAGAATCAGTGAGTGATTCAGGAATGAGATGAGAGAACCCATCTGAAATCCTCATAGTACTGTAGAAACTATCCTTAATTCAAATGTGTTACTATGAAGAAACAATATTAAGTTTTAGATTGATAGTCATTCAAGTTCCATCATCTAAAATTATACTCTAAGAATATAAAAAGACATATTTTACACGCTAATAATTTTAATCAACCTAATTGTTGTCCACTTTCAGTCATTAATTTTCTCACTGTAAACTATAATGTGGATACCAAATATATTTAAGGCAAATATACATTCTAGAAGGTGTACTTACCTGTTCAAAGTGTTTTTATGAGAATCATTTAATGGCAATTTAGGAACAGTGCTATTAGTAACTTTGTAGAGTAATAAAGATCATACTTTTGTATTCGGCGGACACAACATCTTTGTTTGTATGTGGTGCTGAGGATCGAACCTGGGCCGCACGCATGACAAGCGAGCGCGCTACCGCTTGAGCCACATCTCCAGCCCCAAAGATCATACTTTTGCAAATACCAACAAACCTTTTCAAATGTACCTAATCAATTTTATAGTAATACATTTCTATATTTTCAGGTTTTAATTCCACAATATAGATCTATTATTCACTTGCATTGCACTTTAGATACTTCAACCAAAGAATCTCAACTGTCATGAAATGTGAATGCCAGGAAGCTTTTGAAATGGCACGATGATTTTTGTAGGAAGACCATAATCTACAGGAGAATGCCAATTCCAATAAGACATATGACTTTTCCACAATATCTGACTCTATTTACCAATAAAAAAGGCCTAAATATAGATTTAAAGACATTTCAATAGAAGAATAAAGCATTAACAAGATACAACATAAATGATGAACCCTGAAACATTATGCTTTGTCAAAGAAGCTAGTCAAAAAAGTTCACATGTTATATGAACGTTTAATGTGAAATGGCTAGAATAGAAAAGAGAGAGAATGTAGATTCCTGGATAACAGAGGCTGGGAGGAAGGAGGAATTGGGAGTGAGTAACTACTCACGGCTATAGTTTCTTCTCGGCGGTGGTGATAAAAATGTTCTGAAATCAGTGATCTTAGTTGGCCATATACGAATATACTAAATTCCACTGAAACATGTACTTTGTAAGAGTGACTTCTGTAGTACGTGTATTGTATCTCAAAACATTATTTTATAAAGCTATGCTCATAAGCATTCAACAAATAACAAGTTCATATATAAGCAGTTAAATTATGTGGCAAATTCTAAACTAAGTTTAAAATTTAAAACGTCATACATGGGAAATGTTTTATCATATCATCACAAACACTAAAATAAAATATTCTACCTGGTAGTTGTCCTTGCATCAGGTTCTCCATTTTCATGTAAGGCATCACCATTTTGCTGTATTTCTACTGAATAAGAAGAAACAAACACTCTAGGTTTTTATATACTCCTTGGCAATTTTTTCCTTTAAATTTTAAAAACACATAAAGTCAGCTTACTAGTTGGAGATGAGTTGCAGTTTGTTAGATTTTCTTGCTCAATCACCAATCCATCAAGCACAACTATCAATTCACCAGTTTGCACTATGCCATTCTTGTTTTCCAAGGAAAGTTTTAATTGTTCTTTCACTTTTTCCACTAGAAAAAAATACCGTAATTTAAAAGCTTTTGCCACATACAAAAATGTTTTAGAAATCAAAATTACATTTCAAGAAATACTCCAAGTTCAGTACCTGACAGTTACATTTGGAAGTAATTTTTTTGCTTTTTTTATCTGTAGACCCTTCTATACTACACCAAGATCATTCTCTTTCATACCTTGTTAAGTAACTCTTCTCCCCCCCAACCCCACACTTTCAACATCATCTTTCATTACTTCCGTGTACAGGACGAACTTCAGAGAACATGAATTAGGTGATGCTGTTACAAATTTCAACTCTGCAACTAACTAGGGGGACTCTGAGTAAAGTTATTCTAACTTCTTAAAGCCTATTTCCCTGTCACAAAATGGAAATAATAAGAGCTTCAAACTCTAGGCACAGTCATAAAGACCTAATTTAAAGCCATATAGAAAGCACTAGCACCACACCTAACACAGTTAGTGCTCACTAAATACTAAGTACTGTGACAATAGTTTGTTATTTCATTTTACATTAGTCAGACACTTCACTCCCATTATTGGAAGATCTAGCTGTAACTGAATGAAATTCAAGTGATTTCATACCAACTTCTATCATACAACGTATTAAAAGTTATTAGTGTGGGGCAGAAGACATGGGAAGATGACAGTGCAAGGGTACAAAGTTTCAATTAGAAGAAATAAGATCTTTTTCTTTTGAAATACACTGTACAGTGTGGTGAATATCATAAATAATAACATTACACATTTCAAAATCACTGAAAGACTAACTTTCAAATTTTCTCACCACAAAAAGTGGTATTTGAGGTGAAGTGACAGGTATGTTTATTAGCTTAATTATTACACATTTTATTTACAAATCATCATATTAGCTTGTATCACACAAATATATACAACTAAAAACCGTCAAGTCAGAATTTTTAAAAATTAAAAATTCATCAATGATCACTTTAGTATCCAAAATGGGGTCAGTTACTTCAGTCTGATCTTTAGTGGCTTTCTTTCTTCTTCTTCTTAATATTTTAGTTGTCAGTGGTTATTCATTCATTCATTCATTCATTGTGCTGGTAACAGAACCCATTTATTCATTCATTTTTTTATTGTGTTGGGAATAGAACCCAGTGCCTCACACATGTCAGGCTAGCGCTCTACCACTGAGCCACAACTCAGCCATCTTTATTGGCTTTCTGAAGCTACTGAATTCATGGAACTTTTTACATCTTAAAGTTCATAACTTTGATATTGCCTATATTTAACAAATTTGAGTCCCTCCCCCCATTTACAAAACATCCAGCACAAACATCTTGACTACATATCCACGTACAGAAAAGACAAAAATTTACAACTAATACTGGACAGGAATTCTTTTCAAAACAATTGAAGAACCATGTAATTAAAGAAGACCTTATAGAATACCTACCCAACTATTTGTAGTACAATTAGCCTTATCTCCATTCTAAATCAAAAGCAATTAGAGAAACTAGGCGAAATACAAAACAAAAAACAAAAAAACACACACACACAAAAAAAAAACCTACAAAAGAATGAATTTCAACTTTATCTAATAATCTATCTCTGAAGAAAACTATATTGACCAACATTCTATTTCACTGATGTTATCTTCCTCCATTTAAAGTGCCCAGAAAGAGACTGAGCTCTCTTTCATAAAATATTTAGCTATTTGAACATATTACTAAAAAACCCCAGCATTTTGAAATTTTTTTAATATAGATCTGTGTAAATTCTGATTAATTTGTCTATTAATTGTGTGCATTCTCATCCTAGAAAGACAGATTTGTTGGATATGCAAACTTTATATTGATAATGATCTTCCAAATCTCTGAAGATACTATTTCACTATCTTTCCCTATCTGCTATTAATTCTGCAATTATAAATTATAAATCTTTGCAAATAACTTGTTTTATCTCCATGGCTCCTTTTAAAATCTGTCTTTGGTATCTTGCATTTCACTATGGTATGTCCAAACATGACTTTCTCTTTGCTATCTTATTTGGGGTAATATCATGTTTTTCATTATTATTCAGAATTTGCTATTATTATTCCTTAAAATATCTCTTCTAGTCTGGGGGTCAGCAAATTACAGTCCATACGTCAAAATCTAGCCTGCCTTTATAAATAAAGTCCACCAAAAAAAAAAAAAATCACCTGTTTTTATAAGTAAAGTTTTATCTGAATGTAGCTACACCCATTCATTTACATATTTTTCATGGCTAATTACACTCTACAAGGGCAGAAGAGTTGCATCAGTACAACAAAAAAACTGTTGGCCTATAAAGCTTAAATATTTAGTATCTAGATCTTTCTAGAAAATATTTGTTCTTATATTCTGTAATTTTTGACAGGAGCTTGTTCTCCAATTTAGTTTATAGGTAATCTCTGGGCTTTAACACAGTTATGCTTTGTTTCTAATTCTGCCAGAAATTTTAAGGTCCTCCCAAGAGTCTAGATTGGAGGAGTTCAGGCTCAGCTCCCCTATATGGCTACTAAACAAAAGCTTGTTATTCTGAAAGCTGCTATGAGCGTGGCCTACTATTCTAATTCCATTTTACAACTCAAACAAAAAAGTTGAGATTGTACTGTCCAACATGGTAGCTACTAGGCAAACATTTTCTTTGCTCGCTCTTTATTTCAAGGAGGGACCTCTGTCTTTTTGCAAATCATCAATGTCACAAAGATTTGTTCTGTCTAGGATCTAGTTGTTCTGTGATAGGAGGTTCTTTACAGCATATATTTCACAATTCTGAACGTGTAAGATTGAAGTATAATACTCTGAATCATATAACTATTTACTATCACATAAATAATTCCCACTTAGGGCTGGGGTTGTGGCTTAGCTATAGAGTACTTGCCTAGCGTGTGCAAAGCCCTGGGTTCAATCCTTAGTATCACATAAAGATTAATAAAATAAAGGTAAAAAAAATAATAATTCCCACTTACATGTATATGTTTATATGTTTATAGAGAGATAACAGTATTATTCCATCACAGTATTAACACAGGAACTTGGATATATTCATCTATTCAATATGTGAGTACCTATTCTGTGGCAGGCACAGTTCTCTGGGGAAGACTGATCTCTGACCAACACAAACTAGAACACCCTACCATTCCTTTAATGGAATTACTACCACCACCAGAATTAATTTGTTTTCTGATCTACCTCCCCAAATGAACTGAAGATTCCAACACAGCAAAGGGATCTTGTCCATCTAATTCAGAGATGTATTCTCAGCATCTGACAGAAGGCAGGCACTTAATAAACATTTAAAATAAGTGATTAAGATAGTCCTGTCCTGGGGAAATTTATTCTTATAAGGCAGAAGTGGTTTTTTTCCCTATCACTTTAGACATTCTTCCTTAGCTTAAGAAGAGCAAAAGAATAATCTGAGACTCTGAGGAACTAGGTAAATAAGTCAATGATTTATCCTATAATCATGAACTTGTTGAAAATATATGTTTTCCCTAGAGAAACAAAAGTTTTTCAAAAATCTTTGTTTTTAAGGTGCTTTACAGATTTATATTTAGCTCACACTCATACTGAAGCTGTTTTTCTAAACTGCTAGGATAACGTATTAATTATTTATTGTTGAGCAATAATTATCCTAAAATTTAGTAGCTTAAAGCAACAAAAACCACTTATTATTGTTCATAGTTTCTACAAGCAAGGAACTCAATAGGAGCCCACACACATCTGGCAAGTTGGTGCTAGATGCTGAAAAGAGACTTCAGTGCTTCCTAAGAGTCTCTCAAAGTAAGTAATCCAAGGGACAAAGGCAAAAGTAGGAATGCCTTTTATAACCAAGTGTCTCTCTTTTCTCTCCTACAACCTGGAGTGTTTTTTTCAAGGACCTGAAAGCAATTCCTTTAAAATGTAATGATCAGAAAAGACAAGGCAAATCTCTGTCTCTGTGGGAGGACAGAATCCTAACCTTGCTAATTGCCATACATATTTGCCAAGTTGCAACTATGCTGATCAACCTTTGGTAATTTTTCACTTTCCTGACTACTGAATTCCTGCTCAAACCAACTCTTTTTCCCTTCAAAATGTCTTATCACCTGTGCACAAACTGAAGTTCAGTTTAGTTTAAAATGACTCCTCCTGTTTGCAAAAGTGTATTACTGATTTAAATCTACTTATGAAACAGTGAAACAAAGAGGGTAAAATAAGTCTTAGATATCAGTATCTGATGCTGATGACATAAGGAAAAGAAAGCTAAAAAGACCACACATCTTTGCAGAGATAACTAAATAACTTCTATAGTTTAGAATGGTGTTCAAGTGATCTAAACTCATAACTAAAGGTAATGTTTAAAAATTGGGATTTTAAGACTGGGGTTGTGGCTCAGTGTTAGAGGCAGTGCCTAGCATATGCAAGGCCCTGGATTCGATTCTCAGCACACAACATAAAAATAAATAAGATAAAGGTATTGTGACCAACTACAACTAAAAAATAAGTATTAAGAAGAGAATAAAAATTATTTTTTCCTTAAAAAAAAAGCAAGACTAAATTCTAATTTTACAATTCAAACAAACAAAAAGTAGAGGTTGTACTGTCCAACATGGTAGCTACTAGCCATATAAGGCTATTTAAATTTAAGTAAAATGAAATACAATTTAAAGTAAGTTCCTTAGTTACAATAGTCTCCTTTAAAATGGTCAGCTGTTTTCTGCCCTTGGATAGAAGAATTACAGATAATTATACTATTCTGTGACTTTTCTAAATTCTCCATGTTTTCTGCAATGAATTGATTATAAAATGAAAAAGAAAATTTTAAAGTTAGAGTGTATTATATTCCAATAAATTAGTCAAAAAACAAAGCAGAATAGGTCCAGATGATTTTTTTTAATATTTAAAGTATATATTAAGTAAATAATAAATGGTTGACAACCACTGATAACAGGGTATTTGTGGATAACTGAAGTCATTTTTGTAAATCTATAGGATGCCAACAGGCTAGGGTCAATATTACCTACTTTATATAATGCCACAAACTTAAAAGTAATCACAGGCAAGAAATAAAATTCTCTTTTATGAATACAGAATTGTTTTTTGCTTTTGGACTTTAAGATATGTTCAGTGTCTGAAACTTATGAAGAAACAAAAGTAGAACAAAAACTTACATTTTCTATTGTGCTTTAACAGAGCTTGTTTCAAATCTATCGTTGCTCTTCCTAATAAAGCATCTGCTTTTAAGGTGTGATGGCTCCAAACTCGAAACTCCAAAGTACTCTGTGGGGTCACATTTCTGCAAGGGTAAAATTATAACAAAAATATAGAAGTATACATCATCATTCTAAATGGTAATCCCTCTAAACCATTTATTTTAATAATATTTTAAATTGGGGACTTAGTTTATTTAATACTGTATGAAATAGTAAATTGTCTGAATTATGAATAAAAATATTTAAAGTATATTCTAGATAAGAATTTTTTGTGACTAGCAAATCAAAACACTGGCAATATACTGAGAGTTATGAATAAAAATATTTAAAGTATATTCTAGATAAGAATTTTTTGTGACTAGCAAATCAAAACACTGGCAATATACTGAGAGTATACTGAGATTTCACAATAATGCTGTTACTACTGGAATAAATTTCTGAAGATTTTTTAAAAAATGATGGCATTAGTTATAATACTTTATGTAAATTTTTTTATAAATTTATACCATTATGTCACAAATGCCAGAATTAAGGAAGACCAATTTATTTATAAGACATTCAGAGAAAATAAGGCTATGTGGAAATTAGTTAATAAAAAAGGCAAGAATTATTACACTTCCTTTGTAAGAAAATAAAATAGAAGCACAACTCTCTTGAAAATTTTGCATACTTTGTGCAAAGTACTTACACAGTTAGCTGTTCATCCCATTTTGGATTAGAAGAACTACTGGATTTGGCTGTTTTTTTAATTTCTCCATCTACAACTACATCTGTATATGTTGCTGTTCCAAACCAGTTCTTTTTTCTTTTTAGTTTGGCACTAGAAACTAACAGAAAAACGATGATCACTATTGAATATGTATAGTTAAAAAGTAGGATTGCCTACTAATAAACCATTAAAAATGGAACTGTATTTGTTGTACAACTAGAACTCTTCTCATTGGCAAAATTTAGACATAATACAAAAGGGCTACTGATAATACCTGAGAATCATTTGACTTTTTAAGTTTTATTGAGACATAATTCACAAACCATATATTCATCTATTTAAATGGCACAATTCATTGATTTTTAACATCTTCATCAAATTGCATTTAAAAATCACCACATTCAATTTTAAAACAATTTTGTTACCCCCAAAAGAAACTCATATCATTAAGTAGTAACCCCTCTGTTTCCTTCCAACTACCCAATCCTATTGCAGCCCTAGGCAACCACTAATCTACCATCTATCTCTACAGATTTTTCTATTTTGGACATTTCATATAAGTGAAATCATCATACACGTGGTCTTTTGGGACTGCCTTTTTTCAATTAGCATAGTGTTTTCCAGTTTTATCCATGTTGTAACATGCATCAGTACTTCATTTCTTTTCCTGACAAATAATATTCCATTTTATGGACATATCATATTTTATTTATGTATTCTCCCATTAACAGACATTTGAATTATTCACACATTTTGGCTGTTTTGCCTCATGCTTCTATAAATTTGTGTATGAAATTTCCCTTGGGCATATTAGAAGTGAAATTGCTTGCTAACATAGTAAGTCTCTGCTGAGTAAATTCCTATCAAAGTGTATGAAGATTCTGATTTCTTCACATTTTTACTTACCATTGAATTTAATTCTAAACTTCATCAATGCTCAAGAAAAAAGTGTCTACAGATTTAACATGCCTGTTAACATCCCTTTTAAATGGATGTTACCTTCTAAATGGTATTCATCATGTAACTGTTGCACTTGTTAAAAATAAATGTTTCACCTGGAACGATGGTTTCAAAAAAAAAAAAAAGAAATATCTGCTTTTTCAAATACAAACTTTAAAAATCAAAATGTGATTATAAAAGTTTATAACCCTTTACAAAAAGTGAATTTTAAATCTGATTTACACAAGACATAAAGGAGTTAATTTAAACATTTTACTTTAATGTTTAAAACTACTAATCTAAATAGGGGACAACCTACTTTCAGGGCAAAATGCTGAATACCAAACAGTAAAATATCTTATCAAAATCACTTCTATCATCAATCACCTATGAACAAAGAAGAAAGACAAAGCCTCCTCCATGTCATATACATGGGATGTTTAAGGTTATGAAATACACCAGCTATGTAGTTTCCATTCTATAGTGAGAGAATAGTTGTATAAGCAAACTGATGAAATACAATGTAATAAGTACTTCAGCAGAGGTTGTGTTTGAAATACAGTAGTCCTCAATATTTGAAGAATAATGGAATATTCAAGGCAAATATTGTATTTAAGTATTGGCAACACAGCACTACCAAAGAATGTGCACTGTTATGTCTGAAGAACTACTCTCAGGGTCTTGGCAAAACTCATTTCCGTCCTTGGCTGTTCCAAGTTGATCTAAGTTTCAACACCACTGGACTGATGTCAAAGACCCAGACTTGCTCTCTCTCAAGGTATCTTGCAAATAAGATTTTTCATTCCAAATAAAAGTGTCATTTCCTCAGTATATGCAGATTTTATCCATACACTAGAAGAAAACAGGAAGAAGGGGAATGCAACGTAGAAAGGTGTTAAAAGCACAGGGTGTAATTTATCTGTGTTCATATTTTAACTCTTCCAGTTACTAGAAGCTTGACCTTAAAAGAAATCAACTGACCTCTTATCCATCAATTTTCTCATCATAAACAGGAAAACAATAGAATCTGATTCTTAGGATTGGTGAGTGAGGGCATGTTAAACTGCAAAACACCATCATTGTCAACGAATTCCTGGCACCCAACACGGTGACTATTACTCTTTTTATTATTACTGATCGTATAAGTATTAACTCGTCTGACTTAACTACAGAACCATCCAAAATACATCCATTGTATACCTTTAATTGATAGAGTGCTCAATAAGGAAAGAGATTTTTTTTAAAAAAATGATTTTTATTCTCACAAGGAAATTATAATATGCTGGCAAGATAGGTGCATATAAACACAATACTGTGATTTAAATAGCCAAAGACAAATTATTCCAATCAAGAGTTCTTACTAGTGGAAATATATAGAATAATTTTATTTTCCCATTTAATAGGTTTTCTTTTAGATTTATACACAGAATGTCCTATAACACAAGGTTATATAAAAACTGAAAACTATCAGAAAGGGGTACAATGGGTGTTAATATTAAAACTCCACTCACAATAACCTCCCTTAAAAAAACAGTCATACATTTAAGAAATGTATAGGATACACACCCATATATATAAAGCTTTACTGACATAAAAGAGAATGACTTGATACATTGTTGGATTTTGAAATTTTAACACTGAAAGATTTCAATTACCTCCAACTTAATACAATACTTTAAAATAAAAACAACAACATATTGGTGTTGAGTGGTTTTGGTGGGGGCAGAGGAAAAGGAAGTAAGACTCAAATTCAAAAGAAAGGCAAAAAAATTAGAGAACAGCGAAGGCATGCATAAAATGCAATGTAATAAAAGATTTCTCCAATTATGGGGATAGGGTTACAGGGGATTAAACCCAGGGGTACTCTACATTTGAATTACATCCCCAGCTCTTCTGTAATTTTGAGACAGGATATTGCTAAGTTGTCCAGGCTGGCCTCAAACTTGTGATCTTTCTGCCTCAGCCTCCTATGTAGCTAGAATTATGGCAGGCATCCTTATGTCCAGCTCTCTCTACTTTTTAAAGTATTATATGAAAAAAATACAACAGTCTGACAGTGATATAAGAGAAATGAAGAGAATAGAACAAGATATTTCACATCAACCGGAAAAGAGAGATCATTCCCTACATGTATGTTGAAGTAGTTGATAAGTTTATAATTCACACCATTAATACAAAAATAATGACTTAAATTTTTTATTTTAAAAATTGAAATTAAGTTACAAGAAAACCTAACAGGTAAAAAATTTTAAATATATTAAAAAAAGCCCATTAATTTTTCAACCTCAAATAGTCAAATGATTATGTCCATTGTATAAAATAGCACGTGCCATTATTATAGTAGTTAGTCTTCTGTTTGATTCTTTCTACTATAGTTTTCCTGCTTTCCATGATCACTGATTTCCTTCCCTCCTTCCTTCCTCTGTACTGGGTATTGAACCCAGGACGTAGGATATGCTAAGCAAGCACTTTATCACTAAGATACACCCCCAGCCCACTGTTCTTATTCTTATTTGTTATTTGCAATCAGATGTGGGTTATGAACAGAAATAAGAATAAGAATATATATGCTCACAATAAAAATAAATTAGGATTTTAAAAATAAGTTAGTTCAGGGAAGTACACCTCAGTTTCCAAACAGTAAAGTGCCACACTGCAATAGCAGAGGGGCCTTTATCATGACATGATTTGATTCTTCAAAAAAAGAAAAAGAAATACAGACATTACTGTTCATCTAATAAAAACAGCAACAACTTGGGAGTCCTAAGGTCTTAGTTGGTTTTACATTACCAACAGAAGGTACTTAATTCCTCTGATTCACAAATTTCTTCACTGATTAGTCAGAAGGTTAATATGTATGACACAAGATACTGCGAAGTCAGTAAGGCTGTGGATTTTATAAGGTAGTTTTTATATTTAAAACTTAAATTAACAAAATGAGGAAGAGGTGAAGAGAAAAGTAAAGCAAGACACTAAAACTTGGTACTATTTAATATAGGTCCACGTTTGGTATTTTCCAAGAGCATCAATTATGGAATAAATTTGCTGAACTGAATATTTGAAAAAAAGTTTCATCAGAGAATCACCATATTAAATTATTAGAAAAATGACTTACCAGTTACCTGTAACTGTAACCTTCCACTATGGTTATTACTAGTATCAGACCGTGGTGAAGCAGTGGCCATGTCCCAAAATTCAGCTTCAATCTATAAAAAAAAAAAAAGATAATTTACATTTTAGATAAAAAAAATTCTAATTTTCATGATGATTAAAACTGTTCATTTGAGGGCTAGGGTTGTGGCCTCGCATGTGTGAGGCACTGGGTTCGATCCTCAGCACCACAAAATAATAAAATAAAGGCATTGTATCCACCTACAACTAAAAAAATTCTTTTAAATGTTAAAAAAAAAAAACACAAAAACTATTCATTTGAGCTGGGCGTGGTGGTGCACACCTGTAATCCCAGCAGCTCAGGAGGCTGACACAGGAGGATCATGAGTTCAAAGCCAGCCTCAGCAATTTAGCGAGGCCCTAAGCAACTCAATGAGACCTTGTCTCTAAATAAAATACAAAATAGGGATGGGAATGTGGCTCAGTGGTCCAATGCCCCTGAGTTTAATCCCTAGTAAACCCCCTCCAAAATGTTCATGAGACATTATTCACAGAATTAGAAAAAACAACTCTGAAATGATTTGGAAAAATAAGAGAACCAGAATAGCCAAAGCAGTATTAAGCAAGAAAAGTGAAGCAGGAGGCATCATAATACCTGATCTCAAATTATACTACAAAGCTATAGTAACGAAAACAGCATAGTGTTGGGATCAAAACAGATATGAAGACCAATGGAACAGAGTAGAAGACACAGAGACAAACCACATACTTACAGCTATCTGACACTTGATGAAAGTGCCCAAATTATATTTTGGAGAAAAGACAGCTTTTTAAATAAGATTCAGGGACAACTTGACATCAAGAACATAGAAATTAAATGAGACTAGATCCCTATCTCTGCACATTAAGTCAAACTGAAATGGATCAAAAACTTATGAATTAGACAAGAAACCTTGCAACTGCTAGAAGAAAACATAAGGTCAACACTTCATCATACAGGCACAGGTACCAACTTCCTCAAGCAAAATCCCTAAAGTTCAAAAAATAAAATCAAGAATCAAGAAATTAAAAAGCTTCTGCACAGCAAAAGAAACAAGAGTATGAAGAGAGAGCCTACAGTATGGGAGAAAATCTTTGCCAGTTACAACCCCAAAAGGGGATAAGTATCCAGAATATATAAAGAACTAAAAAAATTTAACAGCATAAAATAAAAAAAAAAAAAACAATCAATAAATGACCAAAAGACTAAACAGAAACTTCTCAAAAGAAGAAACACAACTGGCCAACAAATATATGAAAAAATGTTCAGCATATCTAACAATCAGGAAAATGTAAATCAAAACAACACTAAGATTTCATCTTACTCCAGTCAGAATGGCAATGATTAAGAATATAAATAATAATAAATGCTGGCAAGAATGTGGGGAAAAGGTACACTTGTACAACGTTGGTGGGACTGTAGACTAGTACAACCACTTTGGAAAGTAGTATGGAAATTCCTAAAAAACTAGAAATGGAACCACCGTATGACCCACTATCCTACTCCTCAGTATTTTCCCAAAAGAACTAAAATCAGCACACTATAGCAATACAGGCACTTCAATGTGTAGCAACACAGGTCACAACAGCTAAATTACGGAATCACCCAGATGCCTTTCAATAGATGAATGGATTAAGAAATTGTGGTATACATACACAATGAAATTCTACTGAGTCATAAAGAAAAATGAAAGTATGGCATTTGCTGGTAAACAGATGGAAATGGAGAACATCATGCTAAGTGAAATAAGCCAGACTCACAAACTCAAAAGTCTCATGTTTTCTCTCATTATGTGGAAACTAGAGTAAAATAAAGGAAAACAAGAAAGGATAGGATATTATAAAGTATTAGGATTTAGATGTAGTATCACCCAAAATTTCAATTGTGAGACTATGCAAGAAAGTTTGGAGGAGAAATGATTGATTGGGCTATAGCCTTAACCTAATCAGTCACTTAATTCCTGGTGGGATTAATTGAGCAGTAACTGGAAGCAGGTAGGCTTTGGCTGGAGGAAGTGGCTCACTGGGGACATGACTACAGGGTATATATTTTGTATCTCAAGAGTGAAGTCCCTGCTTCCTGATCATCATGTGAGCCACCTCCCTCTGCTACACTCTTCTGCCATAATGCCCTGCCTCACCTCTAGCCGCAAGGAATGGAACCAGCTGTCTGTGAACTAAGACCTCTGAAACCATGAGCTCTCAAATAAACTCTTCCTCCTCTACAGTTGTTCTGGTTGGGTCTTTTGGTCACAGCAGCAAAAAAGCTAATTAAAACATAAAGATATAGGGAAGATCTGTATTGTAGAAGAAGGAGATCAACAGGCAGAGAAGAAGAATGGGAGAGGGAAGGCAAAGTGGAATGAATTCTTAAAAAAAATCATGTTAAGTACATATATTACCACAGTATATATATTCACCTTTATGTATAAATTTTTTAAAAATCAATCAAATATAAATAAATAGACAAGCCAAAAGAAGTCTTGCAGAGTAAAGGAAGGAGAACAGGGAGAGGGAGAACAGAAGAGAAAAGGGAGAAAGGAATGGGGAAGAGAAAAGAGAGTTGTACGTATGATTCTGTCCAAGTAATCCAACTACTATGTATAGAACTATAGGCTCTAAAACAAACCAAAAACTGTTTATTTAAGTGAACTAAAATCCACATTTCTTTACAATCCGTAATATGTTGACAAATTCACACTTGTGCTCCATTTAAAACTGAGACTTAAGTCATTCAAAATGTTATAAAAGAACATGAACAATAATCATACCTGAAGGAAGAAAAGTGGAGGAAGAAAAAAATTATATTACTAAGAATCCACGGTCATATGCTGATTAATAAATAAAATAAATATATAAATGAATAAATTAATAAATTTATTATAATACAAATTTATGTATTATCTGAACTATATATTGCCCTTTATTCTTTAGCACTTCAGTGTGTACTTCTAAGAATGAAAGAATTCTTGGGGCTGGGGTTGTGGCTCAGCGGCAGATCGCTCACCTAGTGTGTGCGAGACCCTGGGTTCGATCCTCAGCACCACATAAAAATAAGTAAATAAATAAAATAAAGGTATTGTGTCCAACTACAAATAAAAAATAAATACTAAAAAAAGGAATGAAAGAATTGTCTTAAATAATCACAGTAAAATGACCAAATTTAGAAAATTTAGCAAGTACATTACTGTTATCTAATTGATGGTCCATATTCTAATTTAATTAATCATCTCAACAACATTCTTTACCAAAATGTCAGCTCTAGTCCAGATTTATATACAGTATTAATTAAGTCTCCAGATACTGTTTCCCAAGTTTGGCTCTACATTTCCCACCCCAATTTTCTTTCTCTTCTCTTCTCTCTTCTCTCTCTCTCTCTCTGTTTCCTAAGTTTGGCTCTACATTTCCCACCCCAATTTTCTTTCTCTTCTCTTTATTTCTCTCTTTCTTTCTTTCTCTTTCTCTCTCTCTCTCTCTCTTTTTGCTTTTGTATAGGAATTGAACTTGAACCCAGGTGTGCTTAACCACTAAGACATATCCCCAGTCCTTTTTAGTTTTTATTTTGAAGCAGAGTCTCATAAGTTGCTTACAGCTTCACTAAGTTGTTGAGGCTGGCTTTGAACTTGGAAAACTTCTGGCCTCAGCCTCCCAAATTGCTGGAATTATAGGTATGCACCACCATGCCTGCCCCTAATTTTTATTTTTTAAATAAAATTCAAAGCAGGAGCTACATCAATATTTTTCTAGATAACAAATATCTCAAGGTTCAACTTGTATCTGCCTTTAACCTACTAAAGATAAAGTGGAACATTCTGAGAAAGATTGAGAAATATTAACGAATATTAACATTTGGTTTTCCCTCTATTTGCAGTTTTTTCCATGCTCCATTTAGATTCTACCACTCATTTCAGGGACCCAATAGGTTAAAATTATTAAATTCATTTTACTCATTTATAGTTGGATATATTATATGCTTGACGTGTGGTGGGGGTATGTAGGGTGAATGTTTGTATGTGCCTGTGTACGCAAGCGCTTATACATAAGAAAAACAGTTGCTTACGATATGATTAACTCATTGCAGTTACCTATATTCACAGGTTCTGAGACCTCATTTAGCCAATAACCTAATTCTGCAAATGAGAAAAAAGACTTAAGAATTTATCTACTGGGCTAGGGTTCAATTCCTAGTACCAGCAAAAATAGAAAACTAAAAAAATAAATTAGTGGGACCCCCGTGGCCCATGCCTGTAATCTCAAAGGCTAGGGAGGCTGAGGTAAGAGGATCACAAGTTCAAAGCCAGACTCAGCAACTTAGTGAGACCCTGTCTCAAAATAAATAATAAAATGGGCTGGGGAATATAGCTCAGTGGTTAAGTACCCCTTGGTTCAATCCTGGTACCAAAAACCAAAAGAAAACAAAAATTATGTCTACCTCAAGGTAATCAGCTGTTATATTCATGAGAAAAATCAATAAAAATACAAACCTTAAATAATCAATGAACAATGAAGAAAATCAAAGGAAAAAAAATAAAGTGAGTTGAAATAGTAAGGAATGGGGAACTGGAAGCAAAAAATACATACATACATAACAGTGTTGTCCTGGATATGCATGCTGAGAGTAGCACTGGCATCAGGAGACAAAAGAACTATGCATGCTGCAAGGTAAGGAAGCTGAGATTTGCTCATTAAGGAAATGTATCAAAACATACATTTAAACCATTGGGATTATCCAAGATGAAAACAACCAAATCTGAGCCTATAATTTAAAAAACCTAATTTATAAGAAAATGTATCACTATGAATGAGGCTTAAACAAAATACAATAGTTTTTGACCTCTAAGGAGTTTAAATATTACAATTATTATACAAATTTTTAGAAACTAATTTAGCAATAAAAGATGAAAGAAAATATGGACAAGCAAGAAAAGACTATAAAAATGACATCTTACTTCTCTTGGCCTTAGCACTATCTTCTTGGAAACCTGTGTGCCATGAGAGCCAAGTGGAGGAAGAAGTAAATGCACGGGGTGAAGCGCAAAAGAAGAAAGATGAGGCA